TTTTTTTCATACCACCGGCATTTCTAGTGACCACTTCAGTACCCTCAGCACTCTTAAATGATCCCTAGAATCGTCCAGAAACGTCCGGAGCACGTCGTCACCAATTTCCGAGATTACTTTTTTTTTTTCTTACCAAATCTCTCTTTTCCTAACAAAACGTATTGTTTCGATTTTAAAGCAAGATTATTTGAGTAAGTAAAATATAAAAACGTGACGTGATTACAATAATCCCAGTCCCAAATTTTCCTCTAAAAAGTCTCCAACTTAGTCCTGCCTTCAGAAAAACCACTTCTTCCTCCAAACTACCAGTTGCTCTCGACATCAAGTGCCAACTACATAAGGAGTTGACTTGTTTGCCCTATCGCACCATTTTCCGTGGTGCCAAAAGTGTCAGGCTCTCAAACAACTTGACGACGAGGGGTCATTGTGGGAGAGCGCCTACTGGAGGTTATATACCGAGGATAAATAAGCCTAGAATCTCTTAGGATATTTATGAAGTTGAAAGGCCAATCGAAACATGACGATGTCCGTACAAAAAATAGATGAATGGCTATAGGTGTTTCGCGACACTTAGACCGGACATTTAAAAAGCCTGAAACTCAGAAAAATAATTTAGAAAAAGTTCTATAGCTCACAGAAGTTGATTTTTAAAAAAATTCCGGTAAAATGTTGTATAAATATTTTACGAAAGGAGCATGACAAAATTGGATAAAAGGGTCTCGATGCGAAGAATTTTATTCTGTGTGACTATAGGTAAAATTTAATCAAAACAAAAAAATAATTTTGGAAAGCAGTCATCACGACGAAACCACTCGTTAAAATAAAAAAGGTTTATTTCAAATTAATTAGAAAATCAAAAAAATTAGATTGAGAAGGAAAATTCACTTTTTATCAACTTTTCTGAGTTTAAAACCTGACGCGCAAGCCTTGAATTTTATCTTCTCAAAAAGAAACTCATATAATTCCATCCAAAAAATCAATATTTCCGCGCTTTCTTTGTTATATTTTTTTCGTAATTTTTTTCAAAAAAATAGGGCCAGACCATTGATATTAATAGTCTACAGACTCTTGAGTCGTCCTGGAACCTCGCCAGAAACCCTAAAATTGTCCTATCAGCTCCGCCCATTTGATAACAACTGATAAGAAGCATACCGAAATGGTCCATACTATTTATTTTGCCGCGTGTTTGTGGCTCCGGCCCGATGACGAGGAATGTTTCCGTTTTGTATTGAAATGACTGGTTTTTGAATACAATTCGAGTGGCGCTCTTTTTCTCCTGCCCGCTGTTGAAATTTGATATATTCCGCCTTGTTCCTCGTTTTTCGCCCCTTTTTCCCGTTGGAATCGGCTGCAAATTGAATATTCGTTAAATTCTGTACATTTTTTTAACAAGTTTATTGCTAAAATTAGTTATTTAAAGTTAAAAAAATGAGAAAAAAAGGTCAAAAGAGGAGTCGATTGTCGAGAAAAATCACATGGTTGACCTTTTTGTGCTCTATTGCACTTTATCGGCGCCAATTCAAAATTTGAGTGGGAAAATTTTTTAGGCCAATCAAGATTTTTTTGTCGACAGTTTTTCATTGCTGTCGATTCTTATTATTGGATCTGCTTGCGAAACTTCTTGCTGTTTATTCCTGTTTGAAATTATGGAGACTCCCAAACTTCTGACTTTTTACAGGTGAGTATCTTTTTTCGTTGTCCGTATTTTTTCAAAGTTTTTGTTAATTTATAACTATTTGTGATTCTACAGTCTGCTCAGAGATTTTTGCTGGAATGTTTAAAGGCGCAGAGGGCTCAAAACAATAATTTTCGCTCTTCACCACGAGAATTCTATTTAAATGGGTCCTTTTCTGGTGACCATTTCTGAGGCAAAGAAACATCCAGCAAAACTATCCCAGGAAAGCAAAAAACAGCCTGAATCAGACCTTTGTGCGGCCGCCTTTCTGAATCACCCCCGGGCCAGCCTTCGTCATTGGGTCTCACCAAAAAAAAAGTGTTTGCAAGAGAGTCCCAGCCTTTTTTCTCTTTTTGAATATAAAGGAAAATGTTCTATTGGGAGAGAAAATTTTTGTTCTTCATAGGAAGCGCTCGGAAAGCTGGTCAAATAATTGTCCGTTTTGGCAAAATATTCAACCATTTTGATTGTGAAATTCATATGTCATCATTCGTGCTAGCTGCTTCGTTTTATGAGGTTTTGCTTTTTCAATGTTTTCAATGGCATATTTTGAAGGTTTTAGCTTGAAAGAATGTCAAAAAGGAAAAGTCGAGAAATCACATTTCTATTATAATTCGTCCAAAAACATTTTTTTTATTAAGAAAAAAATCGAGAAATTTCCTATTGAGTTCACTTCGAAAATTGTAGGTAGGCTAGTAAAAAAGGAACCGCTACAAATTTCTGAGTTCTTCGATTCATGGACTTGATTGGAAGAAACCTTTTTCTTGAAAAATGTATCTGTAAAGTTCCGTTTGTGGCTATTTTTACCTGATATTTTGCAACGCGGCTGCTTTTTTACGGTCTTGAGATTTTTTAACACAAAGAAAGTTTTGAATTCGATAAAAAATAAATTATTCAGTTTTTCATTTCGCTGACTAGTGAGAGAGTTTTTTTAAATGGACCAAGATAATATTTAAAGTTCCAATTGAACATTTTGAAATTTTCAGGCTACAAAAATGTCTAGTTTTCGAGAAAAAAATTGCCTTTTTTCTACGATTTTATATCATTTTTCTTGAAAGTTAAATATTTTTCACGAGTCTGATGAACTTCAAATGGTATATTAGATGATGAAGTGGTTAAATTTAAAAAAAAAATTGAGACATAAATTTTAAAAAAAAAAATCAAAATTACCTACCTTGCTAGGAGATCAACATTTCCAGCCATTTCCAGTCATTCCAGCCCATGAATACTGTTCCCAAACCTCTCTATTTTATCATCAGTATATCAAATAACAAACATTTTGTTACAACCACGGTAAAGGCTCCTCCGGAATCCGGTCCGGATGGATCGATGAAATGCGATCTCGTCGCCTAGGACGCCACACCGCCCCAGCGGCATATTTGATGCACTCGACGACTTTTTTTCCCCCTATTTTCTCTCACCTTTGTACTATTTTTGTACTTTTCTCGCTAGAAATGTTTTGGTTCCATGTTTGGGCCATAAATTCCGTTTTTTCTACTGAAAATTTTTGATTTTACAGTTTCAAATCGAACATTACTTGATGTTCGTTTTTTGCTTAATATTCTCTGAAAACTATTTTTGCCGAGTCTAGACTTCTAATCGATTTTAAGACTGTTATTTTTTTAAAAAATGAATTGACTATCTTGAATTCTTCAAAGTTTTGAAAGTTTTTTATCTATGGAGCGCAAATAACAGGATTTTCTCAGCCCACTATTTTTAAATTTGCCGATTCTCACAGTAATTTCAAGACCTCTTGCCGCTTTTCTTAAAATCATTCTGCTCTTGACAGTTTGAAAGAATTTTAGTTTTAAAATAATGTCGCTCAATTTTTTTAATTTATGAATCTGGCGCCATAGCCGTTAACGATTTCACTTTTTCAAAGTAAATTTTGAAGCGGCCTGATTTAAAAGTCCCACGACTTTTTTTCCACTTTTAGAGTCTCACATGAAGACAAAAGACCTAGTTTTTCAAGGTACCTTCTGTGAAAATTCTCGAGTTCAAAAGATCAAGTCCCACCATTTTCGACACCTGTTCTATAGTTACAAAAACCAAAGGTATTGGCAGTTTTGGCACCTTGAAACCACAGGTAAGGTAAAGGTAAAGGTGGGCGTGTTGAGGAACTCCACCCACACCGCGAAAAAACGTAGGCGTGGCCGTAATTTCGGCGGGTCGCGCGGAGGAGCCAAAAAGTGAGTGAGAGCCGAGTACAGTTCTTCGTCGGCGCCTCGGCTCTTGCGGCTGGTCTACTTCCTTCTTGTTTTTTTTTTTCCTCCTTTTTTCCCTCTATCTTTTCCCAATTTTGTTCACAGTCCCGGGGCCAGGCAAGATGTTGGCATAGCTGAGTTTTTTGCACCTCAGCTCTGCCGCATGTAGCCACGTCCCGTCCTGTGTCTTTTCTCCCAGCTTTTCATGATTTTTTTTTCTTTTCATAACGGTTCCAGAGGTCGCGAAAATGAAATTAGTGATTCCTATAAAACAAAATTTGTTTCATTTTGAGATCTAGAACATCAAATAGCGAGTCCCGGTCACGTTTCAGGCGGTCCCTGAAAGGACAACAGATTATGATCTTAAAAAAGTTCTCGAAGCAAAGTTAGGTAAATTTAGTATTTGGTCTTTTTTGAAGAGAAAAAAATCTGTCAATTACAAAAAAATATTTGTTATTTTTTTGAGGTTATTTTAAAAAGTTGAAATGACGATCACTTCATTATTCAAACTAACAATAAAAGGGAATCCCTCTTGGTTAAATTTTTAATAGTGGTTCCAGAGGTCAAAGGTTCGATTCTCCTCAAGGAAATTGCACTTTTGGAGTTATAAAAAAAGTGCATGATGAAATTTGTCTCTAGAAAACGGTAATAAACCTTTTTTGTTGGTACTTCGAGGTTCATTCAAGCATGGCCTAACGGTTAAGAGCTCGAACAGTGGTTCGATTCTCCTCGATTACATTGAACTTTTGCCGTTTTTTCCGCTTCTGGAAACATGGTCAAATGGCTAAGAGCTCGAACTGCGACTCCAGAGGTCAAGGGTTCGCTTCTCGTCGAGGACATTGGACTTTTGGCGTTTTAGCCACTCCTATAATCATGGTCAAATGGCTAAGAGCTTTAACAGCGGCACTAGAGGCTAAAGTTTCGGTTCCTCTCAAGGAACTTGGTTTTTGCCAAGTGTCTGAGAGCTCAGACTACAGCCCCAGGGGTTCAAATCCTTTCTAAACTTTTTTTTTGCTCAATAAACTCCAATATTTATTGAACTATACGATTGACTATCGGGAAAAACCAGTAAGGAAGATGAGAATGAATGCTACATGTAACATTTTACATGTCGGTGTTGCTCATGGGAAATAGGCGGTCTGGGGCCGATTTTTGCCGTGTCGACACTCAAACTCCCACTGACGGTTGGCGTCGAGGTCCAGGACGCGGACGCCTTCAGAAAAGTGCACCTGAAGACGTGTCAAGGGGGGCTCTCGGGGAAGGGGGTTGTAGTTTTCGCTTCAATTTAAAAAAAAACCTCAAATCGGACGGCAGAATAATCGACGTGTGTGCTGGGGTAGCAGACGTCGTAAACGCTCTGCCAATGATAGCTCGCGGCCGTCTGGGGACAGCACGGGTCCTGGAAACGGCCAGTTTCATGAGTTTGAAAATTCAGAGGGACAAGGAGAAGGGATTTGTACGGTGTACCAAGGCTTTTTTTTTTACTTAAGCAAGCAGTGGCTCCCACAATGCAACCCTTAAGTGACCCCTTGACAGCTCTTTAGAAGGTTTTTCTTCAATTCGGAAATTTTAAGTAGCCACTAAAGGGACACGGAGAAGGGAATTGTGCCATGTACCCAGTCTTTTTTTGGCTCAAGCGAACAGTGGCTCCCACAAAGCAGCCCTTAAGTGACCACTTCACAGCTTTTTAGAAGGTTTTCTTCAACTCGGAAACTTCAAGTAGCCAATAGAGGAACAAGGAGAAAGAGAAATTTGAACAACTTTCCTCTGAATCAACTCGTCTCTTTTTAGCGAGAAGCGGTAGCTTTCACACAGCATCCCTCAAGTGACTACTTGGCCGTTTCGGGATATTCTTCTAAGAGACGTAAGAGAGAGAAGGACTAAAGTATATAAGAAATTGGTATTGAAGCGCGTTCAAGTTTAAAGGAGCATGATCAGCGCTACAAAAGATACACTGACGCGAAAATTACAGTAAGATATAGATTACACTATTAACGCGCAAAAATAATCATTTTCAACTTGATTTTTCCATTTTTCGTCGAAATTTCATCCAAACCTCCGTCACAAAGCGATCATGACAGCATTTGTTGAATTTATTCGTCGCGCCGGTTTCTTCGCTTTGGGATTTTTCTTCGCAACAGGAGTATCTGGCCTGAAATCTTCATTATTTTTCCTCGATTAGTTGATGAAAAACCTGAATGAACTTCTGAAAGCAACAGAGCTGCAGGGTGCTGTTAGAACATTTTCCCGGAATGCAGACGTCAGTCAGGTAGACGCCTTTCGAGCAGCACTTGGAGATTCCCGTCTTCCCAAGGCGTTCTTGCTAAAAAAATTGTTTTTGAATATTTGAGTACTTGGGAACTCCACAGTGGTACAAAAGGCCTTTGGAAGGTTCCCTCTAGGGACCACTTTACCAACCCCTACAGGGACCACATAAGCTTGCGAAAGTGGTCCCAATATGAATTTTAGTTAGTGGCCTCTATAGGACACATGCTAGTCGATAATTTTTATGAACTCCCTTTTCATGAACTCCTATAGGGACCACTTCTTCGGCCTCTTGAGGGCCTGTTTTTCTCCCTAACCTCTATAGGGGCCACTCTAAAACTCCTGAGTAAAGCATGAAACGATTGATTGATTGGGGCTCTCATTCTTCTTCTTCTTCTTCCTACGCCTTTGTACCGCTTGAGCGGCGTCGGCGCCCCAAGTCGATTAGCCGAGGTCCTATCCTGATATCAGTGGACTGGCTCGAGTGACATATCCGTCCTTGTGTGTGACGGCTGGGGATTTTGAAGTCGTGGTTTCCCACTACCAACATTTCTTAAACCCCTTGGTTGGGTCGGGGCGGGGATCGAACTTGTGACCCTGTGGACCGTAGACAGGCACACAACCTGTTGCGCTACGGCTCTCACATTGGGGCTCTCATTATGTAGCGGAATATGAAAGAAATGATCAAAAACTCCAAAAAAATAGGAAAAAATTTTAAAAAATCTTGCAAAGATGTAATATCTCGTAAAAAGTTCCTCAATTTTGCCTCAAAATTTCGAAATTCCCAATAAAAATCGCATTTTCTGCCTAGTCTCTCAGTTCCGAATCTAGCTGTATGTTTGTAAAATTCATTAATTTCGATTCAACAAGTTTCAAAAATCGTTAATTTTTCTTCGCAGGTATATTAGGAAAAGCTTAAATGTCAAAACCCTAAAGTGGCCACTAAAAATTTTTTACTTCAGCACTCAGAAAAATTCATAACGTTCTGGGGCGCTCATTTTTTTAAGCTATAATATTTTTTAAACATAATTTTTTTTTTACAAATTCGAGTCTTTTTTGGCTTCAAAGTAGTACAAAAACTCCAAATTCACCTGTTGAAAACAGATATCGTCAGTGTAGGCGGCGCAAGGGATCGAATCATCGGAAAGTCGAAGCGGCAATTCGCTTCTTTCATAAACTTCTGCTTCAGAAGGATCCTGGAGGGTGGTCGGATTCGCAGTTGGCCACGACGATTTTCTTGTTGGCGGCCGTGGAATCTGCGTCTGAAATTGATATTGAATTTCAATATTTTCATTTGTGGAGCGAACTTGATCAAAACCAACTAGAACTTGGAAAAAGCTAACAAAATCATTATTAGCCGAACAATTCCAAAATTATCAAAGTTGTCCATGGAGCGCAGTTTGCTCCTTAAAAAGGGCTATTTTTCATGTGTTGAAAAAAATCCGTTTGCTTTCCGCCGTCACTACCGCCATTAATCTAATCGCTCATATTTATCAATGGAGCTCAATTCCCTCCTCAAAAAAGCCAAAAATGAATTTTTTTTCCAAGTTTATTTTCCGTCGTCACTGCCGCCATTAATTATATCGCTTCGAATTATCAATGGAGCTCAATTTCCTCCTCAAAAAGGCCATTTTCCAGCGGCTAAAAATAATTTCACTCTGCGCCACCATCACTACCGTCAAATAGCCGTATTGTAATTATCAATGGAGCGACATTTCCTCCTCAAAAAAGCCAAAAATGAATTTTTTATTTCCACGTTCATTCTCCGCCGTAACTACCGCAACTAACCATATCGCTTAGAATTATCAATGGAGCTCAATATCCTCCTCAAAAAAGGTCATTTTTCAGAGGCTAAAAATAAGTTCGCTCTTCGCCACCAACCATATCGTTTGGAATTATCAATGGAGCATCGTTCCTCCTCAAAAAAGGCCATCTTCCAAGGGCTAGTAATAAGTTCGCTCTTCGCCACTAACCATATCGTTTATAATTATCAATGGAGCTCAATTTTCTTCTCAAAAAAGGCCATTTATTTTCGCCTAAAGCTCTCTCTCCGCCGTCCCTACCGCCATATCGTTTGGAATTATCAATTGAGCTCAATTTCCTCATCAAAAAGGCCATTTTCCAGGGTGGCTAAAAATAAGTTTACTCTCCGCCGCCATCACTACCGCCATCAGCCAGAGTATGTTGACTGTCGGATCTACGTGGAGGAGAAGAAAGTGCGCGGGGGTCGTCGCAGCGCAATTTTTTTATTTGTCTACCGTCAACTCAACACAAATACAAACGCACCCAACGTTTCTCTGGCACCTCACCGCGCTCCGTTCTCATTCTCATACTGTTTGAGATGACGCGTCACAGGGCTCGGCTGCTCGGCGCGTCCCGCCGAGCTCGTCGGCCTGACCGTCGTCGTTGGCCGTTTACCTAGGTCTGGGCCTAGACAGCCAACTTCTGGGGTTTCCTGGTTGGGTCTTGAGGGTCCATAAGTCACTATCGAGTAGAAGGTTCATCACAAGAAAGTTCATAAATAAAATCAGGTCACGTTTTTTTATCGCAATATTGATATGGTATGCACCAAAAAATTCCTTATCAGGAATGATAGGTGATTTTTCGAAGTTCCAATGAACTATCAAAACATAATTTTTTTCCCCATTTTCAAAATAATTATACGTCACAAGGGAGCTTAGACGATTTTTTCGAAATTGGCAGCTTTGAGGTCGAAAATAAGATGAAAATGATGCAAAAAAAGAAAAAAGATGAATTTTGGACACGTTCCCAATTTTCAAAGACTTAAAAAAAATCAAAATGATCCTCCCTACTTTCAAAAAAATATGAAATTTAAACCGATTTCAGGTAAAATGTAGAAGAAACATTATTATTAAAGACTCGGATGGCATTTTTACAATTTTCATGATTTTCAATCCTTCTCTTGCCCTTAAAAACCAAAGTTCTTATCTTCCGAAGTTCAAACGAACGTAATAAACCCATCCGACGATTCTGGGAACCGTCAAAAACTTCAAAAGCGCGTGAGAAAAAGTGCAGCCGAATGGTTTTGAGAAGTTGTTGATGGGGTCGTAAAAAAAAAGAAGAGCCACATGTTTCACGGGCCATTCGTCGGCGGTTTTTGCGGTTTCGAAAGAGTCCATTCGAAATTTTGGTCTTTTCGGTCCGATTCGTATCATTTTCGGCGGTTTTGGGCAATTTTTCAAAGGGCTGGCCATGTTGGCCGATCGAGACGCTTTTTTTGAAATTTAACATTGAATAATATCGACAAATGAACCATTTGTTGAAGGCTCACTCCCAGATCTTCACTTTTTTAAAAATTCGTAGCAAATTCTTAAGTGATCCCTAGAACTGTTCAGAAACCTCTGAGGCCCGTCCGGTTTACGTTACCGGAGTCGGAGTACACACGCAAGTCAAGAAATCAAGAATCTGGGAGGAGAAGCTAACTTTTAAAAGTTTTGAGAAACAAGGAATGAAACCCTTCAGGAAGGAAAAGTTAAAAAAAAATTCAGTTTTTAACCTCAAGAAAAAATACTGGCTTTAGTTTAGAAAGAATTTGAAGGAGAGATTATGGCTTTAAATAGGTCTGTCCATGCATGTTAAATCTCGGAAAAAGACATCTTCGAGAACATTTTCAACCGCTTCGCGACCGCGTCGCGGACAGGCTGCTCAACTTAGAATTTTCAGATACAGGAGCTCCAGTGCGGCATCTATAGGGGCAACCTTAGGCGCTCTTGAAGGGCCCTCTCTCCCTATAGGGACCACTTCCTCGGTCTCCAAAGGGGCTGTTTTCCACCCTAACCCCCTATAGGGACCACTCTAAAGATCCTAAGTAACACGCCTTTTTAGGACAGTGTTCCGATGGCCGGTGGTTTTGAAGCAAATAATATTTTTTAAAACCTTTTTATTTGCAATCAGTACCTATTAATCAAGATAGCAGGAGTAGCTACGACTCAAGTTAAGTACATAAATTTTCCCTTTATTACCAAAAACTCTGAAAAGCCGTAATCTTGAGCAGACGTCCAAACCTTAGTTGGAGCGACGGTGGTGGCTACGACATCGTCCTGGTAGTAATCGTAGTCGCTTGAAGACGTGGTCGTCGGCGGCGAAGTTGTCGTCGTCGGTAGAGGTGTTCTCATGGCTGAAATATTGCAACTTTCTTCTCAAATAGTTGTAAACGATGGAATAACTCGAAGATTCTGAACTTTTCTTTCAATTCACTGCTTCAAATCCTTTTGAAAAGCCTAACTTTTCTAAATAAAAACAATACGTATGTTAGAAACAGTTCAAGAGTTCATATCAGCGCTGTGTGTTGGGCCGGGGGTGATGACCGAATCGGCCCACGATCGTCTTTTTCATCTCATTTCATAATATAAATTCCATAATTTCTCTAAATAACACGTTTTCGATAACTCACTCCCCATTTAAGGCTCGACCCCTCAGCCTATTTTTCGCTTTCTTACGAGAAAGAATTTGATAATTTCTCGCATAGAAACATTAGAAACTGTGATTCAATGAGTGAAAATATATATTCGGTGAAATTTTTGGTTTTTAATGAATTAAAAATTTTTTTCGAAGCCCGGCACCCCGAATTTTCCTAAAAAATGGAGGTCCAAGGCCTGACACACAAGCCTGCCTCTGTGAAAATTTCGAGACAAAATTGTTCGAAAAGTCGCAAATTTTCGACCAGCGCACAATCCTTGTTCATACGCAATTCTGCCCTAGTGAGAAAATACTCTCACGACTTTTTTTTAGCCTATCATACCAAAAAGTCTACCTGGAAAACCTCATTCTCCCTTTAAAAAAAGCTCACTAGTATGAGTCCGAAAAACGGGGTTCGACGGCTGCCGCGGCGGTTCAACGGGCCTCTGATTCTGGTAGTAGAACGGCTGGTTACGGTAGGCGTTTGTCGGGGCGACGTTGCTCTCGTAGGCTCCTTTCTTTATGTAAGCTTGGACTACCTGTCGAAAACAGTAGCACAAAAATCTATGAAAACTGTAGAAAGCAAGGGAAAATGGTTAGGCGGCTATGGCTAGGTAAAAAGTTAGTGAAAATGGTGAAAAATGGTACCCTCGGAGGTTCGTAGCGTTGCTGTTGCTGGGAGTACTGGACGTCGTACTGACAGAAGCCGCATCTGGCGTGATGACGTGCGTCGCGGACGGCGTCGGCGACGTCGGAAGTCGTCGAGACGTCCGATCGAGGATGGGCTATTACTGCTCCGATTCGACCGCATCTAATCAGTATTATCATTTTTTTTTTTCATTTTTCAAAAGTCAAAACCTTTCAAAGGGTTTTTTTAATGAGAAAAGCCAGAATAATGCAGTTGAAAAAGGTATTGAAACAGATTACTGATGAAAGTTCTATAGTTGACGACAATATAAAAAACAAAAAAGATAAAAATAAACCCCTAAGGGGCCGAAAAAGTGGTCTCTATGGGCGTAAAATCAAAGTAGTCCCTATAGGGGTTTAGGGTCTGGCCCCTAAACCTCAAGTGGACCCTATATGGGTCTTTCAATTTCATTCAAAAAAGGCATATTTGTTCAGTTTTTCCATATAAATGCTTCTTCGCTTTAAACAATTATCGACTAAAATGTTCCCTATAGGGACCTCTTTTGCAAGCTTTAGTGGTCCTTCTAGGGGTTAGGAAAGTGGTCCCTCAAGGGCACACTCTAAGGGGCCCTATAGGGTCCCCTTTGGAATTCCTAAGTTGAAGAATCCATTTTCTTTTCTCATCAAAAAACCGACCGATCAACCAAAAAAGCGTCAAAATTATTGGCGGCGTAGATCCTCCAGCTGTTCTCACAACGGTCGACGATCAAGGAAGGGAACTGAAAAAGAAGTTATTTGTTATTTGAATGAAAAATGGAAGTTACAACCTGCTGCTGAGTTCTCGAAATGATATGATTCGACTCGTATTCTGGAGCGACAACGACAATTCTGACGTCTTCATATGCTTGTCCGAGCTCGTTCAGCCTTCAAATAAGAAATAATTTTGTAAAGAAACTCACCAAATTGAGTCCAAAAAGGTCTTGAAACGATATCAAAAAAAAATCCATGAAAATTTCTATATTTTTCGCATTTTTTGGATTCTAAACTGTCTTGGAAAACTTTGTTTTTGAGTCAAATATAGGGCGTTTAACAAAAATCCGGTGAATAGAATTGTAGAGAGCTCGCTTATGTTTCGATCGCCACCGAACATGTATTTTTCAGTTAAAGGATACAGCTAGAAAAAATCGCTTTAAAGGATACAGCTAGAAAAAATCGCTTTAAAGGATACAGCTAGAAAAAATCGCTTTTTGCGCGTCATTTTCTGTGCATCGTGTGCACTGCGTTGGAAACATTTTATTTTACGCCAATGCGGTGATCGTGGCGTCGATTTGGTGTTGCCGTGTTAAAATGGCGGCAACAGGAAGTTTTGAGGATGAAAAATTATATTTGTATGTAATTAAAAGAGATGCTAGCCAACAGATATTTATTGGCCAAAAAAATGATTAAAAAATTAATTTCAAAAAGTTCCCTCCTGGCCAGGTGAAAAATTCTCTATGATAAAATCTCCGTTTAAATTGAATTTTTGCCGGTTTATGCCAAATTTAACTTCATTTTACTGCAAACATTAAAAAAAAAAGAACCAACTTTGAAAGCCTCGAATAACAGTGAGCGCACTGAAGGGGCATGAAAATCAGTAGAAGAATCCTCCCTCGGCTCGAGGCAACAATGTCCGTTTTGCGCATCTGAATGTTTCCTTTTCAAAAAACTCAAAAAATTGTCTGAGAATTTTTTCAAACTTTAAAAACGGCATAAAAACAACAAAATCTACAGATTTTAAGGATTTTAACTTGAACATTTTAAGGAATTTTAGAGTGGTCCCTATAGGGGTTCAAGGTCCAACACCTTAGCCCCTGAAGCTTGAGTGGACCCTATAGGGTCTTTCAATTTTATTCAAGAAACGCCTGTTTATTAAGTTTTTCGCATAGAGTCCATAAAAATTATCAAGTAGCAAGCACTTTTTCAAGCGTTCCCTAGAGGGGAAACTTCAGGAGCTCTTAAGTTTGCCCCTATAGGGGCCACTCTGAAGTTCCTAAGTTTATGAATGAAATGATACTGAAAACGGTTTTTCGCCTCGAGACCTTAATGGTAATAATACATGCGCCATTAAAAACTCCTTGAAGACTGCAAAAACCCTTAAGCGTTCACTAAAACCCTTTTCGTAACATTTCCAAGCAATCAAGTCACCGTTTCTCTGAAAAAATACCTGCAAAGGTGGGGCCGCCGAGCAGACGGCCGGCAGGTTCTGCGGGTCGACGTCATCGAACTGCAGCAGAAGGAGCTGGAGGAAGAGAAGGAAGGAGCTGGAGAAGCTCAGGAGGCGACGCATCGTCGTCGTCCGTCGAAAGTCGGACCCCGCGAGGTGTAACCATCATATGGTCGGAGAGCAGTTGTCGTCGCGCCGTCGGGCCACCTGGTCCTTCATTTTTGCTTTTTTTTTACCCGGCTTTTCGGTTATTTTGCTTTTTTTCAAGGTTCTATTTTCTGTTGAATATCACAACAACTTTCTGGGTTGCAAGGCATTATTCAAATTATTTAAAAAATAGTTTGGATCAGGTTTCTGGTGCACGAAATCTTCTTAAATTTGGCTCCAAATGGCCCATTTCACTATTTACCATGGTTTTTCTTTATTCCTTATCTGACTTTTCGATTATTTTGCTTTTTTAACAGAAAATTGGCTCAACTACTGGGAAAAGCTGAAGTAGGAGAAAAAATCCCCTACGGAGGTATACACAAGGATTCCCTACTGCACTCTCTATAGCCTATAGGGAGTGCACTAGAGTCTTTAAGTATACCACCGTAGAAGGTTTTTTTTTCCCTATAGGACCCATTAAATTCTCAAAATCCCTTTAGGACCCACTTCAGCTTTTTCCAGGTAAGTTTTGATAAGAAAGATGAGCTCAAAACGGCTTAATTCACCATTTTTTGATGGGTTTTCTCAATTTTTGAGCGTCTCTACTTGAATTTCCCGAAGCTGAGACTTTCCGGGTGTTAACCAGGTACATAAAAAAAAAATACTACCCATTTTTCAGAAAAATTTCAAGCACAAATAGAATTTACCTTCCTTAAAAAGGAATTGTTTTTTTGTTTTTTTGCTTTTTTTGAAAAATTTTCCTCACTTTTCCTAAATGAAAAAAACCAGGCTTCAAAAAGTGTTTGAAATTGAGCTTTCTCAGAAAAAAATGTCTCAAAAACCTTAAAAATCTCAAAGCCTTTTTTTTAATTTTCATTGTTTTTTTAATTGAATTCAAGCCTATTCTGATGTTAAAATTTACCGAAAAAATTTTTTTTTCAATTTAATTTCTTTTCTATGTAACGGAGATTCAACCAAACGAAAAACATAAGTAATACACAAAAATTTATCGGAATAAGAAATATCAAAAAGCTAGAAATTTCACTTTATACAAACTCTGGAATGCAACGGGGCGATGGGGGGATGAAACTCGTAAGTATCTCAATAGTAAGTAAACTCCTTGGTTCGTTTTTTTTTCTCATCAGGCGGCAGCGTTTTTTGATTATGCGTAGGCAACATACATATGATGAAAGATTTCGTTGAACGTTCGTTTGACAGTGTTGAAGTCACAGGTGAAATATAAACAAGAAAGGTAAGAATACATGAAAGAAAATCATTCACAGAATGGAAAACATGAGAAAAAGATGATTTTTGAAAATCGCTCCAAGGAAAAAGGACTTTTAAATGGTCTAAAATGCTTAAAGTGCCACAAAATATTTAAAAATGATTTCTGAAAAAAGTGAGACAAAGAAAATCGCTATAACTGGAAAAAGAGCGTAACGAGAGACTATTCGTCTTGAAGAGACGGCAGAGAAAGAAAAATCTATATTTCTCTAGCGTCTCTTCAAGCTTCCTGTTCTCTCGCAAAACGTTTCGCCATTTTATTTTGAATAAAGTAAGCACAAACGAGAGACCAGCTGTTTTGAAGAGACGGCAGAGAAAGAAATATCTCCAGTTCTCTAGCTTCTCTTCAAAGGCTGCTGTTCTCTCCCGACTTTTTTGAAGTCCTTTTTCTCAGTTTTACGATTTTTTGTTAATATTCACTTCTTTTATGAGTAGGTCAAGAATTGAAGCCTCTTTAGTGTTATCCATGGAGCAACTTTTCCCAATCATTCAAAAAACATAAAAAATGACGTCTAACAAGGGAATATTGTTAAACACGAGACGCCCTAGCATTATTAGCGTGTAGCGGCTGTTCGGTGGCGGAACGTTCTCGGCTAGCCAAAGGAGCGGGAGGCTGGGGGTAACGAGGCATTTGACCGGAGGGTTCCGCGAGCGTCCGGTTCGAACCGAGGATGCCGCGGAGGCGTTGCCGCAAGGATACTCGTTCGTTGTTGGTTGAGCTCAAGCTGACGTCACCACTGAAAAAATAATTAATAGACGAATTAGGAAAGTTCATCTTTTTATCCATAAAAAGTCCCTTTTGTACATGAAAATGCTCCTTTGGATGCTTACTTCATTTTTACTCCTTCTAGTGGTTAGTAGAAACGAGTCTCCCTTAGGGGGTCACTCTAATTATTCTCAGTAGGACATGTATCCATCTCTCCCTCCAAGACCAACCGAATCTCCTCGACGACCGACGGTCCGACGCCCGTCTCCGGCGGCTCCTTCTTACTGACGACGAGTCGCTTGAGCCACTGGACGTCGACACCCAGCGTATGGCGTCCGACAGTCCCGCGGGCGTGCTTTTTCCGTTTCCGGCCGCCGTCATCTTCGCGAGCCGACACCACCTGCAAACCAATCTTCTTCCTAGAGAGATATTCACACATTTTTTCAGTCTTCTGAAAAGAATTTCTACTGAATCATGGTGCAATTGAAAAATTTTTTTTGGTTCGAAAAACTTTTAACTGGTCTTCGTTAGCAGTAAGATTCTAGAGAGCGACTAGATTTACTAGATGTAGTTTTTCACGCAGATTCCAAATCTGATCTCAAAAAATGTCTCCGAGGACTCTCAAAAGTAATAATATGATAAGAATTGAATATTCGGAGCATGATAAATCGCGTTGGTATGTATTCTTGTGTATGCATATTGTTGTCGAAAGTTTTCGAGTTTCTCAAAATCAACAGTTTTCATCATTCTGTCATTCTTTCATTCTGTTTACTTATTTAAAAAATCTGAAGTCAAGCTTCTGCTCTAGAAGCTCGAATCGATAAATAAATGATTTCTTCTTCAGAAAGAAGTAGGGGTCAAGATTCGCATTTCGAAATCTACTCACAAATCTTCAGATTTCTGAACAAATTACATGTCACGAGAAGGGATTTTGAAACCACCGTGATAAAAATGAAAAGATTTGGTCAACTACCGGTTCAGGAAAAACTCAAACTAACCGGCAATTGTTCATACGGACTGACTGGCCGAGTATTGCGGTCAGTCTTGTCTACGATTTCGGACAGCATCAGGGGCTCCAGAGGTGGCGGATTCCACAGCGAGATGTTCAAATCTGCCGAGGCATCGCTTCTCCGAGTCAGCAAGGTCTCGGTGCACTGAAAAAATGTCATCTCAGAACCGAAAAACTCAGATTCAATCCATCAATCTCTTTTCCCATATTAGGATTTTTCGAGACTTCGTCTCAAGGTAAAAATCCTACGTCTCGGAATGTCTAGATCTCAGGAGACCAGATCCTTTACTTTCGAGACAAAAATATCAATTTTTAGAGCTCGATCTCGTCTCGATTTCAAAAAAGCCGTCTCGAACAGCTCTTTCGAAACTTAGATATGGTATTGTAATTGGGGCTATAGCTGATTTACGGCTAGCTTGGGACGCTAAGGGGCGTGTCCTGTCTGCGCTCTCCACGAGCCAGGCGCTATCTCGTACATTATCGTGTCAGGACCTTTTTTTCGATAGCTCAAGCCAGCCGTGAATCAGCTATAGCCGTAGTTCAACAGGTTGTGTGCCTGTCTACGGTCCAGAGGGTCACAAGTTCGATCCCCGTCTGGGGCCGATCAAGGGGTTTAAGAAATGTTGGTAGTGATAATCACTGGTATCAGGATAAACCCCCCCCCCCCTTATAATAACTTTTTCTTATCAAAACCATCTTTCTGGCAGACTGAAAAACTCACGGAAGCCTCAGAAACGCGGCTGAAGTTCTCGAAGGAAAAGCTGACTTCCGCCGAGGCTTCATCGTCGTGTGGCACCGGAGTCGTCGGCGTCTCAGCACAAGGCAAAGGCGAGGTCATTTCTTGGAAGAAAAAGGAATAATTTTCGAACTTTATTTGGTGGAACCTCTGTCATTGAGATGGCAAACGTGGTAGGCGACCACAGAAGCGTGGTCGAGCTTCCCGGGCATGTCGGCGATTTGTTCCCGTACGGCTTTTCGTCTGAAGGTATTGAGAGTTATGGTCTTGAACATACGTGGGCTAGCAGCCCATTTAGCACATGCGGGCCCCCTGATCCTTTAAGAAGGGTCGATAAGTTACAGGAAATCATTTTATTTTATTCATTAAGCCTTTTTGAAGTTTATTGAGCGGTGAAATTATTGACAAAATCTTATACTAGCGCCAAACGGTCGAAAAATACTGAGGCGAATCGTATAAATCATGTCCTAAAAACTTCAGAATGATAGGTATCGATTCAATTTCTTTTTTTCAAAAAGTGAATATTACACATATTACATGTTCTCACAAAATTTCAGGCCAATCGGAAGGGTTTGGAAATTAGTCATTTTCCGGCCATTAGAAAAAAATCAACTTTTTATTTTCGCTTTTACGGGTCAAAATCATTACTCATCTTGAGATAACACCTAATAACGACGAATTACTTAATTTGCAACCTTTTGGAAGCTTTTTCAGTCCAATTACAAGATTTTGCGCTTGTGAGAATAAATATCAATTGGTGGCTTGCGGGCCCCCCGGCCTATCCTGATTTTGCGAAAAATCGATCCGATTTCGATGTTAAAAATAATCATAAATCAGAATCTACGATCTGGCCGAATTTCAGGCCGGTTGGATGAGTTTTGAGAAAAAAATGATTTCTCCGACCTCTCAAAAGTGATTTTTGAAGTTTCCAATTTTTTTCGGCTCAAAAATCATTAATAATTTCGAGATAACACCTAATAACGACAGATTACTCAATTTGCAACCTTTTGGAAGCTTTTTTTCAGTCCAATTACAAGATTTTGCGCTTGTGAGAATAAATATCAATTGGTGGCTTGCGGGCTCCCGGCCTATCCCGATTTGCGAAAATCGATCCGATTTCGATGTTAAAAATAATCATAAATCAGAATCTACGATCTGGCCGAATTTCAGGCCGTTTGGATGAGTTTTGAGAAAAATGATTTCTCCGACCTCTCAAAAGTGATTTTTTGAAGTTTCCAATTTTTCGGCTCAAAATCATTACTCATCTTGAGATAATGCCTAATAACGACGAATTACTCATGAGGTCTTCACAGACAAACAAAATGATTATAAACCAGTCAACTGAAAGAAAAATTTCTTAAAATAAACTAATTTTTTTCGCGGAAACACCGCACAAAAAACAAACTCCTTGTCAAGCTTTGAGATAAGTTTAAAGTTTTTTGAAAACCGAAACTCAAAAAATCACTTTTGAGAGGTCGGAGAAATCATTTTTCTCAAAACTCATCCAAACGGCCTGAAATTCGGCCAGATCGTAGATTCTGATTTATGATTATTTTTAACATCTAAATCGGATCGATTTTTGCAAATCGGGATAGGCCGGGGGGGCCCGCAAGCCACCAATTGATATTTATTCTCACAAGCGCAAAATCTTGTAATTGGACTGAAAAAGCTTCCAAAAGGTTGCAAATTGAGTAATCTGTCGTTATTAGGTGTTATCTCGAAATTATTAATGATTTTGAGCCGAAAAATTGGAAACTTCAAAAAATCACTTTTGAGAGGTCGGAGAAATCATTTTTCTCAAAACTCATCCAACCGGCCTGAAACTTGGCCAGATCGTAGATTCTGATTTATGATTATTTTTAACATCGAAATCGGATCGATTTTCGCAAATCGGGATAGGCCGGGGGGGCCCGCAAGCCACCAATTGATATTTATTCTCACAAGCGCAAAATCTTGTAATTGGACTGAAAAAGCTTCCAAAAGGTTGCAAATTAAGTAATTCGTCGTTATTAGGTGTTATCTCAAGATGAGTAATGATTTTGAGCCGAAAAATTGGAAACTTCAAAAAATCACTTTTGAGAGGTCGGAGAAATCATTTTTCTCAAAACTCATCCAACCGGCCTGAAACTTGGCCAGATCGTAGATTCTGATTTATGATTATTTTTAACATCGAAATCGGATCGATTTTTGCGAAACGGGATAGGCCGGAGGGCCCGCAGGTTATCAACCGATAATCACTTTGACGGCGCGAGACTTAGCTGAATGTACTACATATGGATCGTAAATCAATAAACATTTGCTAATTAATCCATAACCCAACTTTGAAAAATATTTCACATCAATAGATTTTTCTGGAGGGGTACGCTCTTTTCAAGGGGGTACGCTCTTTTTCAAGGGGGCCCGCTCTGACGTCACGAAAAATGTGGGTTAGCCCATGTATGGTCTTGAAAAACGCTATTTATTCATTCATCTGTCGATTCCATCTATGACTGGGAAAATATAAATTATTGATTGATTGATTGCTTGATCCTATAAATCAAATAGGCTCGGCTGAGTCTTATTTTATACAGCTCTTTGCTGTTTCGCGCAACGTTTTTTTTTGAATTATCTTCAGCTTCTCGTTCGTTTTTCCTAATTTTTTGAATAGTTTCAAAAAAAGGTTCCAATCGAGTTTTTCATTGTAAGAGGTGGAAGAGAAAAAATCTCGTTTCAAAAAAGGTTTAAAACTTTTTTGGTTTCAAATTTACTTTTAAAAAACGGTTTTTTTTCATTTACACAACTTCCGGCCCCGAAATACCTCGCTCTTTGCTCCGACTTGCTCATCTTCTCCTTTTTGTACAGTTCCGGGTTCTCGAGAGTCCTTCGCTTTGCTCTGAAATCATAGAATTCAAGTGAAATTTATCTTTCAAACAATACTTTAAAAAAAATGCGCGTACTTCGCTGTGTTGATTAAAATTTGAAGATTTCTATAAAAAAATTTATATGGAAATTTTAGTATAGCCGATTCACGGCTAGCCTGGGACGCTGAGGGGTGTGGCCTGTCTGCGCTCTCCACCAACCAGGTACTGTCTCTTTTCTTGTAGTGTCAGGACCCTTTTTTGGATGGCACAAGTCACGCGTGAATCAACTATAGTACACTAAAATACAACTAAAACTTATAATTTAAATGAAATGAAATTTAAAAAGAAAAATGTATAAAACTGTTTTTCGCGAAATATCCCAAATTCGAAGAAAATTGAGCATTTCCATAGATTTTGACAAAGGCTTACATTGAGGATTCGGGCTAAAAATGAATAATAAATATAATTATTGAACCAGTTATGTAAGTTATTAGCACGAATTTGAAAAAAATCCTTCTTGCACAATTCTTGACACTTTCTTACAGCTTACTTAACAAGGAAACTTTATATTAATTCGCGGAAAGAAATCCTTGAATTTCGGTCGGAATTTTCCTTGATATTCAGGAATTATAAACTTGCACATCCTCTTAGTTTTCAAAAAAAAAAAAAAGAACCGATCAAAGCCCCAAAACAGCCCATTTTCACAAACTTAAGTCCTTTTACTTGACTTTGAAGTGTCCTTTCTCGAAATCTAGAAAGTTCTGCCGGTTCAGGACATTTATTGGTGACATAAAGGAGCCTTTGAAAGCTTCCGAAAACTTTAAAAAACCCTCAAGGGCTCACTCAAAACTGGTACATCTGGTACATCAAGAAGTTTTCTGGCCATTTTTCAAGAAAGTTCGAACCTCAGAGTGAAAACCTTCCTTGTACGTTTTTTTCTTTCAGGTGCTTATATTTATTCAAAATGGTATGATTCTTCAGAAAAGTGACATATAGCCGATTCACGGCTAACTTGGGACGCTAGGAGGCGTGGCTTGTCTGCGCTCTCCACCAACCAGGCACTATCTCTTCTCTTTTCGTGGCAGGACCTTTTTCTCGATGGCTCAAGGCAGCCGTGAATCAGCTATAATTCAATTGAAATATCGAAACGAACTGGCTGAGCTGTGTGGAGAACTGGATGAGGCGATTGCAAAGAAGTGAGGCCGAGACGGCTGGATAGATGGTCCTCCTCGGCGAGGTCGGCGTTCGATTCTACATCCGATGTGAATGAACCCCTGACTCGCAAAAACCTGATTATTGATCCCATTGGAGATGACGTCACGCATTCTGACGAGCATCAGCTCATGACGTCTTGCCGCGTCAACGCAAGGCAGGGAAGCGGCGCAGGTTCGGTTCCGGACAAATTCTCGGTTCGAATTGTCTTTCGTTGATCTAAAGATTCAGAAATTCGATGTTTCAGCTCTGTTTTCTTGGACCACGGTAACGCAAATCGGACGCGTCTTGGAAGTTTCTGAGCGTTTCAAGTAATCCCTTAAGAAATCTATCCCCGCTAAAGGGATCACTAAAATGCTGAAAAAGGTCCGTAGGGCATCCGGTTTGCGATACCGAAGTCCGAGCTTCAATAAGACCGTCTGAGGGTTATGAAAATGCCAGAAATTCAAGTTATTTGGGTGAGATTACTTCTAGAAGTGTTTTTGAAGGAAATTGAAGAATTAGAGATGTTTTACAACTTGAATTCTATCTTCCATGCTTATGAGAATCATAAAGACGCTTACAGAAGCGAGAAAAAGTATGAAAAATCGAGTTCAAGTCAAATTAGATAATTTTTTTTTAATTCTCAGCTTTTTTTTTGGCCTTTTTTATACAGTATACAACTCTTATCGGAATCATTATCTTTTTTTAATTTATAAGCTAAAGTTCTAGGATTTTTAAAAATCTTTTTAAGTTACCTTATGAAACTATTTCCTTTGTTACACTTTTTTTTCTTCTAAAAATCACTTTTTTTTCTTTTTTTTGTGATACCCGAAGACAGCAAGTTAACCATCTAAAACCCTTTGAAAATCTAGTATTTTTCGAAAGTTCTTGGCAAACTTCTTAAAGCTTGAAAAGCTTCAGAAACCATTCAAAGACTTTCTCCCAAGAAAATATTATAATTTTGCTCGCGTTCCCATTCAAAACCATCTTTTCATCAATAAAAAAAAAGGAATTTACACGGAAATTTTTCGATCCTCCCTGGGCGGCAGGTGGCTGTTCTCCTTGTTGTCGCCGTCGGACTTTTTGATTACGCAAAACTTTCCGACCACCGGGTCGAAATTATCCGAGACGCCGTCCGACGTGATGAACACAATGTCGCCTAAATTCGTCTTGCAGCGTAATTGGTTCAAGGAGGGCCGCCGCCGACGGCCGCCGTTCTTCGACTTATTAAGGCTTCCATTTCATTTCTGTTCGAATTCAAATTGAATTTCAAAAGCTTGAAGTGAAACTATGATAACTTAGAGGCAAAATCCATGAAAGCAATGAAAATAAGGCGTATCCACAAGCAAAGCCCAAAAGTTCTCAAAAAGGACTTTTGGAAAAAAGGCCTCAAATGCTGCTTTTTTTTCTAGAACTTTCTCTGATAAGGACCTTTTAAGGAACTAGAAAAAGAAGGGGAGTCCGAGAAACTTTTGACACCTTTTTGGGAACTCAAAAAGAAGCTTTAGGCTCTTCTTTTTAAGGCCTTTTTGAGGTCGTTTGGACTTTGTCTGTGTAACGTTTCTTCGATTAGATTTTACACTTTGATCTTGATTTTTCAAATCGAGTTTTATCAAAACTGATAAAATTGGGCGGAGTTTAGCACTTATTGAAACTCTATGAAAAATACAGTAACTTACAGTACCAACTTTTCCAAAATTCGAGATTCATTAAATCAAAGACTCTCAGAACTGAGGTAAGCACTGTTTAAAAAGACAAATTTCAAAAATTCAGTTATTTTTCAAGAAAATTTGAAAAGCTACTCAAAGTTTGGTTTTTTTCCAACAACGTTTTCTTAAAAATTAAAAAATTAAGTTTTTGGCACTTTTGATCAGTAAAGTTAACACTCAAGTTCAAAAAAAACCTGCTTTCAAAAATACCAATGAAAACTTTCCAATAACTACCTGGCTCGACGAAAGTCATGCTGCACGTCAGATTGTGCAGCTGCGGATTCCTGCCATCGACAGGCCCGAGAGCGCCTCCGGCGTCGCGCATGTCTCTCATCTGAAAGCAAATGGTCCGACTTCAACCGGGTTTCGCCGCCGACCAACCTGATCAATGTCGTGGCTGCCCAGCGTCACTTCTCTAACGCCGTAGGATCGGTTGTAGACGAAGCAGAGGGAGTCGCCGACGTTGCAGACGCACAGAACCCAACTGGAAAAGATTGGAATTTTGAAATTATTGGTCGCATTTGGAATGGCTTCAGCTTTGGCGCTTGCACCGATGAAATTTTTTACTCTTTTATATCATGCCAAAAGTGCTTTATTTTCTTTCATTTTCTTCATGAAAAGCTGTTTTCCGGCTGAATTTCGATAAACTCTTACCTGCTGCCACACTTTGTCGGAGCAACAAGGGCTACACAAAGAGTCGTGAGCATGCCGCCTTCTTGTAGGATCAACGAGTGAGCCGAGTGAAAGGCGGCCAGCATCTGGTGGAACACTTCCTGAAGATAACCTTTTTAAACAAAATCTTGGAGAAGAAAGGATGCTACTTAGAAACTCCACAGTGGCCCCTATAGGGATAACCTTGAACTTAAACGGCCAAAAAAGCCTATTCCAAGAGCCCTTGGGGGGTTCCTTCTAAGGATCACTTTACCGACCCAAATAGGGGACACAAAAGTTTGCGAAAATGGTCCCTATAGGGGTTTTAGTTAGTGGCCCTATAGGGGACATTCTAGTCGATAATTGTTATGAACTATATGCGAAGAAGCATTGCTATGGGGAAGACTGAATAAATAAACGTTTTTCAGAATGAAATTGAACGACCCTATAGGGTCCACTTGAGCTTTAGGGTCTAAAGGATCAGACCCTCAACCCGTATAGGGATCAATTGATTTTACTCTTTTTCCGATCCCTATAGGGGCTGTTTTTCCCCCTAATCCCTACAGGGACCACTCTAAAAATCCTACGTACAAGCTACATGTTTTTGAGGCGTCAACCTTCCTCCCATGTCGTTTCAAATTAGAGTCACAACTTGGGCAAATCCTGTGAAGGTGTTGGGAAGGTAATGAAAGCTAGAAGTTCTTGAGAAGGTTTCGGGAAGGTGATCAAGGTAGTTGTGAAGTCTTTGGAAGGTGAAAAATTGAAAATGCCTGCCAGAAGGCTTCCTGCAGGCTTCTGCAAGGTATGGAGAAGGTGTTGGGAAAATATGAGCTGGAACGCTCTCAAACGCCTTTCAAGGAACCGAAAACAGAAGTTACTCAAATTTCACACAAGTACCACCTCCAAAGGTCAGAATTCATTTTCATGTCTTTCATAACTATCTCTCTGATCGGAAGATTGAAAATTAAATCATCATTTTTTCAAATTTTTGCTGTTCAACCTATCCTCCCTGGCTATTTGAATACTTTCCTTGCCAAAAATGGTTACATATTCTGAAAGGTACACAAGAAAGTCGGATAAAAAAAATTCAAAAAACAACTTTTCAGAAAAATCAAGCTTATTTCCATTCATAGTACACACTTAACATTAGAGGACAATTTATTCTCTTTTCTGACTTTTTTTTTCTATAGTTTGCTACTCCTTCTATCAACACGTTATTAATTAGTGATTCATTTCCTTTTTTTAAAATTTCAGCGCAGAAACTTCTACTTTTCCCAGTTTTTCATTCAAAAATCCACGTTTATAACTCATTTTCGCGTCGAAAAACTCGATTATCCCCCCTCCAAGGCTAATGATCAAACGGACCGTGGTGTCGCCGAGGGTGTCGCCGCAAATCCGCTGATTCAAGTGGTCGATCGCGCCGCGGATGGCGCAACGAGCCGCGAGCCTGGCGCCCTCGCCCCAGTTGACGCCGTCGGCCAACGCGAGGACCTGTCAGAGTTTCGTCAAGTTCGAGGAGTTCTTCTCACTCCATTGTTGGTCCGTCCGACGACGCCCCAGACGTCGGCGATCGGCTCGCCGGCGTTGACGCCTGTCAAGGGATTCTTCTCGTACAATGAGACGCTGATTCCAAAGGCCGACTTCGGGTCGTGCTGCGTCCAATCGAAGCTCTCTGAAAGTAATTTACTTCATTTTCGGGAAAATATGACGTGGTGGAAAAGAAAAACTCTTGGGCACAGTCGGAATGGCGGATAGTGGCCGCTAAAAGGAAGAGGCTCAAAAAAGGCAGCAAAAAGGCTGCAAAAAGGCCGAAAAAAGGCGCCAAAAAGAGTCCCTTTATCGAGTCTTTTATTTTTTTTACAGCTTTAAAGGGTCAAAAAAAAGTGGAAAAAGAAAAAAGCAGCAAAAGTGGTGCATAAATGCCGATAAAATGGTGCAAAAAAGGAGCCTTCGCCGTCCTACAAGGAAAAATTTTATGAAATATTTTTCCACTCTGTCCGATTTTGCCTATGTTGAACGGAAGATAGATAAATGATATGAAACTTAAATGAAGCTCTTTGCAAAAATTAATTCAAAAAAAGAGCGCGCCTGTTTAAAATTGTTTGCTGGAATTTTTAAAGGCCTGGATCTGGATCTGTTATTTTTTTTTTTGCTCTTTTAATATTATAAAGATGATTTTCGAAAACTCTTTTTTTCAAGCTCTCCTGCGATAATTTAACATCGATTCTCCGGTCTAAAAGGGTGAGAAATGATGGAAAGACTGTGAATTGATTCCAATAAAAGAGGAATATGAAAAGAAGGAAACCAAAATCAAAAATGACAGGAGAAAGAAGTTGATAGAATTAGGATAGCATCTTGAAAAAAATGTATATTCTCGATAATTCTGGTTAGAGATTTCATTTTATGCCAGTTTTTTTTTTTCGAAAAAGATAATATAACTTTATTTGAGGGCTTGAAAAAGCTCCAAATCCTCAATTTTGATGATATTTATTTCTAAAAAGTTCCAAAAATCGATTCGTATCAATCTCGAAATATCAATTTTCATCAAACATGTCCAGTTTCTCTGTTTTTTTCTGCATATTCTATGAAAATTTTTTTTTTCCTGTGTACTGATCGTATTCTACAAAAGTTCATCAATAACCGACATTTATCAAATCCCCTTATTTTAAACCTATTCATCCGAAAAAATTTCATCACAATAGCCCCAAAACCTGTTTTTTTGTTCGGCTGGTCATAATTGACGCGCCGGAAATGGACAATATCCCCCCTTTTAATGCACGTGGAAATCACTCTTCAGCTCGTTGAGCCGAGTAATTTCGTATAGTTTGTTCATCAACTTAATGGAATATGGGAATGCGATCAAACTTTGAAGCCAAGAAGTGGTTTCGGTTTTTTTCACCTTTTTAAGAACTTCTCTTTTCCGATTTCCCCCGAAACGGAGTCCGTTATAAACCAATTTTCTAGACTCGAAAAAAAGCTGTTTTCGAAAAAAGTGCAGTAAACTTTATTTGAGGTAACTCTAAAGAGCCCAAAAATCACTAAAAAGTTCATTTTTACCATTTTTTCCGATTCCTTGAAACATTCCCGAAAGCTTTAATGAATGTTGATTCAAATTGTTGTCTAAACGTCTAGATAGTTTATAATCGTTTCTAGATGTAATAATGATGTAAAATAAATTTTTTTAGTTTTTTTTTTCGCCGAGTATGGACGCATTTCTTTTCAGAACACGATTAGAAATGATGATTTTTTATTTTCCTTTTATATTTATTTTCTCTGAGAAATTTTCCAAAAATTGATGAATATACTCCATTTGGAATTTCAGTAAAGACGTTTCAATTAATCTTTTATCCATTTGTAAGGACGATTTGATGGTAGAAAGGAATTATGGGTCCGCAAATATTCGTGAGCGCGAATTGTGCATACACCAATCGGGGCTTGAATATTTGAAAATTTGAATCTTGTTTATTGTTTTATTGTGAGGATATCGTGTTTCGATCACAAATAAAAACTGTATGATTTTTTTTTCAACTCAATTTTATCAAATAATGCGTCTTTCTCGCATACACGTGGTCAAAGATCCGCTGCAGAACGTCTATCGTGCTTTTATCCTTTGTCGTTGCATTCTTTATCGACTTCTGTTCACAAAAAATCGGAAAACTCATAAAAAAATCCAAAAAGAGGTGAAGCCTTCCAAGATTCGAGCTTCCACATTTGGTGTATGCACAATTCACGCTCACGAATATTCGCGGACCCAAAATTTCTTCCTACCCTCTTATTATATAAACACGATTAATTTTGATAATTTTGGCTTCTTAAAATTTTTAAAAATATATTCCCTGCTGGCTTGTCAGCGAATCACTACAAAGGTGCTCTTTTCACCCAAAAGCAAATTTCTATAATATCCCAAGCTCCACATCAACAAAAACCCTCCGTTGTCAGAAAAAAGGGTCCAGGAAGCTGTCAAAAAATGAATGAACTATACGACCTTGGCGCTGAGTCTGAACAACAACAACACACGAGGCTATTTTGTCACATTTAAACGCGAAATGTTTATTTACGAGCGCGCCAGTAGCCTTGGCCCGTCCCCCCTGGTCAACACACTAATAAAGCGAGCCGATTCGAAGATGGCTTAAACTGGATTAGCCTTCGAGGGGGCAAGGAAATTGGAAGTCAGCTGCTCTCATGTCAAACGTTTCTCCAATTTTCTCACAGAATGGTGTGTCACTTTCGTCTTCCAATGGCTCCTGTTGCTGCTCTTTGGTGCGCAAATTGTCCATAAACAATAAACATTTGTCTTTAAATGTGTGTTTTAAAGGATGAGAAGCCTTTTTTTGAGCTAACGTTTTTGACAGTTCTTCATTCTCGGAGAAAAGTAAAGATCTCTTAATTTTTTGAGAAAAAAGTTGGGCACATTGAAATTTTCAATTGAAGTCTAGAAGCTTCCTGGAGATTATTTTTCCATGTTTGTACATTCTATTAAAGGTTTTTTTGTACCTTCAAAATTTATTGGTTTTTTTCTAAGAATTTATTTAATTCGAAAAAAATGCTAGAATCACCGAAATTTCTAAACATGAAGTGTCACTAGTTGTCATTTTCTATTGAAATTTTCAATAAAGCTCAGAATTAAAAATATTCAACAAATCGATTTTTAATAAGTCTTCGAATGTCTCAAAAAAATATTAGATAATTTTTTTCGAAAACTCAGAAAAAAACTTGATCTCTATGAATTTCAAGAAAAAATTCGATACTTTTTTTATAAAATTTCTATAAAAACTCCTAAAAATCGAATTTGATCTACAGCTTCCAACAAACCCACTTTTTCATGTCAAAAAATCCCATTGTACACATATTTCGTCTCCTAAAGAGTGTACTATCATTTGGCAATAAATCGTGACTTCAAAAAAGAGATTGTTACAATATTTTTCATGGAATCCTTTTCAAAATCACAAGTCAACCATAAATAACATCCCCGGACGGAGAGAGAAACCTTGTGCCCTTTTTCCCGAACACTTCTTCATCGTTTCGCGCGGCAACTTGGTTCCAAGGAAGAGAAACCGGTCCGATCAGCCGATTTCCAGAGGGACAAAAAATAGGCTTGTGTGCAGGACAAATCGCCTTTGTTTCTGCGGCGTTCGAAACACGAAAGGAAACCGCCGTCCGTTAAAACAACCAATAAAAATTTTGATGACGGCGTCGTTAAGTTGTGAACGAGGAGCTCGTCAATGTTTTGATGGCCACATTTTCTCATCATTTCGAAGCGTTTTCATGTTCAGATTCGGTCTGATCTCTTTTTAGAGGATCGCGGAGATGAGATAATCTTTCTTTTCTTGGAAATGTTTAAAAACGTTTTGAAAATATTAAAATTAAAGAGCCTCGTAAAAATGTTGAAGCTGTAATTCCAAATAGTCTTACACGAACAGAAAATTGAAGAGACTTATTTTTTTCAGAAGGAAAGTTCAGAATGATTTTTTTGGCTTCGTAGACATTTCGCAAACTTAAAAAAATGATTAATAAGCCCCAAAATCAACTTTTTTTCTATTTTTTTAAAAAAATCTTATGTAAATATCATCTTCAAAATTTAACTCTTGGTACCGTTTCGAAAGAAAAAAATTTTCGTCAAAAATTCATATTTTTTTGAAATTTTAGGATTTTTCTTTTTTTTTGCAAAACTGAGTATCCGATTATTCTGGGCGAAATCTGGAATTTTAAAATTTTTTTTTACCGGGAAACTTGCTCCTCAAAGCTCTCCTTAACATTGCAAAACCGAAAAAATCCCGAAAATCTTCCGAAAACAGAGGAAATTTCCAGACGACCTTAAAAAAAACAGTCTAAAGCTACTTTTAAAGTTCTAAAGTCAAAAATTTCTCGGAAACTCCTTTTTTCTTTTTCAAAAAAGGTCAAGAAAAAATGCCTTTTTTTCCAAAAGTTCTTTTTGAGACCTTTTGGACTTTGCCCATGACTCAAGCCAAACATGAGTGCAAAGCTGCCTTCTGAAAACCGAGCTTCATCCTCCTCGAGACGAGATTTGTTGAAAAATCGACCTGCCACCCGTCTTTCCCAAAAAAATAGAAGAAGGAGGGGAAGAAGAAAAAGAGAAGGACATGTGCACTGGAGCAAATTCGTTTTTTCAAACGAGACCTCGCGCATTTCCGCTGTGGAGAATGGATGACGATGATGGAAAATGAAGAGAGGAAAAGAGAACAAAAGAGAAAAAAGGAGCACTTTTCCAAGGTTTTTTTTTCCTTATTTTGAAGAAGAAGAAAACAAACCAGCGTTGCCTCTCCCGGGACTCGGCTCGTGGTCAAGGGCGCCAATCAACGAAGAACAAGAGCCCAGCAGCGGGGAATTTCTTCAAAAAAAAAAGATGAGTTGAAGAAATACATTGAAATCATCCTTACACCCTACGCGCTTCAAATTTACATAGAAAAAAATCAAGGAGACTTTTGAAAGTCTTGAAAAAAAAAATTCATTTGAGACCATTTTCTGGAATTTTTTTCGGTATTCTTTTTGACGTTTTTCCTTCCTAACTTTGCTGTTATGACTTCCTCAAAACTGGCTAGAATACTCCTTGAGTTTCCAAAAAAAGATCCAGAAAGTCTCAACCTGCACAAGTCCCTCGTTTTTGAGAAAGGACACCTCGAAATCCGTAAAAATAAGCCAATTTGGGGCTTCAGGTCATCATTTCTCAAAAACCCAAGAGTTGCCCAGGCTGAAACTTTCGGGATAGTTTTCTGGTACATTGAAGAGTGTTTCTGCCAATTTTCAAGAAATTCCCAACCGCAAAGTGAAATGACCTCCCTTGTGGGATGGTATTTCCAGGCTTTTTTTTTCATTTTCACGCCATTTTGAATTTTTCCGTAAATGTTACAGGAAAATTAAATAGTTTTAAAAAAATCGATCTCCTTCAAAAAAATCGTTTGAAAGGATCCTTAAAAAAATCAAAAGATTTTTTTAATCCTATATTGAAGTTTTGATTTTAAAAAAAGTAAGAATGACGCGAAAAATTTTGAGAATTATTAATCTGAAGAGAAATCTGGAAAAATTCTCGCAAAATGAGATCTCACAAGGATTAAAGAAGGATAAACATTTTATAAAACTAATTTTTAAAGAAAATTCCAATTTTAGTGTCTCAAAAATTATTTTTAAAATCAACGAAAGCTCCAAGTCCAACTTGAAATTCCAAAATTTCAGAAAAAAAAAACAGTTAAATTAGTTCAACTGATTTCTTTACTTAATTATAACCATATTTGCCCTGCCCAAAACCTTTGAAATAAGGAACCTTTTCGGATCGGTTTTTTTGACGCACAAGAGCCCTTGAGGGGCCTCTTGCTCATCCTCGTTCTCCTCATCTTCTCCAGAACTTCCGGCGACGGACAGCGACATTTCGTCGTCGAGGTTGGCCATTCGGACCATCTGGTGGCCTCGCACTTCGCCGACCTTCAAAACTTGTATCCTCTTTTTTCCGAGTGATTTTTTTCTTTTTCAAAGTCACAAAAAAATATCTATCACTGATCTATTCTTCAGCAGCATCAGTCAAAAAAATTCAAAAAAATTGTCAAAATTAAAAAAAGACCCCAAAGAAAGTGCCTGAAAAAAAGGCTGAGGGATCACTTGAGGGGCAGATTTTAATTATATCTCCAGGAATAATTTTTTTGATTTTTTTCTTCAATGCAACAAAAAAAGGAATTTATTAAAAAAATTTCTTTTTTTCAGGAAATTTCCTGAGCCACCTTTTTCATTTACTTAAAATTCTACCAAAAAAATAGGTTCTAGTAATTTTTTTAGAAGAAAAAGGCAGGAAATTACCTAATTCTTGAAATCTTGCTTCCAGTGGAACCAATTTTGTACCTAAACTAGCCTTTCTGGTTATTCTACGGAATCAAAACCGGAAAATCAGCTACTTCCCTGGATCCTACTAACCAATTTCGCACCAAAAGTAACGGTTCTGGTTTTTTCCCCTTATGAAAACCGGAAAATTAGCAATTTTCTGAAACCTGCTTTCATGAACCCAATTTCGCACCAAAAGTAACGGTTCGAGTTTTTTTTTTCCCCAGCCAAAAAACACAAAAAAAAAATTGAGGCACTTTGCAAGCCGAATAACAAACAACTGGAAGATGATGGAACTACCTGTGTGAGGCCGCCATCTGGACCCGTATACGAGGCGAAAACCTGCGGTTCTAGCCGTTGCAGTTGTATACAGGGAATGTCGAGGCCGGTTTTACCAAAGTAAACCTGAAATGATCCTTTGAGCGATTCGAGGACTTCCGATTTCTTTTGAATTCAATGCCCTAAAGTGTTTGGGAATAGGAAAGTTGAGTAGGGGAAAAATAAACCTTCTTTAAAAAGCAAAAATACGTCTTTTTTCAGAACTTTAAAAATGTATTTACCCACTGATTCAATTCTTTCACTTCGGAAAATTAAACTTCGGAAAATCATGATTTTGAAAAATTATTTTTGGTCCATTCCTTCAGAAAAAAGGAAAATTAGAGTTTTGAAAAAACATTTTTTTTCTTTTTGCTTCAATTTTCTACTCGGACATTGGTAGCGCAAAACGGACGAGTCGGGACATTTCTAGTGACCACTTCAGTAGCTTCAGCCCTCTTAAGTGATCCCTAGAATCTCGCAGAAACGTCCGTTTCGCGTTACTAATGTTCGGGTATAATTAAAGAAAACCTATTCTAAAAGTTTTCAAGCTCTTATATTAGTTTAAAAAACATCAAAAATCATTTATCTACAAAATTTGCCCATTTTCTATCACTTTTTCCGAAAATTCAACTTCAATTCAATCCAAACCAAATATTGATTTCAAAAGGGCAGATTTTATTTTAAAGCCTGGGTTATGAAGAAAGCGATCTTTTCTTTCAAAATCCAGGCCAATTTTTCCGGTCAAGGCTTTCATGTTTCCCAAAGCAAGTTCTCCACTTTGAGCTTTTCCCAAAACCATTTTTTTTCCGCATACCTCTGGAAACTCTTCCCGCTGGGACTCGAAACTGGCCAAATAACACTGTAAAAGGAAATCGTTGCCGTCGTTCTCGGCCGTCGCTGATACCTACAACAGAGGAGAAGGTGGCTGAGGACTACAAAGGCTCGATCCAATGCAAACATTTGCCAAGGAAAAATCTAAGTCAACAAGAAAACACAAGGAAGCGTTTACTTCTGGCTGGACTTCTTCGGCGGCAACTTCGAGGCTCGTCGACGGCCCAAACTTGCTGCGAAGCAACCCCCGCACGTGTTTCCGTATGAAAGACGATGGCATCGGTATAATTACCTAGGAAAAAGAGATGAGAACGTGTTCGGGTGATTGGAAACGGATGGGAAGAACGACTTCAAGGGGAGATTGGTGGGACAATTTCTATAAGGATTGGATTCATTCGCAGTCTGACATGTCTGCGCTCTCTTTTCTCTTAACGGCGAAACCATAAAAACATGAACGAAGCATCACAAAAAAGAGAGCACACAAAACTCATGGCTCATAGAATAGAAGGATAAACCAAAAAAAAAAACGCTGAATTTTGAAGCTTGAAAATTTTTTTTAATAATCATAGTCAAAAAAAATCGTTTTTTCGAGAATTAATTTTTTTTTTTTTGAAGCTTCAACTAGCTTGAGATAAAATTCAACTTGAACCATGGCAAGATTAGTGATACAAGGCGAGAAAATAATGGTTACGATTGATTAATGATGACAAAAAATGGAGTAAAGAATGAAAAATAATTCGAAAAAATTGCTGCAAAATTGGTAAGGACATAACGCGAGATCTTTCAAATTTAGTAAATTCAAATTCTTCACTTTCCCTGCCGAAAAAAAAATCCAGCTTGAAAGCTTTTTTTGTTTCAGAAAACATAATTAGAACCGTAATTTATGAAGTTTGTGTCGGAGTTTAAAAATAAATCGAAAAAAGAGCGGAGCGTTCAATAAACAAAGATTTTGATATGAGGACACGTTCCCAGTGAACTTTACACTGCACCATCAAGTTTGATTGAGAATGATTAATGAAATGGCGACCTTGCTTCGTTCAGCAGACCTAGTGTCCATTCGAAAAAGGAACATGCCTCATTTGGCGCGAAATTTTTCAATTCTCATGATCATAAAATCGGTTCAAATCCCTTGCTAAGTTTTTTGAAGAAGAACAGAAAAATGTTAACACTAAAACGACTTATAATTTTGATTTAAAGCAACTTAGCGAGAACTTGGAACATATACGAGAAGGAAAGGTGCGAAAACCCAACTAGGCAGGACAAAAAATATGCGAAAGGTCTGAAACGTCGTAAAACAAAAAGGCGTAGTATAGGAATAGAAAATTGCACACGCATAGTGCGAAAGAGCTCATTCATTCAGCTTTTGAGAGAAAACTGCACGCCACGAAAAAGGAGGATAAAATTGGCAGGGAAGCGGAGATGTTGCGAGATCAATGCTGCTGGAAAAAAAAAACGGAAGCAATTGGAGGAGTGTGAAACTGGACGCATAAAAAATGTTTCAAACAAAGATCGCGCATAGCGAATCGGTTTCATACAATCTGGAACCCAGAAAAAAAAAATCAAAGGAGTGAGAAAATGCAATTAATTGAGAAAAACTAATAAAATAAAGGGAACAACCGGCGGCGCGTTCCTTCCCGTCTACATTTTAGCTAACAACACAGCTGCTCGACTACTTTTCAAACGCCAGGAACGAAGAGGCGTGGTCTCAACGACGATGCCCGCTCTCTGCCCAATTGTCGTACGCCTAGTGAACTGGAGAATCGCGCCCAGCGGTCTCAAAAGAGAAGCACCAAAAATGCGCCATGCAATGACCATGTTTGCGTCATCAGTGGTCAGACTGACGCACAACGCGTGGACTCCCCAGTAAATTTTTCTTATTTTTTTTTTAAACCTCTTTCGCAACCATATTATCATTTTCACTCAAAAAGACTAGTTTTTGTCATAGTTTCGTAACCTCTTCCTGCTCTAAACTTCATTTAATCACTTGGTTCTCAAAAAGAAATTTTTTAGTAAATTATTTTTACTCGAGTTTGGTGATCAAATCAAATAATGGATCCGGAACTACTGAGACAGAAAGCAGCTTTTCAAAAGCACGCTTCTCGAACTGTCAGTGTACAGCAAAGGCCGCAGGTTCTTATTTTCAATTTGAAATAATTGGAAAAGAATTTAATTTATTTTAGCCATCAGCTTCGCTTGCCTCACACACAACCTACAATTCAGACGCAGCGAAAAAGAAGAAAAAGTCAAATGCGGCTCATCAGAACATCTCTAAAGGTTTTGCTGCCTCGAATTATAATTCTTACTAACAAAACTATAAATTTCAGACCCCGAATTCGATTTTGGGAGTTCCTCCTCTTCAGCGGCTTACTCAAACGCGACGAATTTCAGTACGATGGCGAAAATTGTGGATTATATGAAAGTTGATTGATTTTGAAGGCTCAAAAAAAGGTTATTAGTTTAGAAGCGTCATTTGGGCCAGCAACAGTGGCCTTTAACCCTACAAGAAGTTTTAGATGAGCTGCAGCTCTACGACTTGCCGAAGCGGTCGGAAGCTTGGTTGAAAGAGGTTTGAATGACGGAAAAACGTGATAAGAAATTATGTTTTGTGTCTAATATATCTTGTTATTCTAATTGCTTGCAAAATTAACGTTAAAACCTTTACTTGTTATTGTTTTTTCTCGTCAAAGTCTTTTTTCTTGTTGCGTTTTTAACAAATTTTTTATGCTCAATTTTTAACTTGCTTCATCTAGCCATTTAGTCTGAGTTGATTTTTTTAAAACTAATTCGTTAATTTCCTTGAAAAACCCCATCAGTTTGAGTTCAGTAATTGAAAAGTAGAAACGGAAAGTTTTTATTTTTGAACAGCGAATTTCTATTTCACGTTGTTGAAATCTCTCCATTAGTAAAATGTCCTAATTATGATTTTCAGAGTTTTTTTAGTGAAGAAAAAAAAAAATTATAGGCGCTACCGAACAATCCCCGTTTGATTTGCGATCCAGACGGAAAGTTCTCGTTCCGTCCGCCGTTCAAAATCAAGGGCAAAACGTCTTTGGTTGGTTTTTTTACATAGTTTTGAGCCCGCTGTTGAACTTTTTGATGAAACTTTTTCGGAACTGTACTTTCGAGCCTTCTGATTTAAAAAAGGAAAAAAAAATATATCTCTTCATATATCTTATTTTCAATTTATGAATCTTCAAACCTCTTGCCGTGATCGAAATTATCTCTGACCCTCCAAAACGTAGTTATCTTTTTTCTTTCCCTGACGTCTATTTTGAATTTCTTGGAATCTCAATCAACGCTTTTTCTCCTATTTTATGCGCAGTTTGCGAATTTTCAAGGGATCATTACTCGAAAAAATCTATCGCGAAAATTTTTTTTCTTGTTCTGGAATAAGGAGGTTCTGAAGTGCGTTCCAGCCCGATTTCAGCAAAAATTCAACTGCTAACAAAAAATGCGGGTGTACCCCGTAGTGAACCCCGAAAAATTGAAATTTTCGTTGATTTTTTTCGGTGCACCCCTGGGGCAACCGGTCGGAAATAGAATTTTTAAGCTACTGTAACAGCTTAGGAGGAAACTGTAGAAAATGGTGATATCGGGAAACAAACCACTTTGAAATCGTGTACGGAATAAGTAATAGGCGTTTGAAGCTAAACGGTTCAGCCCCTGGTTCAACTGCGGGGTGCACCGAAACTTTTATTGAAGTGTGGGTTTCTTCTGAAGTTCCAACAAAAATGAGTGGATTTTTAGATGGCCGTCGCCAGGAAGCACCATCAAGACGGAAAAGGCGGCATTTTGCTGTCGGATCTGAACGAGTGTGTTTCGAATGGCGATGCTATGTTGCAGGTTTTTCGAAGGACCTGAATTTTATTTCAAAAATATCGCTCCAGTCACTCGGAGACCAAGTCATTGTGGTTCCGACGCAGGTGAACAAGCGGAAAGACAAAGTTTTCTTCTACAATGATCCCGAGTTCAGCTTCACCTTGGAGGATGGTTCGTTCCCTCGCAAAAAAAAAATGATTGCTTTTTATAGATTTCAAAGCGCTGTGGAGAAACGTGTCGGTTGATCACTTGGATGAGAAGAAAATCGAAGAATATTTACACAAAAAGGGATTGGACGCAATGAAGGTTTGTACTTTAATTACAAATTCGATGGACTTTAAAATTGAAAAAGTCCCTGGGTAGACTAGCGGTGTGGAAAAATATTCGTTTTTTTTTAAATTTTGGATAGTTGAGAAATCAATCTTCATAATCTTTTCCATGGACTGTAAATTTAGGGCTCTCTTAGGAATTCCAGAGTGGTCCCTAAAGAGGTTAGGGGGAAAACAGCCCCTATAGGGGAAGAAAAAGTGGTCCCTCTAGGGGTTCAGGGTCTGATCTGTTAGACCCCAAAGCTCAAGTGGTCCCTGGAGGGTCTTTATATTTGATTCAAACATTTTTTTTTAAATTTAGTTTTTTGGACGAAAATGCTTCTTCGCATAGAGTTCATAAAAATTATCGACTGTTTCCCCTATAGGGATCACCAGTTGAAACCACTGCAGGGACCACTTTTGCAAGCTTTATTGGTTCCTAGAGGGGTTGGTAAAGTGGTCCCTACAAAAGACCCTCCAAGGGCCCCTTTAGGGACCACTCTGAAGTTCCCAAGCTTGTTACTGAAATATCTATATAGTCTGTTCAGTTTTTGAATGTCAAGCAGCTAACTCCACCCCCAAGGCTACAGTATCTTTCGCGTCAATGTTTTATCTACATCTGCCAATGGCCCTTTAATAAGGCTGCTTTTTTGACCTCTTTTTCCATCTTTTAGATTGAAAAAGATCAAAATTAGTCCCGCGCGATGAAACATCGACGCGAAAAGGTACCGTCTCAGCAGGGGCGGAGTTAGCTGGTTGACATTCAAAATCTGAACAGACTATAGGTCGTTCTGCTTCTTGGTTTTTTTTTAAATCTCCTAGAACTTTGAAAATTTCGAGTCTATGTTAATAATTTTCTACCTTATTCCGACTTTTGTGAAAATTAAATAATTTTCAAAGATCTTTATTTGAGCTTTTCAAAAGAGCAAACATGTTTCATGACCCACACTAACGTTAAAAGTGGCTCGGGACTTTTTAAACGTTCTTTTAAATACTCCAGAAAATTTTTCAAGCAGATTACAGGCTGCGAAAGTTGAACTGAAACTAAAAAATTCCAGGATTTGACGCCAAAACTGCGCGGCCCGATGCATCTGAAGCGAAAAGCGCCCAAGCGGCGGACCAACGTCAAAATTCACAACGAACATCTCGACGGCGTTTTGGAGGACTACGAATAATTTATTTTGTATCTTTCCTTTAAGCCGAACTATTTATCATTTTCCTTGTACACTTCTGTATGAAAACCAGAGATGGGCGAAAGATAGAATTTTCTTCAGAAAAAGTTTTTGAACCGGAAAAAAGTAGATTTTCTGTGAAACTATGCTTCTTTTGGGAAATATGACAAAAGTCTCTCTAATTAGGCTACCATCATAGGCAAAGTTGGAAAGGGTGGAAAAAGGCTCGAAAAATGTCCTTTTTTTAGGGTGCGAAAGGATTCCTTTTTGCTGCCTTTTTGCGCCATTTATGCGCCATTTTTGCTGCCTTTCCTTTTTCCACCATTTCTCGAGCCTTTAAAATCCCCAAATGAAAGGAGGCTCGATAAAGGCTCCCTTTTTGCTGCCGTTCTGCGGCCTTTTTGCTACTTTTCTGCGATCTTTCGGCGGCCTTTTTTGAGCCTCTCAGTGGCCATTATTCCATTTCAATCCCTTTGCAGCGAAAACTTCCGCACTTTTTTGAGCTGTTTTTAAAATTTTTCTAAACTCTGGCCCCCAAATTAGAAATACTTCATGGTTTTCATATCCCAAATATGCATAGTTTCACAGTTATCTACTTTTTTTCGGATAAGATGTTTCTCTTCGAAAAAAATATCTCTTCCGCGATTTTTTGCCGAAGTGTTCCGCCCATCTCTGAAGAAAAACCCAAAAAATACAGGTATTATAACGATTCCACAGCACTCCTCCTTATTTTTCCCTATCATTATACTATGCTCTACTGTTAAATATCTTGTTATCTGTTCCATAAACCATTTCTTCTGCAACATGTGTGAAGAAAGTTGAAGGAAAAGCGCGAAATTTGCACGAATTTTATTGCCTCTAAAAAGTGTGTTTAGTGTCTGATTTTTCTCTCCGCACATGTTTCAGGATGTTAACGAGGCTGAGCCGGTTGCGGCTGATGGAGCAGACGCGGAAGCTCAGCCAGCGTGACGTCAGATACGCGAGACTCGAGGAGTCCGACCTGATGGCCTTCGAGTCGGTCCTCGGGAAGGAGGCCGTCGTCAAGGATGATATCGCGAATTATGTCTCCGACTGGACACGGCAATTTACGGGCGAGTTTACGATGGAGCGCAACTGCTTTTTAGGAAGAGCCTGCGCTTGGAATTGCGTATTAAAAAATTTAGCAAGGCAATAGTGTAGTAACCATAAAGCGTAAGTGGTTTCCAGAAAGTCTGCTCTTCTTAGGAATTCCAGAGAGATTCCTAGAGGGGCCCGTAGAGGGTCCCCTTCAGAGACTACTTTACCAACCCCTATAGAGTCCACCAAAGCTTGCAAAAGTGGTTCCTATAGGGGTTTTCAGGGACATGCTAGTTGATAATTTTTATGAACTCTAAGCGTAGAAGCATTTCCATGCGCAAAAAATGAAAGAAACAAGCGTTTTTTGAATGAAATTGAGAGATCCCTATAGGGTACACTTCAGCTTTAGGGGTCAGATCTCAAGCTCCTATAGAGACCACCTGGCTTTTGCCCCTATAAGGAACACTTTTTCTGCCCATATAGGGACCGTTTTCCCCGTAACCCCTATAGGGACCACTCTAAAATTCCTAAGCTTCAACTTTCGTAAAAAAAAAAATGAGTCGAGGCAATGCAATATAGTTAAAAATTCGCCATGGAGCGCATTATTTTCCCAGAAAGAGCCTAGGCTTCGAATTGTTTAGAAAACAGGCTTTAAAAAAAAATCTAATACACGGTATTACAGTGGAAAATTCACAGTGGAGCATTGATTCCAAAACAAGCCTGTAGGTTGAAAGTTTAGAAAAACCGGCTTGAAACTTACACATCTTTCCTGAAAACGTCTCCGTTACAATCGCAAAAATTCAATAGTTCGAAATAAAGGGCACTTAAGTATTCCTTACTTCTAGTCCGGCTGACTTTTCGAAAGGTATTATAGAAAAAAGCTTGAGAAGTTGAAAACAACATATTTCTGAAAAATATTCTGCTCTCTGGAAAAAATGATGAATAAACTTACACAAATTTTCGATTTCTTCGGTTGGTCATTTGAATGCCCGAAATAGGAGAGTTATAGAAAAAAAAAGAAGCTTCATCCCGAAAAAAAAACTCAGTTTTCTTTCAGGTAAAGGAAGCGTAGTCCTGCTACCAAAAACCGCAGAGCAGGTCTCCGCCGTTTTAGGTTATTGTTCGAAAAGAAAACTGGCGGTTGTGCCGCAGGTTTGACTTTCCTATCCGAAAAAAACAAAGAAATGAAAAAGATTATCAGGCGGGCAACACTGGCCTGGTCGGCGGTTCGGTGCCGCTTTTCGACGAGATTGTGCTCTCCACGAAAAATATTCGGAACAATTTTGAGTTTGATGAAGCTTCTGGAGTGTTGACATGCGACGCCGGCTTCATATTGCAAGATATCGACGAGAAATTACGACAGAAAGGGTTGGTGAAACAAAAAAATCATAGTTTCTTCCTTAAAGGAGCATGAGAGAAATAGGTCTCACCACGAAAATCCTTTTTTCGGAGTTTGATAGATCTTTGACCTCTGTTTGGATCTTATAATCGCCATTAAGGCATTCAATAAACCTATAGGCTCGTTTAGACCCACTAAAGTGATCACTTCAGTAAGGATAACTGTCGGGATAAACTCGAGCTCTCTGGCGGCACGTTGACGAACTCGCAAATTTGTCGCATTTTCTTTTTCAATGTCACGTTTCTCTCGGCTTTTTGCGATATCGCATTTTCTTTTTGCGATGTTCGTTTTTGCGATGTCGCGTTTCTCTCGGCTATTGCGATGTCGCGTTTCTCCTGGCTTTTCGCGATTTTGCATTTTCTTTTTGCGATGTTTTTTTTTTGCGATGTCGCGTTTCTCTCGGCTTTTCGCGTTGTTGCGATTTATTTTTCGCGATGTCGCGTTCCTTTCGGCTTTTTGCAATGTTCTGTTTTGCGATGTCACGTTTCTCTCGGCTTTTTGCGATGTCGCGTTTCTCTCGGCGTTTCGAGATGTCGCAATTTCTTTTTCGCGATGTCGAGTGTTTCTTGGCTTTTTGCGATGTTCTGTTTTGCGATGTCACGTTTCTCTCGGCTTTTTGCGACGTCGCTTTTATTTTTTGCGATATCGCGTTTCTCTCGGCGTTTCGAGATGTCGCAACTTCTTTTTCGCGATGTCGAGTGTTTCTTGGCTTTTCGCGATGTTCTTTTTTGCGATGTCACGTTTCTCTCGGCTTTTCACGATGTCGCATTTTCTTTCTTTTTTTCGCGATGTCGCGCTTTATTTTTTGCGATGTTGCAATTTATTTTTTTTGCGATGTCGCATTTTCTTTTTTGCGATGTCGCGTTTCTCTCGGCGACCTAGATATTTTGAAAACTTCCAAAAGACCCGGGCGAAGACAGAGCGACCTGTTTGCAAGTTCGTCGTACCGCCAGCGACATCGCAATTATCTCGCACCAGACTCGATATTTATCTTTAGTGATGATTCCAAGAGTCTAAAAGCTTTTCTTGAACTTTTAAGAATCCAAAAAGCGATCTTCAGAATCATCTTCATAACCCTTACCAATCAAAAATCTTCACAAAAGAAAATCTCCCAGGTTCATGATGCCTTTCGACCTCGGCGCCAAAGGATCCTGCCTAATCGGCGGTAATATTGCCACCTGTGCCGGTGGAATCCGACTTCTTCGCTACGGAAGCCTTCACGCTCATCTTCTAGGCCTCACGGCGGTAGTATCAACTTCCAACTTTATATATAAGTGATGTGACAGGTTCTTCCTGACGAGAACGGCACGATTCTGAAGCTGGGGTCGCCGATCCGGAAAGACAACACCTCGCTGCACACCCATCACATGTTCTTGGGTAGTGAGGGCCAGCTGGGAGTCATCACCAGCGTCACGATGACCGTTGTTCCAGCTCCTGACAGCGTCTGCAGCGCTATGTTAGGTTCGGTGATTGGGGTCTCAGTTCAACTTGAAAAAGTCTAACTTCTCTGCGCCCTCTCTTGCTTACCTGATATTTCCGACATATGACCTTGCAAGTTAGAGAAAAGAGCGCGCAGGCAGGTTAGACTGCCTCATTTGTGGCGGATGATCTACATCTAGAAGAACAAGGCCTCTGGTTAGATGACTAGTGGCCTCTTAAGTGAAATACTCTGATATCTCTGACTCTCTCGTGTCTACGTGCTCTTTTCATAGCACTCTGACCGATCAGAGAAAAATTTCATTTCACGGATCACATTAAACTCTTGAAGAGCTCTATAAGGACACTATAATGACCACTGGAAGCCAGTAGCTCCTCCCAATAAATCATAAGTTTTTTCAAAATTCTTCTTTTTGAGAACTTTTTCGCCGTCAAGAATCTTTTGTTTTTCTCTTCCAGGAATATCAAGCTTCGAAAACTGCCTAGCCGTACTGAAACTGGCCAAGCGTCGACTCGCCGAAATCCTCTCTTCCTTTGAATTCCTCGACGCCGCCGCCATGGAAGCCCTCGAGGAGAACTTGAAGTTGGCGCCGCTTCTGACGGAAAAATCGCCGTTCACCATCCTCCTGGAGACGTCTGGCTCCAAAGCTGAGCATGACATGGAGAAGGTGAAGAACTTCCTGGAGGAGTGTTTCAACGAGGGGCTGGTCGATGATGGAGTTATGGTAGGTGCTGGGTTTTTCGAAAAGTACAAGGGGATCAGGCCGACTCGCTGACGGAGGCGAACAAGATGTGGACGCTGCGGGAGAGCTGTCCCTTGGCCGTCGTCCGAGATGGATACGTCTACAAACACGACGTCTCCTTGCCTCTTCCGCATTTCTACGCATTGACTGAGGTATTGCCTTCACTTCAGTAGTGATTTGAATAGGTTCAAGAGCTCTAGCCATACCATTTTGGCAGAACATTTTCGTCACCTCCTCGCCAGTCTTTCTAAAAAAAAATTGAAAATTACTACATTCTGCGTAAATTTTCAGTATCCACTATATGGCTTTGACGTTTTAAGGACTACTATACTACTATAGTAGTCCAACCAGTGGCCACTTAAGGGGTTAAAAACTAGTGGCCACTATAGAGGTCTAAGTGCTACTACTAGACGGCTAAAAATTTTAGTCGCCACTTTAGGGGTCAAAGGATCAACATAACTGGTCCAATCTGTTTGTTTTAAAATTATCAGAGTTACTGAACAGAATACTGAATGAAAAACTACTGAAGAGGCCACTAAATAGAGAACCTCTATAGGGGCCGCTAAAACTGAAAATAGTGGCCACTATAGAGGTGGGTTCAGTGGCCACTTTAGTGGCCTCTCCAAGTAGTCCTTGAAGAGCCTCTATAGTGGTCACTAAAAATTTTCCCAGTTCTTATCAAACCTACCTTCTCCAATCTTCCTGGGCTAACTGAGACCTGTAATTTTCCACCTGTATGCTTCTACTCAGGAATCTAACAGACTTCTTCATTCTTCCTACGCCTTTGTACCGCTTGAGCGGCGTTGGCGTCCCTAACCGAAGTCTTATCCTGATAACAGTGATAAGCAGTGGACTGGCTCTAGCGACCTGTGTGACGGCTGGGGATTTCGGAAGTCGTGGTTTCCCACTACCAACATTTCTTAAACCCCTTGGTTCGGCTCAAGGCGGGGGTCGAACTTATGACCATGTGGACCGTAACCAAGCATGCAACCAGTTGCGCTACGGACTAGTCGAGTAAAATTCCACCAAGCCCTTGAAAACTTGAAAAAATCTTCAGAGAACTGAAATTTGTAGGAAATGAGAAGACATTGCGGAGACCTTGCCAAGCGGGTCGTCACCTACGGTCACCTTGGCGACGGCAACACTCATCTCAACATCACGTCTTCCAAATTCGATCAGAAACTTTATGACAAGTAAGGGTACAACTTCAGCTTCTAGAATGAATCTGGCCTAATTATTATTAAAAGTGTCCTTTAATAATAGAAAAATAAGGCTCTCATACCTACAAATTCCATGCGTCTAGTAGGAATATGAGAAAGCCTAGGCCAAAAGTTTGATTTGTAAAGCAAAGTTTCCGAGAGGGAGTTCTTAGCTCAAACTTCCGAAAAAAAAATCGAAGCATCACTGGTTTTCGAAAAAGAATATTTTTTCTCAATCATTCCTTCTTACACCCATTTCCGGAATTAGTGATGAACCTGACTACAAATTTTCTATCGTTATGGAAACGTATATTGACTTAGATAAGCCAATAAATGAGAATTATTGTTTAAAGTTCATTTTAATTGAAGCATTTCCTTACAAGGAACACATTTAAAGTTCAGAAAAAGACGCTTCGAAATGCCGTTTTTTTCAATTTCATTTAATTTTCTTAAAGTTTACAAGTTCATTCAGTCTTCTCTGCTGAATCATGAAAAGAATTGATCGTCGGTTTGCAAAAAAAAAATGGTTTCATCTTTTTTCTTATAGCCTGTGTACGACATTCCGCTGTGCCGCTGCGCGCCTTTGCGAAACTCGGTCGCGAATTAAATTTTTTTTTCTTTTGTTACGGTACTCTACTTTCATGTGCTCCCATAGCAATAACAATCAATTGAAAGCGTGACCTAGATTCAGACGCTTCGCGAACGCACGCAGCGGAACAGCGGAATGTCGTTCCGTGAAATTTCAAGTCGTATAGGAAAATTTTTTTTATCATTCCGAAGTTCAGCTACTTCTCCATTACTTTCTTAAAATTCCAGACTCTACCCATACCTCTACGAATGGGTGGCCGACCACGGCGGCTCGATCTCGGCCGAACACGGCATCGGTCAAGTCAAAATGCCCTACGCTCACTTCGGGAAGCAACTCGAGGAACGAGCTCTGGTCCAGAGTCTCAAGCAGGTCTTCGACCCGAATCGCATCCTCAACCCTTACAAAATGTTCTGAACGCATATCTTGTACCCCTCTTTAGCTTCAAATGGTCTAGCTTCTTTGTACTCTCTGGTTTTTACGTGCTCTTTTCTTGTTTTATGCTGAGGGAAAAGAGACGCAGGTCGGCTAGCCATTCCCGAGACGTGGAGAAGGGATCTGTTGTGATTTTACGTGTAATAGACGAGAATTTCACATTTTCTCTGTGAGAAATTTCTATTTTCCAAACTGGTGACACGAAATGAATATATGATACACTCCGTTGACTGTACAGTAGTAAAGATCAAACAAATGGGCTCGGCTAATGATACGTAGGCTAAGGGCAGCCTGTTCAAATAGGCATCGAATTGACCGGCCTTTCCACTCATTCGCTCGGATCGCATCGAAATCCAGTCGTCGTCATGCTCCTGGTAGTGCTCATACTTCTTGTTGGCGTTGACGCCACGGATCCAGTCCAAGAGGAGCTTCGTCATCCGACTTCGGACAAGATCATTGAGAAGTATGTCGAGCTGTCGATGAACCTCACCGGATTGTTCAACGGGACCACGATCGGCGAGGAGGCTCTTCATGAGGTTTGGAGAATTTAGATTTGAAAGTTCGTCTCCAGAAATATTGAACGATGACTCAACAAATGAAAAATTGTATATTGATCAAGAAATGAAGAAGAAAAAATCTTTTTAAGAGTCCCAAAAACGAAGTGAAACTACTTGAAAGAATTACAAAGAGTGAAGCTTAATTAAAGGGTCACTTAAGAGGCCTTTCGAAGAATTCCTTCAAAACAACTGAAGGTAATCAAAATTGAGACCATTTTAGTCTTTTTGGTTTCAAAAAATAGCAATTTTTTAGCATTAGTAGGAAGTTTTTTTCCGTGCCTCGACAAGGATACAAAAAGAAAAACAAAGGAGAATCTTCAGAAAGTGCGTTTTTTGATTAAACTAGCGCTCTACTGAAAAGTTTTCCAAAAACATAACTTTGAAATTTTCACTTCACTAGACAAAGTTTAGATAACTCAATTTTGTTTCAGCTCTCCAAAAAGATCGTCTCACACGACAAGGATCCGGCCAAAGTTCACGAAATTTACGAAAAGTTTGTCGAAAAACTGCCAGAGGATCAGAAGAAAGTCTTCGTCGACTTTTTCTACGATAAAGTGTCAGTTTTTTTTTAATCAAGTGAAAAAAAAACTTTTAAAGTGCGCTCTAATAAACTAGACTGATTCGCGGACTTCGGTAACAAGAGCAGGACGTTTCTGATCTTTTCTAGGGGTCCTTTTAGTGGCTTCAGCTCTCTTAAGGGATCCCTACAAAAGCTCAAAAGCTTCGGGGGCGCGTCCGGTTTGCGTTACCGCCACTTTTGAGACCGAGTTCGCTGGAGCACACTTTCTAAGCTTAAAACAGCTGCAGAAGAAAAATAATTCTTTCAGCCGCCTTGACTACATGAGCAAACGAGTGGACACAATTCTAGGATACTACCTCACAAAACATCAGATTGCCAGGGTTTTTGGAAAATTTTCGAAACCTATTTGATGATATATTTCCAGATTCGTCATATTATGGAGGACGGATTCACCGTGGGGCTCAATCGGGAAGAGATCATGAAGGTGATAAGTGAGGAGCTCACAAAGGTTCGTACTTTATTATAAATGACGAAAAAAAATTTGGTGACAGCAGAAAAGTTGAAAAAAAGGAAAAAATACGTTTTTTCCATAGAGCAACTTTACTGCAAAACGCCCTTCTGGCGGGGATTCAAAAAATTTTTCCCTCAAAGTTCTGTATTTTCGAGGCGATAGCAATGAAAAGCTGTACGAAATTCCGCATATTTCAAACTTTCCGAATTTCTTGATGCATTAATTGAAACTGGTTTCCTAAACTTCCTACGTTTCGAAAAACGTATAATTAACTGGACTTATAACTAAAAAAACGTTTGACTTGAGATTTTTTTGGACGTTTTTTTATTAGTGGAAGAAAGTGCTAAACCAAAAATGAAGGGGCGGAGTCACAACCTCCGCCGTTCCCATGTGACGTCATGGGAAACAAGCGTAAGCATCCGGGATTATTAAAGGCGCATGTTCAATGGGTCACGAAACGAATCGTTTTTCTCATTTAAAAAACACAATTTTTCTGTTGCCGTGATCAAAGTGATTCCGCGAAATTCAAAAAAGCAAAAAAAAAAACGAATTTCGGAAGTTCAAAATTATCTTAAACATTGCGTGTGCGAGTGCGCCACGGTGCATGCACACGACACACTACACTTTACGGAAAAAGAGCGGGGTGTCGTCAAAAAAACGCCGTGGCCATAGAAATAAAATAAAATCGACCATCATATTGAAAAATAAAACCCACACGAAAAATATTTAACATTACATGTTTTTTTCGAAAATTTCAAATCTCAAATCTTCCGTAAACGATTTTTTATTTTATTTGCGTTTTTTTGCAGGAAATCGGAAAAGAAAAAGCCGAGAAAGCGTTGGAAATGACGGTGAAGAACTTGAAAGTGTTCGCTAAGAAGAATATTGGAGTCTTGGATCGTGTCGAGGGCGCCTTCAACAAGATGATCCACGAAGAGTTATGAATATTCCCATTTTTCAATCTTATATGTGTATCTGTTCAATTCGTCCCAAATGTTGCGGACCAACGGAAAAAACCGTTTTTGACGGCTCCGAGCTGAGCAAACGTCCGTTTCTTTTCCGCTTGTTTTTCGTTGATCTTTTGTTTCTATTATTGATATTTTTGATGTCAGAGGTATAAAGAGATTTTTATCTACAAAATGAAGGAATATGTATATTCCACAAAAAGCCGAAAAACGACTTCAAATAAGGCGGGCAAAGCTTTCAACTTCAAAAAAAGAATGGATGAATACTGTTGCTCCTAAAACAGGTACTCATTTTTCATTTCAAATCAATATATTTTACAATTTTGTTAGAAAGGAAGGGGGGGGGGGTCGAAAAAGTGGCCCCTTAAGGCGTAAAACCAAGGTGCTCCCTAGAGGAGTCTGACCTCTTAGTCCTAAAGCTTAAGCGGACCTTTCCATTTCACTCGGAAAACCCTTATTTATACAATTTTTTCTATGGAAATGCTTCTTCGCACAGAGTTCATAAAAATTATCGACTGTCCTGTCCCCTATAGGGCCCACCTATTCAAGCCTCAGCGACCCCAATAGAGGTTGGTGAAGCGGTCCCTAGAGAAAACCCTCCAAGGGCCCCGAACGTTGCCTCTATAGAGACCATTCTGGAGTTCCTAATATGCCGTCCAGAAAACCAGTACGTGAGAAACTCAAGTACCTCAAAAAGGCAGAAGTTTGTTTGAGCACCAATTGAAAGCGTTCGCTTTTTTTTTCAAATGAGTCAGAGTGAATGGGCAGCGGCGGTAGCCGGTCGCCGGCTCTCCGCCGCAAAAAGGACCGATGAATGTCGGCTGTCATATAAAAGCATGAGCGAGCCCGACGGTCGGAATAATAATAATGACGAGGAGCGTTTGGGTGGTCCTCGCGGCGCTGGTGGCCGTCGCCTCGTCGGAACTCATCCGAACCCGTGCCAAACGACAGTGTTGCAATGCCGGTACCTCCACTTGCTGCGGAAATGGAGGCGGTGGCGGGATCTGTGTCCCAGTCTGCGTCGGACAGTGCACTTCGGCTTGTCAGACGGTCGCCTGCCAGCAGACTTGCCAATCCACGTTTGTTCTTTTTTCTTTTGTTGAACTTTTACTTGTTCTTTGCAATTCCTGACCAGAACATGGTCTCAGCACCAAGTTTTCTAGATGTAGCTTTTCACGCTGATTCCAAATCCGGTTTCAAAATTTGCACAATTCATCTGTGAAAAAAGTTAGGGACTCTCAAAAGTGCAAAATAATGTCTCCGATTGAGTTCATTTTGTGTGCAGTTTGATGTCCAATGGACAACTCCGGATATTTCTCTCAAAGAAGGTTCTTTCACTTTGCCTTTAGAAATTTTTCGAAAATCTGCCAGTACCCAAATAAAGAAGCCTGCACAACTTCCTAATTTCCGAGAAATAAGGGCTCGAAATTACCCTTTTTGCGGGTACTGGTGATTTTCTTTCACCCTTTTCTCGAATCGAAAAGCTCTACAGTCCGTTTTTCGCAACTTGAAAGGACGGGACTTCTCTGCGCCCTCCTCGTCTCTCGACGACCCTCTCATGTTTACGTGCTATCTGCATGTTTCTCTGACCTCGCTGGTGAGGGAACAGAGAGACGCAGAGACGCGAAAACTGTCGAGTACGGACTATATCGGTTTTTTTTTTCTAATGACCCTGCCTATAAGAGAAAAGAGGTCATAGACACGTCAGACTGTATCAAGTCGTAGTACAGCTATCTCAAAAATTCCATGGAAGATTGAAAAATAAAAATTTTCCAGATGCCAACAACAGTGCGGCGCTACTCAAAATGTGAGTGAATATATTTTCTTTCCTTCTTTGGATGTTAATAATCTTAATCTCAGGTGGTCTACATGCCGACCACTTCTCAAGGATCCTGCAGCTCCTGCCAGCAAGCTTGCGCTTCGAGCTGCACGACGCCGGTCTGCACTCAGACTTGCCGCCAGAACAGCTGCGGATCGGTTTGCGGGGGATCGCCGGTCAGTTGATCAGCCAAAAGTTAGAAAACCGTTCCGATTCATATCTTATTGAGAAAGGCTTGAAAAGACGTCTAACTTTTCAGGTGCTCGCCCTGAGCTCAACCTGTCAATCTTCTTGCCAGAACCAGTGCCAATCTACATGCTCAACTCCTTCTTGTTTCTCCGGTAAGTATCTTTGAAAATAATTTCCTCAAAATGATTATTCGGTTGTTGGAAGGCTTCACGTCGTTAGGATGCCATGATGGTTTGTTTAGAAATATTCGGGGGTCAGACTTTCGGCCTTTCCAAGCTTGGATCGTGCTTCAACACTCGCATCACCTGCCATTGAAAACAGCACATTTCAGGCTGCGCCTCGTCTTGCCAATCGGCTTGCGGCTCATCCACATCTTCCAATCCCATCGTCATCGTCGTGCCAGCGTCATCCTCTAGCAACTGCGGCTCCTCTTGTCAGAGCCAATGCGACCGAGTCTGCACGACGCCCGTCTGCGTCAAGACCTGCCAAAATGCCTGCCTCAGCACCTGCGGAAGCTCCTGTGCCGGCGGATCTTGTACTACGCCCACACCAGTGGTAGTTGTTCAGGCGGTCGGTTTTTTTAAAAGCTATCTATTCTTTTTTGCTCGGTTGATAATTTTTGTTAGAAAGCTTTTCTGGGTGATAGAAGCTTCTGTTTATCTTGATCAAGAAGAGAAATGTCTCGAAAAAAAAGGCCGTGAGAGGAAAGGTTTTTTGTCCGGGACTCATTATCTCCTTCCTAATATAGCGGTCCTTTGCGAAGAAAAATCAGTTCGAAAATCCTTGAGAAGGTGAAAAACGCGATACTTCGAAATTCATAAATGCCTCAAAAAACATCATTTTACAACGATGCGCCGTAACTGGAGACTGACTTCAGCCATCCAAGAAAGGTCCTGACACGATAATAAAAGAGATAGTGTGTGGTTGATGGAGAGCGCAGACAGGCCACGCCCCCTTAACTTTCCAAGCTAACCGTGAATCGGCTATGTGATGCCTCTTAATGACATGGTCTATAATATGCCCAGTTCGGGTAAGCCGTGAAGCTATTTTACGTGCGACCATGGTTTTGTCACGAACCATTTACGCGGGTACTTCTGACCATAAAACCACGAAGTATACTGAAAAAAAGTTGCCTCTATTTTAAAGAAAACTCTACCAAATCTTCATCTTCCCCGTACTTTCAAAAAGACCATTCGAGTTTCAGAGCCCCTGCCAGAGCCGCTGCCAAAACACGTGTCAATCCACGTGCCAAGCCACCCAGTCGGTCTCTTTCTGCGCTCCACTCTGCCAACAAACCTGCCAGTCCACTTGTCAGGCCGCCCAAGCCGTCGTGGTAAGACCCCGACGTCTTCCTCGGAACCAACTCCAATTTCCAGATGCCATGCCAAAGTTCCGGCTCAGTGGGATGCTCCTGCAGCTCCGGTTTCAGCCGCTGCGGCTCGCAGTGCTGCAGAAACCGCCTCTAACTTATTTATTTCCATGCCATGGAATAAATATTTATTTGTGTGTGTCACAGTTTTCACTTTTGAAAGGGAAAGGTGATTGAAATGCGATCAAAACGGTCATATTCGAAAACATGGGGACGTCATCGAGGTGTTTGAACCTTATGCTTGAAACTTGGGAATTTTTTTTAATATTGAAAAAAGAAAACAAGCCGTCCTGGAGTATTCAATCGATAAAAAAAACCGATTTGAATCGGGTTTCCAGTTTCGTTAAGGTCAAAAGGCACCAAATCAGTAAGTCAAAAAAAAGTCTTCTATACTCTCGCCAGCTTGACTAAGCTTCAATGGTCCAGAATAAATATAAAAACCTTGCTTTGAAAAAATTCCAAGAAACGCAAAATTTACAGATTTCATGAAAAATTTGACTTCAGAAAAAGCACCAGACTTAAAGTACCAGACTTTAAGTTCTAAAAAGAGAAATTATACACTGGCGCAACAAGGCTTTTTCGGCAAAATCGATCAAGTAATCACTAGAGGCCACTCGAAAACCCCTTCAGGGAACTCTTCATTTCGAAACTTTCTATCCGCGAAGTTATTTCAAAAATACGAAAGGTTCGTATTTTTGAAAGAAAGCTCATCACCAAAAATATCAATATTTTGTGAAGTTACAAAAAATGGTTCTGGAAACTGAGTGGAAAATGAGTTCAAGTTTAGAACTCACAAGGGAGGTCATTTTTCTTCGTGATTTGAAATTTCCTACAAATTTTCTCGAACACTCTCTGAAGGTCTAGATGAAGATCCCTCCTAGTCCTTTCCTGCGCAAACTTCTAGTTTTTGAGATATGATTTTTCGAAGTTGCAAAAATGGGTTTTAGGCCTCACTTTTCAAACTTCAAAAATTAATATCTCAAAAACTAGAAGTTTGCGCTGGTCAAGACTACAAGGGATCTTCTTCTAGACATTTAGAGATTGTTTGAGCAAATTTGTGGAAACGGCCAAGTGAAATGACTTCCCTTGTCAGTGCCTTCACGATTTTGACGAGGATTCTGATAGAAAATCGAAATTTCATATTGCGAAAATTCTTGAGTTCACTAGAGTCCATGGTACAAAGATCGGTTCTGCGAAACTTGATCTCCCCAATGTATGAGCCAAAATTTTTTTTTCCTATCGCAGGTGCATGACAAAGAGCAGATACAAACTCCAATGCGGAAAAAAAACGGAATTTGTGGCCAATTAGCAGGTACTTTCAACTGCAACGGATATTCTGACAAATCGGGGCCTTCGGCGGCGGCGGCGCCCGCGCCAAAAACCGATCGGTTCATTCATCCAATCCTTTTTCTCGACACCCCGCCGTCGATTCTCGTTTGATTTGTCATTTGTCAAGTGGCCGTCATTTTTTTTCCAGTGTTTTTTTTCTTGTCATTTGGTCATTGAATGGAAAAAATCTTGGAAAAATAAACAAAAAAACAAAAAAATTTTTTTGGGGGGCTGGAAAAATTTGGCAAAATGTGTAGTTGATCCCCTGTTGGCTTGATGGAAAAAAAGTGCAAAAAAACTAAATTCGTTGTAAAAATATTTTTGTCAAAAAAAGTCCCTGCGCCTTTGAATTAATCGGGTTTTTTTAGCCACTTTTTTTCTTTCTTGAATGAAAAAAATCTCCGGAAAAAAATCCCAGAAAAAAATTCAAAAAAACTCAAAAAAATTAAAAAAATTCCCATTCAAACTTAAAGGCGCATAGGAAATGTATGAAATAAAATCCTGGCAAGAATTTTTTCTAATCGTTTTTTTCTCAACCTACGTCAAAAAAATATACATGTAGAAGAATGTGAAAAATTTTTCAAATTTTTTTATTCAAAAAAATTGAACTCCTCACCAAAAATTGATATTCCAACTCAAAAAAATCTTATTCCAAAGAATCTGCCTCCAAGATCTTCCTCATCATTATCTTCTCACTCTAACTCACTTTTTCCATGATAAAAAAAATAATAAATCAAATTGAGTTCTACAAAAGACGGCAGAGAATGAATAGCGGCAGGGTTTGGGTCCGAATAGTCTTTCTGGTCACCTTTTTCCAGCTCTCAAAATCTCAGGACGTTTGGGGGATTGTACTACCTACGGTGAGTATAATTTAAAGATCTTCGGTGAACATTTGGATTGGATGGAAATTGAAATGTCCTTAACTTCAAAATATATTTTGTGAATTTTTAATTTGCTCTATTAGTGGTTTCATGGAAAGCTTGTTAGGAAACGGGAAAATTCTCGGTTTGAAAAAAATCAGAAACAAAAAAAGTTCATTATATCCCTGTCTAACAGGAAGTTTAAAAGAGCTTTCAGTTGTTTCAAAATCACTTTGTAATTTAGAGACGGAGAAAGGAACTTTTTTGAAGTTGTTCGTGTCCTTTTTCCCCCAGCCCTCCTTCAGAGTGGTCTTTCTAGGGGCAATCTTAAAGGCTCTCTGAAGGTCCTCTCTCTGGACCACTCTACCGACCCCTATAGGGGCCACTATAGGGGACATGCTAATCGAATTCTAAGCGTAGAAGCATTCCCATGCGAAAAACTAAAAAGTAATACTTTTTGAATGAAATTGAAAAGCCCCTATAGGGTCCACTTGAGCTTTAGGGACTAGGGGTCAGACCCTAAACCCCATAGGGACCACTTTATCTTACCCTTTAAGGGACCACTTCTCCTCCCTAACCCCTATAGGGACCTCTCTGAAATTCCTAAGTAATCCTGTTTTTAAAAACATGGGCGAATAATTTTCGAATGAAATATAAATTCTGCACCATTTTTTGAAGCTTGTGAGTAGGAACAAATGAGAAACCAAAAAAACTTAAGATACAAAAATTTTTTTTCAGATATCGCCACAGGCTTCAACGAGTTGCACAACCGTGAGTTTTTTTGAAAAGGCTTTTTATTATTAAATGAAAAATTAAAACTTCAAATTTTTTTACTGAAACTCTGAAGATTGGAAAAGGAAAGCTTTTTTTCGAATTTCAAAATAATTTACGACAACCATTTGTATTCCTATTTTTTTTGCTACTCACAGAGTTCCCAGACAATTGAGTAATAGGTTTATAAAAAAGGCATTGCAAAAAAGAACAAACTTGATTTTCCAGGCAGCCTGGCTAGCGTGGAGCGACTGGTCGTCGTGTTCGGACACGTGTGGAAGCTGCGGAGTTCATCTCCGGACCAGAACTTGCCTGACAACCGATTCGAGTTGTACTTGTGCAGGGTTCGTTTCCAATTTCATCTTTTTTTTTTTGGAATAAATTTACTTTGAAATAAACGCCATATACAGAAAAGCTCACATAAGAATTGAAAAAATCAGAAAAACTTTCGGAATTCAGAAGGTCCAAAAAATTAACGCTCACCAAGCGTCTGAATTTTGAAGGAAGCACAAAAAGACCTAAAATACACGAAAAACAGATTTTTTAGAAAGTGGGCTCACAAAAAAATTTGGATTGTAAAATGAGTTTTCTGTTAACGAGAGCCATTTGATGATTCCATGCCTAATAAGCCATTTTTCTTCTCTTTTTTACCCTGATATATATTATATCTCTAGAAAAATTTACTTTCTTAGGAACTCCAGAGTGGTCCCTATAGGGGTACCCTTAGGGAACCTTGGAGGATCCCCTATAGGGGCCCTAAATCTTGCAAGAGTGGTCCCTATATGGGTTTTAGTTAGTGGGCTCTATAGGGGACATACTAATCGATAATTTTTGTGTACTCTATGCGAAGAAGTATTTCCATGCGAAAAATTAATTAAACAAGCGTTTTTGAATGAAATTGAAAGACCCCTATAAGGCCCACTTAAGCTTTATGGACTAAGGGGTCAAACTCTAAACCCCTTTAGGAACCTGCTTTTCCCTTAGACCCCTATAGAGGCCTCTCTAAAAATTCCTAAGTCTGATCTGTAAAAAAGTCTGATTGTTCAGCTTAACGTTCATCAAAAAAAATAAATAAATAAATAAATACACTGAAAATTACAGGTCAGCAACCGATGTTGAGTATTGCAATTTGGAAATTTGCCGATATCCAAGGTCAACGTGTTGTTACAACTTAAAGGTGGGGTTCGAGAAGGTTCTTTCATAAAATTTTGAAAAATAAAGCGAAAACAATTGTTTCTTTGAGCCGATTTTTAATAAAAGACCACTCTAAATTAGGCTTTGAAAATTTTTGGAGTTCGACAGCTTGTCACAGCTAAAAAGTTTATAGCAAAGTCGGAAAAGCCGAAAAAAATTCCATAGAAATTTTTAGGGTGAGAAAGGCTCCTTATTGCTGCCTTTTTTTAGCCATTTCATCGGCTCTTATGCACCATTTTTGCTGCCCTTTTCCACCATTTCTTGAGCCTTTAAATCCCAGAAAAAAAATGGAAAATTTCGATAAAGGGACTCTTTTTGCTACTTTTTGAGCCTAGCCCTTTTGGCGGTTCGAAGATTTTGAAAATATTTCAATAAGGGCAATATTCAAAAATTTTTTCCAAAATCAATTTACCTGAAAACGATTTCAGGTAACGGCTTTATCCGGCAAATTCGCCTGTCTCTCAACCTCACCTGCTCCCGCACCAACAGCATAAATGAAACCTTGCCACTCGCTTATGAAAAACAAATAGTTTATCAAACGTATCATCCATTCCTTTAAATATGATGCGTTTGATGCGACTGCCGCAACGATAAACAAATTCTTGTTATTGTAAAGAAAGCTTCTTTATTCTCATATACGTGTAAATATCAATGAAGAAATTATTGGCTTTGTTGGGAATTTTTTCCGATGTGAAAGTGAGATCAGCGACAAATTTCGGGGGAACAACATACATAGGCAAAGTCGGAAAGAGTGGAAAAAGGCTTCAGAGAAATTTTCCTTTTTGCTGCCTTTTTGCGTCATTTTATCGGCTCTTATGCACCATTTTTGCTGCCTCTTCCTTTTACCATTTCTTGAGCCTTTAAAATCCCAGAAAAATAGAAGGCTTGATAAAGGGACCCTTTTTGCGACCTTTTTCGAGCCATTATCCACCATTCCGACTTTGCCCGAGTAGAGGGGAACGTATCAATACCTATTTTCTTGAGGGTACAGTAAGAAGTAGAAAAAATGAAGAAGGAACTGAAAACTCTGGAAAGACTACTTTTATACACCTGCTCGAGTGCCCATCGAAATTAAAAATAAGCTTCTCTAGACCTTATCTTAATCATATTACCAAGGACCTATTTATAACCCTCAAGACCTCATCCTTAAAGGAGCTACTCAAAATATCCGCTGTTAAGCCGTTTCAGTTGAAAGCCTGCTTTCATCCGCATCAGAGAAAGCGACTTTCAGCCTCAAAAGTGTTCGATGTGGACGACAGCTCGGGAATTATTGGTTTCTGACTCGTCGAGGCTGCCTTTTCCGCTGTCGACGTTCCAAGTCTTGGGCCGGTCTACGTGGAGCCGCGTCGACTCCTCTTCCTCCATCAGCCTCGCGAGGATCCCGTCGTTCGGAACGATCACCTTGGGACTGTTGACGTCGTCCTGAAAACTTCTCAGTTCGGTGGAACGAAGAAAATCGCAAGAAAAAGTTTTCTTTTGGCTCAAATACCCGAAACGCAGGGGATTCACAAAACATGATTGGACGGTCTTTTTGGCAACTTCCATTATAGTTTTGCTTTTGAATTTGTTTTCATGCCGAATGGGCGCATCCAACGAATCATATTTTGCTTGGGGACCAATTTTACCAACCCCTATAGGGGCCACTGAAGCTTGTAAAAGTGATCTTTATTATTTTTTTTCTCAGCACTCCTCGTTGAACTTTAGAAAAAACACTTTTCTTTAAATTCTCTGAAAAATTTCTCCGCTTCTTGCTTTTTTCGAATACCCTAGGCTTTTTAACAGAGACTTCATTCGTTTCCGAGAAAAAAAGTATAAAAAAACACAAAAGCACACTATCCAAATAATTTCTACAGTAAATCAAGATTGCATTTTCTGTAAAAGTTTCAAAAATTAGACTACATATTGATTGATGTATCACGTGTCTAGTTAAAACTTTTCAATACTTAGACATCCACCTACCGTAACCCCGCTACAGTAAGAGTGAATTAATAAAAATGTTGCATCCGCGTTTTTTAACGGTTGAATGAGTAAACTTTGTTCCGACTCACCCGCGAAACTCAAATGTGTTACTCAAGCAGATTGTTTGGGCCAGAAACTAACCGAAAAATGTACAGTGGGCGGGTGGGAATCCTTCCTGATAGTGTCGATCCGAATGATGGTGACGTGTTTTTCTTGCTCTTCGTTAGCTTCCTTGAGAGCTTGCTCAATGTCTTCCTTGTACGACTTCTGGCTCTTATTGGAGCGTTTCGTGGCCTTCGACTTCCGAGATTTCGGGCGCGACAGGCTGAATTTGCTCGAGAGCCGACGAATTATGTCCAGAGGTCCTTCTGCAAGACTTTTTCTTTTTGAAACTATGAATTTACTTGAAGCTGAGTTCTGGATTTTTCATAGTGCCTTTAATATTTTTGTTCGCAAGTTTAAAATCTATTCAGGACTAGCTTGAAGCGCAAAGGGGCGTGGTCTCTTTATGTCGTCCACTCACTAGGTGCTTTTTTATCGTCGCAGGACCCTTTTTTCAATGGCTGAAGCCAATCCTTAATCAGCTATACACAGGTTCTTTCAGTAAGTTTGGTTTTTTCGTTTTGCCCATCTGTTTTTTCAATCCCTTCACATACTTATGTTCCAATTTGCGCGAAAACTTTTGAAAGCTATTCAAAATTTGTGAATGTAAAACCGTCAAGAGCCCAAAACTAAATCAAAGCAAATTCAATGGAACAAAATTGTTAAGATCAGGATAATTTATTGAATAGCCCTTATGCAATAAGTTGGAAAAGGACTTTTTGTCTTTTTGAAAGTAGATAAAGCCTGAAAATCGCTATAAATTCATCTATTCCTAGATTTTCTGATGTAATGAAGATTCGAAATAAAATAGAGATGGGAGAGAAAAAATTCCAGACTGATTCAGATTATTTTCACTTCAGGAATATCGTGAAAATTATTTTTGCCTGTAGTGCAAATGTGAAGAAATAAAGTTCTTCTTTTCAAAGTGTAGCTAGCATTGAAAAAGACAACACTAAATTTTTAAATTACTCAAAGTCAATTTCTGCCCTTTTTTTGCTCAAAAAAGTAGTAGTGAACAGACTGTAATGAAGTTCACTCATTATTCTTTTATCACCAAAAGTTCCATTTCAGATACAAATGCCAACTGTGGCCGTATGACTTTACAGCGCGAGAATCAACGACTTTTTTCTAATCGCAAAATATGTTTACTGCGGTTAGAGACACCGAAAAGTTCTCCCCAAAGATGTCAACATCAGAAATCATTCAAAAAACTCGTAAATTCTGGCTATTTCCACCCAATTTCACAGACCTTTGGGTTTTTCGTAGCTCTTGATCATACTGGTGGCGAGGCCTTTGATGATGACACTCCTCCAAAGTTCCTCAGCCGAGATGGGTGAGGCTGGCTCGCCGTTGATCATCACACGGCCGTCTTCCCAGTATCTGATATGATAAACTTATTTTTTAGAAATTTGAAATTTACAAGTGAAAACCATCAAAAAATGTTGTTTTCGTTATTTTTTTCCTTCAAAACTTACGATCTAACATCGCTGCTTTTTCTACATTGAGCATAAAGAGAAGAAGGACGAGCGGCCGAGTAGAACTCGACTTGGCTGTCTGTCGGATTGTTCATCACCCCCAACATGGCTTAGACTTTCTGAAAGAAAAAAAAACAGAACATTCTGGAAAGAAGGTAAAAAAGATTACTACGTAAGTCGAGCTTGGAAAACCACCACCAAAAAAAAAAAAAATTACAAATAATAAAAAAAACTTCAAGTTCAAGAAGATTCTTAGATTTTGAAAAAATTTAATTCAGCGTATCTTCAGAGTCTGGACAACAACTAGGAAAGATAAAACTCCTTCCGAAGTGAAATAAAATGCAAGAGCGTATCAAGACGTCTTGAACGACAATTAAGACGGAAATGGGAATGGAAGTCGAAAAACAGTGTGCGACAAGGAAACGACGCGACTGATTTGCTAGGCCGGCCCAAAAAAAGGAGAAAATTTTGGGAAAAATGAACGAGAAGGGAGCGTAATGCAATTTCTCGTCCTCCACTGATACCCTTCTGATAATCAAAAACTCTTCTTTCACAAAATAATGATGTCAGTTCATTGGAAAATGAACAAAAAAAGAAGGTAGCAAAACAAAAAACAAAAATAAATAATGAAATAAAAAATCAAGTTTCCCGCGGAAAAGTCGATTCGAAAACTATCAATGGAGCAACGTTAACCCTTCTTTTTATTCCAAAGTTTTTTTTTCTGATTTTTCCATGATTTTTCAATTTCAATAATTTTTCTTACTAGTTAGTTAGATGGTGTGTGTTCAAGGATGTCCAAAAAAAGAAAAAAAAAGAAATTTCGGAAAATAAGTCAGTTCTGCAAATGTTCACGTTCCTGACCTAAATCCATATATATTTAAAGACAAAAAAAAACAGGGTTTGCCGCGTTCAAACTAATTTTTGAGTGAAATAATAAAAAGTCTCAGGTTTAATTTGACGTCATATTTGACTGAAAAAACATCTTCTCTGCCGTTTTTTTCCCGGTCTCTCTTTTGTAAAAATATTTTTCAATGACCAAACGAAAAACGGTAAAAAGTTGTTGCTTGAAAATTACTATGAACGCGGATTATTGTATTCAGTCAAAATTTGAGGTTCCAAGTTATTCAGAGGAGGGAAATTCGAAAAACGTTCTTTCAAACTACTTTTATTCCAATCGACGCTCGCGCGATCTCTGTCCATTTTTCCTTGATTCGCTGGATTCGTGGACTTTTATTAGGATGAAATTGAACTTTAAAAGGAGTTTTGCCCAAATTTAGGGGAAAATCGAACGATTTGACGAACAACGAGATGAAATTCGATTAGCGGAAGTTAACGTTTCGATACGTCACGCGTTTGGAAGAGATTTTCTTTGACGAGGTTTTTTTTGTTAACCTAAGGTCAGCGAAAATGTATTTGTTGTTGAAAAACCATGCGATCAGAAACGTGTTTTTATAGTTTATTGAGGGAAGAAAAGTTGAGAAAAGTTGCAAAATCTTAAAATTTGAAATTTCGTTGTTGCACGCAATGAAATAGTGTTGAAGATGACGTCTTCTGATTTTTTGGTCGCTTCACTGCGATACTTCGGCCACGAAGCCATTCTCGAGGACTCGGACCTCTGTAACGCAAACCGGACGCGCTCCGGAAGTTTCCGGAATGTTCTAGGGAGCACTTAAGTATGCTGATGTCGCTAAAGGGGTCACTAGGAATGCTCAGGATCGTCCGGAGCGCGCGTCCAAATTGGTGTCACGCTTTCGATGATTAATAGCGAGTTTCGAAATCAATTTTTGACCTCTTGGTACCATTTTATGTTTACTTCTTGCTAGTTAGTCAGTGAGAAAGGCGATTTGGAAATCTATAAAATCTCAACGTAAGAGTTCAGTTTTATCGAACTATGGTTTTTTCACTCGGAATCTAACCTTTTTTTTTATCAGCCTTGTAAAAATAAACATAGGAAATTTGAAACGGTTTGATTTTTCAACTAAATTTATCAAGTTTTAGGTTTTTGAAAGGGGAACAACGGTCAAAATCTGTTGAAAAGTCTTTTCCGAGATCTTTTTCGCAAAAGTCTTGCTCTTCACTTTCGCAGGAAAGAGCTCTTCATTTCCGAAAATTTTACGCTTCTTTAAACTTCAAAGATACATTTCAAGTCTGTAATTCGAAAATAAAAATGATAAATCATCAATTTGACTTCTAATTCCGTCTTTTGATTCCAGATTGTTTATCATTGAAATCAACGATTTTTCCGTCAACATTTCCTGTCTTCTTCTCCGCGACAGTCATCAATCAACACAAACGTGTTCGCCATCATTATGAAAATATATCCTCGAAATTCAGGTCGTATATTTTGAAAAGGAAACTAGAAGTTATTCGGATTTTTTTAGACCTGGTGGTTTATTTCAAAGTATTAACGATCGGTTTGAGAGGAGAGCTGCGTGGCTAAGTCGGTAAGACTGCGGTCTTGAGGTGAAAAGGTCGCTAGATCGAGTTTTCAGAAAGTTTGTCACGCTTTTTCCAATAAAGAAATGTTTTTTTCTGGTTCATAAAATTTTTCTATGAATTATCCCTTCTTTTTCAATTTTCTCCTGTACTTGAAGTAATTTTTTTTAAAGTCGTTCAAGGTTAATATTATGCGTAAACACTGAGTCTATTGAAAATTGAAAAAAAAAACTTTTGATGGCAAATCATTTTTTAGAAGCCATCACTTCTAGGAATTCTTGAATTTTAGGAGGGTTTTCCAGGATTCCTTTTTTGTATCTTCTGAAGGCTGAATAATTTGGAAATGCCCTCTAATTAATATTTCTTTCACCTCGGGCCAAGTCGGAATCGTTGATAATGGGCGCAAAAAGGCCGCAAAAAAGCAGCAAAAAGAATCCCTTTATGGAACATTCCTTTTTTTTCTAGCTTTTCAAAGACTCAAGAAATGATGGAAAAAGGGCGAGGCTGCAAAAATGGTGCATAAGAGCCGATGAAATGGCGCAAAAAGTCACCAAAAAAAGAACTTTTCTAAGAAGCCTTTTCCATCTTTCCGACTATGTCTATGACTGCTTTTCAGTTTTTTTTATGACGGCTAATATGCATTCATTTTTCTTTTTTTTTTCTCTTTTTCAACCTGTCTTCCGTTTTAAAACTCCTAGAAAGCAATAAGATCCTCGATGAAAGCCGCGAAAACAGAAATTTCAGCAGCTCTTTGAGAGCCTTTTTCTGTGAGACCCTTTATTGAACCTTAGAACTTTGCGTCAAAAATTTGAAAGTATATATTTTCCGACCTTCTCTTTGCTTTTCCTGTCAACACTTATTGCATCAGACTTATTGTTATTATTTTCTCCTAATCTGTGTCAACGCACTTATTTCATTAAAAACAACTCTTCGACTCGAGTTTCGAATTCAATAAAGTGCGAAAAGAAAACGAGTGTAATTTAAACGAAATTTTAACGACGCATCGAAATGGACACATGTCTACCAGTTTGATTGTCTTTGACACCATCGGGGCAAAAATCAAAGAGAATAAAAAAAAAGACGGTTTCATTGAACCGGGTTTTTTACAGTTTCAACTTCTGTGGGCGGAGATTCCGTCAGCCGACGTCGTCAGAAGTTCAGAAGACGAGTCAGACGACTTCAGCCATGCTCGACAAGCCTCAACGCAAAAAGTCCATCGTTCCTCATGTTCACGTCAGTTTTTATTCATTTTCTTTCTTTTGTTATATCAAATTTTTTTGGAACTGTGATTTGTGAGAGTATTTTTCAGTTTCAGTTCCGAATCTAGACTTAAATTGAAAATTGGCGCAGGAAGTTTTAAAAATCAGCATTTCAAAGCGGAAAATAGGACGAAATTAATAATCAATCTTTAGGAACTTTTAGAAGCTTCCTGTAGGCCCAACCTTAGGTGCCCTTGAAGGTTCCTCTCTAGGGACCACTTTACTTACTCCTCCCTTATAGGACCAATAAAAATTGCAAAAGTGGCTCCTAAAGGAGTTTTAGTTAGTCGTAGAATCCTTTCCATTCTGAAATTCAATAATTTATCGTTCCTTGTATGAAAAATATAAACAGAAGATGGATTGGTCAAGTTTGTCTTTTTTCAAATGTAAAAAAAGTAGTTTGAAAGACCCTGTAGTACTTTAGGGACCACTTGGGTTGTAGGAACCACCTAAATTTTGCCCCTAAAGGGGTCCCTTTTTGTCTCTTGTAGAGTTCATTGCTCCCTAATCCCTATAGGGACCACTCTGGTGATCCTAGAAAGACCAGTATCAAACTGAATTAGTTTTCTTTCTGATGATATGAAAAGTTTTCACTTTCTCAAGTGAGGCTTAACTTTGGTGATTATTTTATCGACTCGTCACTTCAGAGAGAACGCAAAAGGACGACAAGTGATGCAAACGATGGTCATGAGTACAATAAAAAGGTGAGAAAAGCCCAACAAAGACTGTGATCTGGATTCTCCTCAGGTCCGCAAGCTCCACTCGGAGTTTGACAAAACGACCAAGGAAACGAGCGAGGAGAAGCATTTCGATACGCACAGCGAGCGTCAGTGAAGATGTTGAAAAAATGAATAATCTCGGATTTTCCAGCCGATTTGCCGTTGATCGACCCGGAATGTGATCCAGCCAATCCGAGGATCGTTTCATTTTCCGACATTTCCAGCGCCGCTTTCAACATCCGTCAAGGACTGATCTACACGCCTTGCACGGTCTGTTCATGGCCACGTCGCGGTTGCGTCGCGTTTTGGCGGCAAACTTTATGGATTTGAAAATTGATCCAACCTGACCTCAAACAATTCTAAAGGTGTGAAAAGAGAAGGAAACGTTTTTTTAACCGTCGATCATGTCATCTCGTCGTAAACCGTTTTTGGTCGGGTTCAGTGACAAAATTCAAGGAGTCTTGAAAAATCAGCTCTATGTAGATGATTCACGACTGGCTTGACCCATCGAAAAAAGGGTCCTGACACGATAATGCACGAGATAGTGCCTGGCTCGTGGAGGGCACAGACGGGCCAGCGTCCCAAGCCAGCCACGAATCGGCTATATTAAAATTTTATCTACGAAACTTTGTTTTATTTAAGCTGATTTAGATCAGGATTCACAAAGAAAGATTCAAAATCAGACCAGCAGAATATTTTTTACCGTATGATTTTTAGAAGTCATTGCAACTGTCGAAGATGTTCGACATGGAGATGTACTTCAAGAAGGAGTACATGCAAGTTACCGGGTCTTTCAAAGAACGAGGAGCTCGGTACGCGCTCACGAGGTTGACGCCTGAAGAGAGGAGTCACGGAGTGATCGCCGCCAGTGCAGGTTGGAGTTGCCGAGGGTAGAAGAATAAAAAGAACGCGAGCAAAAAGCAAAAAAGTTTGACGGCTAGAGGGGTCGAACCTGTGATAGTTTTAGTGCTAGTCGAGAGCACTGCCACTTTACCAAGCTTCCAGATCTATTCAGATTATGCGAGCTCCGGTATATGCGCGCCGACATAAGTTTGATAAGCTTTTCCTCGGTACCTTTGTCGGTTTTTCTTTCCTTTTAGAGCAATCTCCCCTAGGTATATCTTTCATAAAAGTCTCAATCAATAAATGCGCACACACCCCTTGTCAGGCAAGACTCACTATTGAGATATCAAAAAAATCCTTTTTTAAAACTAAATTCAAAATTTCAACCGAAAATCAAAAATATTGAGGAAATCACGCGCTCGCCCTCAGCTACCACGGACAACAGCTCCACGTCCCAGTTACCGTAGTCATGCCCATCTTCGCCCCACTGATGAAAATCACCCTCTGCCGGTCCTACGGCGCCACCGTCATCCTCAAGGGCGACAATATCCAAACGGTAACGACTTCGGGGTCATTACAATGATAATCAATCAAGTAGGACAATGATAATGTTCCTTTTTTCCTTGGCTGGTTGGTCTTTGGTAGAACCATTTTACAGCAGCCACCGAAGGTCACGTTTTGATAAGACGCTGGAAAAAAGACGTTAAGTTATTATTACTCGTCTGGTTTGGTTACTGGAATCACCTGAAATTGGGAATTGGTGAAAGGAAATCAACACAAAAAACTAGAAATGGCTGAAAAGTTGAAAATTGAAAAGGAACTCCAAGGTTGTTTGACGCTTTTTGAAGAAAAAGACGAAAAAAAAATAAATGTTGAGCAGTGTATTAACGCCTAGTGTGGATAGGAAACATTCAAAAAAGGAGCTTTTGTTATTTTTCTACGATTTTCTATCGAGAGTATAAAGAAAAGCTAGGAAAAAAAGCAACCTCGGGTCAAAATGAAAGCTCAAATTTAGGCAAAAGACTTTGCCTTGAGACAAGCGATTGACAAGAAGATGAAATATGTGAACGGCTATGACGCCATCGACATCCTGGCCGGCCAGGGGACCATTGGTCTCGAGATTCTGGAACAGGTTTTCCTCAACTTTTTGGTCTTTTTATTCACTAGTCTTCAGAGAAGATTCTCTGCTGGCTCATCGAATAATTGAAGAGTTTTTTTATCAGTTCACGAAACTGTAGTTGATCATGAACGGCGCGTAGAATATCACGCACTTCTTGTGCAACGCTGGGCTGCCTAGTTTGTCTAATTTTTAGCGAAGAAGCCTCCGCGGGCAGGGCCGGGCTAGACCGGGCTTTGAAAAGAACTTTTCAATTTGATCAAACGATTGTTCACATGGTTCCTGTTGAATAGGGAGAGTGAGAGAAGACACATGATTTTTGAATCTAAGAAAATTTGCCCTTGTTGGGTCGCGCCGCCCGTTTTTGCTTGCCTTACTAGGGCCTAGCGGGGTCGGGAAAATGACGTGCCGGATCCTAACAAGCCTGATATTTGACTTGAACAAAATTTGCACTTGTTGGGTCGGACCGCCCGTTTTTGCTTAAGGGGTCATTAAGACCGGGCGAGTTCGGGCTTTAGAAATTTCCGCAAGCCGGGCAAAACAAGTGATTTTTGTCTTAACAAGTCTGATGTTTGACTTGAAGAAAATTCCCACTTGTTGGATCGGGCCGCCCGTTTTTGCTTAAGGTCTTACTAAAGCCGGGCGGGGTCGGATCGGAAAAAGATTTTCGTCCTAAGTCGGATATTTGACCTAAAGAGTGTTTGAGCTCTTTGGGCCATTCCGGGTTGGTTCGGGCTTAGAAAATTGACCGGAGGCAGTTAGACCCTGCCCTCGCACAGGCCTGATAGAAGTCGATTTTTGAGCGTTCCGAAAACCAGCCATTTTTCAATCTCTCTTTGGTCTCTTATCAGTTTCATTTTTCAGGTACCAGACGTCGACGCGGTTCTGGTTCCAGTCGGGGGCGGAGGATTGATTGCCGGCATCGCGGTCGCAATCAAAACTCTGAAGCCCTCTGTTCACATTTACGTTTGGAGAAACAACAAGTAGAAGTTGTTCAGAATGGGAATTTTCAGGGAGTTGAAGCCGAAACTTGCCCATCGTTCAGTGAAGCTTACAAGGCTGGTCATATTGTGACGACGTCGATTTCGAGCAGTCTGGCTGATGGTTGAAATTTTGAAGGATCTTCCCAGAAAAAGAGAGAATTCAGGTCTGGCGGTGCCGTCAGTTGGTGGGAATTCACTTGAAACTGCAAAGGGGCATATTGATAAGGTACACAGAGAGCTTTTTTTAAAATCATGCGATAAAATCTCATTCTCTGACTTCCAGGAACCAAATTTTTAATTTATTTAAGGTGGTGACAGTCTGTGAAGAATGCATCGCTCTCAGCATTCTTCGCCTTCTGGAAGTCGAAAAAGCCGTGGTCGAGGGAGGAGGAGCTGTCGGACTCGCGGCCGTCATCTCCTCCAAGCTGCCAGAACTCAAGGGGAAGAAGTGAGAGTCCAAGCCTTTCTCCTCATTGAAAATGAGCTTCAGAGTAGTTTCCATTCTAACTGGAGGAAACATCGACACGACAGTCTTGGGTAGGGCGATCGAGCGAGGTCTGGCCGTGGATGGGCGGTTGATCCGCCTCGAAGTCGTCGTGTCCGACCGGCCTGGAGGCATCGCCGAACTCACCACTCGACTTGCTCAACTCGGCGCCAGCATCAAGGACATCTTCCACGAACGTGCCTGGATCGCCACCGACGTCTTCTCCGTCAAGGTTCGCTAGAGTTAGAAAAATAATCTGCTCGACTTCAATTGATATACAGGATTCAAAATTGCTTCTAAATTTATCTTTATAACAGGGAAATGGCTTTGAAGGCATACTTTCTTGACAAGGGCGAAGATGATGCGATTGAAAATTTGATCGTTAAGAAGAGTTTCAGGACCTCCTGATTCCAAAAGAAGGAAAAGAAAGTTTCTCATCATTTGTTTTATAGTCGAGCTTTGACCCTTCAAAAGCATCTTGAAATCCTGATTTTTCAACAGTTTTTAAAACATAAAACATTTAGCTTGTTGAAGATCGAAGCTGTAGACAAAGACTTCTCCGATTTTTTTTGATTTCTCTTTGAAAAAATGAATAAAAACCATTATGGTAACAGACAGACCGCTAGAGCAAACTTTCTAAAATATGCTGATGTTGAATTTGAAAGTTATTTCAAGGTAATTTCCAGGTAAAAGTGGTCGCTGAAACCCGCGACAAGGACCACGTCAAGGAGATTGAAACCGCTTTGAAGTTGAAGTATTCGAATGTGAGTTTTTCCCTTGTTTTGTTCGTTTTTTAATTTACCTTTTCCAGGTCCACATTGCGTGAAGATTATTTCCCGAAAACATTTCTCAAGATTATTAATACTTTATGGCATTTGAAATAAAAATTATCTTCCTTCTTCATTCGCTGTTCAGACGTTTTCAGGTCCTTGTCGGTTCTTTCTCTGAAAGAATTTGAATTTGAGGAAAAAAAGACGAATTTACTTTTTCTATCATCAGAGGAGCAGCAAATTTGAACTCCGACGAGTAGAGATGGTTTGCATGAGAAGGCGGGGTCGCAGTCGGAATCTTCGACGCAGCTGAAAATGGGAATTTTTGAGTACTTTGGACTTTGAGTTTACATCACATCTTATCGCTTCAGGACCATTTATAGGGATGGTAAATGGTTCTTTAATTGAAAAAATTTCCTATTTTATTCAAACTGGGAAATCCGAAAGGATCCAAGACGAAGAATTCTTTAGACTGAGGGGAACTTGCGACAAAATTTACTCGGACATTGGTAACGCGAAACGGACGTGCTCCGGACGTTTCTGGACGATTCAAGGGATCACTTAAGAGCGTTAAGGCTACTAAAGCGGTCACTAGAAATGCCCCGACACGTCCGTTTCGCGTCCCGTTCGCGTTACCAAGGTCCGAGTAGAATCTGGTCATGTTTTATGATCGAAACAATGGATTCTCGTGCAAAAAAACTTTGAAAAACAGAAAAAACTTATATACTTAGGAACTCCATAGTGGTGTCTATAGAGGAATCCGTAGGAGCTTTTTGATTTCCCTCTAGGGACCACTTTACCAACCTCTAGTAGATAATATCCTACCTCCTCACTGTTCCTCCGTCGATTTGCGCCTCGGAGCCGTAGAGACACCTCGGGAAGTTCTTGGCCGGACAGCAGCCGATGGAGCCGTCGGTGGTCTGTTCGCTGCATTCGTAGCCTGTGGCACATTCTGAGGAACTTCCCGCTCGTTTACCTGGATCACAAGGGTTGGCGTGGGCACAAGCTTCTGGAGACACTGGGCGAGATGGCGTGAAATGGCCGATGCAGCGGGGGGACCCGTTGGGCTGACGTCGGATGGTTCTGAAGTTCATTAGAAGCTTGCAAGTTCTAGGAAGTTCTTGTCGGGTTTTTCAGTAAGTACTCACGTTTTCTCTTCTAAGCAGCAGACGTTGGTCCCAGTAGTGCTCATCTGACAAGAGTATCCACCCGAACAACCATCTTTCAAGCCAATATAAGGACAATCAGTCCCGTAAGGAGGCTGACCATCCATGCAGAAAGCTTCTTCCTTAATTTTCACTGGACTCAACGCCAAGGTTGACGACGTGCAGCAGATCGTGACCGTTGGCTGAAAAATCAACCAGAACTAGTCATTGGCATGAGCTTCTGTTCTAGAGTAGATATTCACGGTAGATTTTAAGATGCGTCTTTTTGAAAATCACGAGAAGAAAGTTAAAATTTCAAGGATTTATCCTCGACTTCTCTATGAGTGATATAATATTGTCAATTTTGAAGCAAGTTATCAAAATCGGAACTTTTGAGTTTTATGAGAAGCGAAGACTGGACGTCTGTCACTTCAGGTACCCCTTGAGAGGGACAATTGAGGTAAAGTGGTCCCTATAGGGGTTTTATTTAGTGGCCCCTATAGGGGACATTATAGTCATAGACTATGCAAAGCAGCAGATTCATAAAACTAAATTTCGTTAATGAAACGGTGGTCGAATAAATTGAAAGACTCCTATAGGGACCACTTAAGCTTTAGTGTAACCATTATATTGACCACCTTGAGTATCCCTCTGAAGGACCACTATTTCGGCACCACTGTTTTTTTCCCTTACCCCTTTAGGGACCCCTCAAGAATTCCTAAGAATGAATCTTGAAGTTTCACACACTCCGTGGAAGCGTTACCAGTTTCACCAAAACGAAGGCGAAATTGGTCATTTTATTCAAAGGTTGATCAAATTTCAGGTATCTCACTACCTGTAAATATAAAAAAGAACCCACATTAGTGCTCTGCTGACAGGAATATCCCCGAGGACACTGGTTAACTCGCGCCGTCGAACACAGACGAGGATGGCCGTTGGATAGATAGGCCTGGTTGTTGATGCAGGCCAGGACCGAGGCCAACCGGCAGCAGACGTACTGGGAAGAAGACGTCGCCGGCGTGCAGGAGAATCCTGCCGGGCAGCTTGAACATTACTCCAATGAATGGGGAGAAGGAGGCCGCTACCTCATGTCGAAGACGCCGGAGCAGGAGCGAGCCTCGTGGTTGACCTCGTTGAGGTAGGCGCTCCAGCCGGATGGGCATTGGTAGGATCCTGAAGGAGATGGGGTCGTCGAGCCTGAAGATCGACATTCTTAGAAGCTTTTACGGAATCAACCAGTCAGGCAGCAGACGAAGACGTTGACTTGGGTGGACGTCGCACAGTCGTAGCCAAAGGGGCACCTTGTCGTTGAGGCTGAGCCGACGTCACAGGTGTAGGTTTGGCCTGAAAATGGTTATACTGATACACTCCGTTTTTTTCATCGTGAATCTGCGCCCTCCTCGTCTCTCGGCGCCCTTAGGTACTCCAAAGTGGTCCCTATAGGGGTAACCTTAGGGGCCCTTGCGGGTTCTACTCTAGGGATCACTTTACCAACCCCTATAGGGGGATCTAAAATTTGCGAAAGGGATCCCTATAGGGGTTTTAGTTAGTGGGCCCTATAAGGACATGATTAAGCGGAAACCCTATAGGGACCACTCAGGCTTTTTGGGTTAATAGGTAAGATCCTAAACCCCTATAGAAGCCACCTTGATTTTTCCCCTAAAGTGAACACTTGTTCGGCCCCTTTAAAGGCTTACTTTCTCCGTAACCCCTATAGGGACTCGAGACCTTTCTTTTCTTGTTTTCTGAAGCGTAGGTTGCAATTTACAGGTTCCTCAATACATCAAAGAACACTCAGAAAATTCTCAAAAATGGCCTCATCCATCAAAAAAAAAAACCTTCTCATCGAAACCAAAAAAGAAAAACCTGAAACTTGTTGATAGGTCACTCGTCCGTCAAGACACGTCGCCCCGCTTGACGTGATTTCATTGCCACAACAAATGTATTGTGCGACGGTGGTCGAGAGTTGACAGGTGAAACCTGCCTAAATGCTGACTTCTTGCAAAGAGGAGAAGATACTTTACCGTGTCGCAGGGGGCTCCGGGACCATTGCACGGCACCAGGGAGCCGGACGGCGAGAGCAGCGCGTTCTGATTGTTGGGACAGACGCGCTCGACGGTCGAAGAGCGGCAGCAAATGAAGCCGGAGTTGGCGGTGGCTTGCATGCAAGAGGAGCCAGCTGGACATCCGGCCGGCTGAGCTGGCGAACAGTTGATCTGTAACATTTTTACGGTTCAAACGGAACTTTTGAAAAGACAAATTTCATTTATAGCCTGTGTACCACGACTTGGAACACCGCTGTTCCGCTGCGCGCCTTTGCGAACATTGGTTGCGCTTTTAATTTTTTTTCCTTTCATTAAGGTACTATACTTTTATGTGCTCCCACCCCAATAAAAATCAATTGAAATCGTGACCTAGATTCGAAAGACGCTTCGCGAACGCACGCAGCGGAACAGCGGAATGTCGTTCGGTGAAACTTCAAGTCGTAGAACATAGACTATATCCAAACCTCGACATGGCAATGGAGAAGCGTTCTTGAAATTTAAATTTTCATGAAATTTATAGATCTTCTACAGAGGCAGAGTAGGAAGGATCGAAAAAGGCTCCATATAAATGTTCCTTTTTGCTGCCTTTCTGGGGCCTTTTTGAGCCTCTCTCTTTTAGCATTTTTACTCTTCCAACTTTGCCCGAGTAATTACAAGCATTTAAAAACTGCCTTTTGAATTTAAAAAACCTGACAAAATCGAATTTCACAGAGTCAAAGAATAGAGCACAATATAATAAGTTCAAAAAACGATTCGAAATAAAATTTGACAGTTTTGAAATTTAAAATTTGACAGTATTGATGTTTTATTTTTTTTATTGTCGTGAAGACTGCGGACTGGCGAATAAACAGTTGAAAAAAAAAATAACTGCATGTTTTAAAGTTACCGAGTTGCCAAGAGCGTCCAATGCTGGCGCAAAGTTGGCCGGACAAGTTGCCGCAGAAGTTGTCCCAGAGCAGCACAAGGTGATTTGGGGATTATTTACAGCTGGTACACAGGAAAATCTGCAAGGTTCTTTTTCAAGAAAGGTCTAGAAAAAATAAAATGTAGGAATTGAAGTTTTCGAAGTCGTTATGTTGAATGAAAATTACGGAAAGTGAGATAAAATAAAACAAAAAACTAAACTTGTGGTAGTGGAAAAGAACTGAAGGTTCAAGTTACTTTAAAGTTTTTTTTTTGAAAGTTCTAAAATTCTTAGCAAACTCACCCAGTGTTGCAAGTCTGCGGAAAGTTGATCTGACACGGAACGAAGCCGTTGGCAGAAGCTTGAGGCACGGCGTTGTTCGGACAGACTGGCGTCGACGTCGAAGATGTGCAGCAAATCAAGAATCCACCGCCATTTGATGCACTGACACATATGGATCTATACAAAAACCGTTGGAAAAGCTATTCAGAGAAAGACTGACCCAACAGGACATTCATTGGCCGAGCCGAGGTTGAAGCACTGTTGATTGTTGCCTTGCGGCGTGAGTACTGGAGTCTGTCCTTGTTGCGGACATTGGAACTGTTGGGCGGTTGCCAAGTGGCACAGTCTGAAGTGGCTTCTTAAGTAGTCCCTCAAGGGGACACAACCAACCTGTAAGCAATTGAAACGAGCAGAAGCCGCTCGACGAAAATGAACATCGATAAGCGCGTGGCGCATTTCTCGCGTCGCCTTCTTCGCGAGGCCTGTGCGAGGTCCGACTGTTTGCCGAACCCTTGAGAGGCCACTTGAGTTCGTCTGCTCTTGGTCACTTCGGAAATAGCAACTGGGTTGAAAAAAAAATGATGACGAGAGTGAGTTATTGTTACAGATTTTGAGAACGAGATGGGTAAAAAATTTTTTAAAAATCACTGGTTTGAAAAGGTAAGACTACAAAAAAAGCATTATAAACAGGTAATTTTTAAAAAAATTGCAATTTTTTCCATTGAAGTCCTTTGAAATAACAAAAAAGAATGGAGCAAAAAGTTTCTTAATGAAAAATTTTTTTCCAAAAAAATTTTTCCTCCTAATGTCCCTCTAGGGGCCCCTTTTGCAACCTTCAGGGTACCCATAGGCTGGTGAAGTGGTCCCTATGGGGGAATTTTTAAAAAGTCATAAAATTGCTCTTATATGGACCACTCTGGAGCTCTTAAGGGATTTCCCTCTGATATCCCTATAAGGACCACTTTTGCAAGCTTCAGGGTGCTTATAAGGGCTGTTAAAGGAAAATTTACTGAAAGCCCTCAAATTGCCCCTATAGATATCACTCTGGAGTTCTAAAGTAATATGGAAAAATGTGACAGCTCGTTTCTCCAGCAAACAATGACACCTTTCCTCGGAAAAAATCGTTTTTTTTTAACTTTTTCAGCTTGAATGTTTGTACAACTGTCAGCAAGGTCTTTATTTCGAAATTAATGGATCCACAAATATTCGTTTTGAGCTGGAATCGATTCCTGATATTCGTTGGCAGGCGGACTTGGAGGCGCCGCTGGAGGAGCATCGTACCCGGGGGCCGGCTGAGGCTGAGGCTGTGGCGATGGAGCCTGACGTTGCTCACAGTGCGAGCACGAGCCTGGATGTCCTGGCTCACCCTGAGAAGCATGCTTCAAAGTCACACATGCAAAAGAAACAAACCTTCGGGCCTTGAGGGCCAGGCAATCCTGGGTTTCCAGCGTCGCCTCGCGATCCAACAGATCCTCGGATTCCTTGCTGTCCCCCGATTCCAGGCTTTCCGTCGTGTCCTTTTCCGCCTGGCGGACCTCTGGCGCCAACCTTTCCTGGGGGTCCGGTGGGACCTGGTGGAGCTCCGTTGAGCACTTTACCACGGTCGCCTGAAATTTTTTCTTTGATTTATTAAAATGAACTTTTAGCTGTTCAGAATGTACAGTTTTTCATTCAGATTCTTAAAAGATGCTCCAAAGTTTTAGCTCAAAACCTTTTTCATAGACCTTCTTAACAAATTTCGAGTACATTTTCGAAATCAGCGTAAAAAACTGCGTTTAATGAACCCTCTTTCATTCAGAAAACTTTTTTTTTGAGAGGATTTCTGGTGAGCTTTTCTAAGCTGCAGATCTCAAAAAGACCTGAAATGGCTCTCCTCGTATCTATAAAACTTACCAGTAGGTCCTTTTGGTCCAGGCGGTCCTGGCTCGCCACGAATTCCCGGTGGTCCTGGAGGTCCAGGTCGGTTGTCTTCTCCGGATCGGCCGGAAGTTCCTTCTCGACCCGGCGGCCCACGCGGGCCTTTGGCACCAGGAAGGCCAGGTGGACCAGGGGGACCTGGCGGACACTTTTGGCAGGCGTTCGAGCCTGGCGGCGGTGCTGGAAGGTACTTTCCGCTGCGGCCGTTCTGACCGTCTCTGCCGGGAAGACCGTCGTTTCCTGGAAATCGCATTGCTTCCAGAATCTTTACTGAGAAAAAAACCTCCTTCTCCATCTTCTCCCTTGGCTCCACGAGGTCCTGGAGCTCCCTGGGTGCAGGCACAACAGGAGCCAGCTGGTGTTGCTCCATAGTTTCCGTAAGGCGACTGACGTTTCGTCAAAATCTTCGTTCTAGAGAACGGCATCTGCTTCCAGATGTCTTGGGATTCGGCCTGAAAAATTCACCTACTCGATTTTTTTTCTAGATGATCTTCAATGCTTTGCAAAAGTCAAAAAACAAAACTTCGAGAATTTTCACTACAGAACAAAATTTATGAAAGCCGTAAATTTTCGAAGTATTCGAAAGTCCAGTTTTATTGTTTTTTGAGACATAAAAAGTTTTTAGGAGAACATCAAAAAAATGAATAAATATACAGAAATTTATTTATTACTTAATTTTTTTATAGGACACTACTTTCTATTTCAAGTTTTTTTCCCTGGAAAACAGACTCCTTCGGTTTCAAAAAGCGAGAAAAAGCTTCAGAAAAATTCAGAAGATTGCTTGAAACTCCACTAATAGTACTTTATAAGTTTCCTTGTAATCTCAACTAGCAAATTTGTTAGATTGGGACTTTCAGACCCTTCATTCAGAACATCAAGGAGTTTAATTTCAAGAAAAAACTGCTGTCAGGCATTCTGAAGAATTTCAACTGAATCGAAACATTTCGAACCTTGCACATCTCGACCTCGGCGAGCATGACGCTGGTGACCTTCTGAACATGCGTGTGCAGCAACGGCAGGCCGATCAGAACCGACAGAATGCTGCAGGTCGTGACGACGCTGCCGACGACCGTCGCCGTCCGCCAACCGTCCGACATCTTTCCGATCAGACTGACGGCTTACCCAAGAAGTTCTTTAACGCGAATTGACCCACTTCTTTCAGCGCCGCAAAAAGTATCCGGGTCAGGCCAACCCATCTTTTTCAGTTTTCACCTTTTTTCTAGGGAACAGATGGAAATGGATCAATGATAAAACCATCTCTTCAATCAATTTGTCGATTGTGATCAAAACAGCAAATAAAAAGACACTTTATGCTCGCTCAAAAGAGCAGTTCAGAACGAATTGGGCGATTCTATAACAAAATATACAAATGAACAATGTACTGCAACATGAGACCAAACTATTCAATATCAAACTTTTTTATTTTATCACGAGGAAACTTTCTGACAAAAAAGATGAGAAGAAAGTGTTATTTTTGCGCAAATAATACAGTCAATGCGCAAAAATACATACAACTTTATATATTAATGATTTACAACGTATTTCGACGTTATTTCGGTAGTGATTCATTTGATTCTCATAGAGGATACCTTCGAGTAATGCTCAGACACTGAAGAGTTCTGGGAGCTCTACCTTCGCGCCTTCTATTGCAATATTAAGTGCGCCCGCCTTGCTGAGCATCGAAAAAAAGATTTTCGATCGATTCGTGAATTTCAATTATATTTTTTCCTCAATTTTCAGTTCTCTCTTCATTTATTCTGTTTTTCAGACTTATTCGAACAGCTGCAAAGTCATACCTAAGCAAATGGTACTGAAATTTTCCTTCCGAGATTTACAAAAGGTCGGTAATTCTTTCGCGTTTTTTGTGTTTCGAGGCCTAAACCATTTGTTAATCGAGATGAAGCGTTTGTTTATCGATAAAGGTAAATAGAGCCTGAAGTCAATGAAATAAATTTTCTCGCAAAGTTCTACGTTTTTTTCTTCCTGACTTTTATATTGCTTTGATTGACAAACTTCTTCAAAAAAGTTCTCTTTCGCTATTTTCATTTGCGAAAATATTTTAATACTACCTTGCAATAAAGATTATTCTCTACAAAATTGAATACTTAAAAGAACCCGCAGAGCTCCCCATTGTCTGAGATCGCATTGTTCAGAATGATAGGTGTGACACACTTGACGGTGCCGGTCGATCCAGGGGAAATTTCAACTTTTTTTTTCACGAATTGAGTTGATTCAGGAGCGGACCCGGTGGCATGGTATTCGAAAAATTTCGGCGGAAAGTTCACCGTCGCGAGATGAATTTGCAAAGTTGTATATTGAGACGCGAAGGAGCTGATCGTATCGTCATCCCCGGAGGCGTCCTGAAATAATTAAAAGTTTGTTCGTTCTATCGAGAGAATGTTATCATTTATTTTTTCTTTGCGGAAGTTTGATCAATCAGAATTTTTGCGTGGGAAATGGACTCCTTTGTTCGCCGTTCACCGTATTTCAGGTGTGTGTTTTTTGCTAATCTTTCATTGTTTTCTGATCCTTTGCTCGCCGATCAAGTTCCAACTTCTATGGTGAAGTATTAAACCTCATCGACTTAAATTTGAGCTTTTTGCGGGGGGTAATCGAGGCTCAAGCAGCATTTTTCGTCAAAAACAACCTTTCACAATAGCCGGATTGACTTGGGAGTGATGAGGGGATTTTAGGAATCTTTTTTTCTCGTTTTATATAGGCGTTTGAATGAATTGAAAAAAAAAAAAATTTGTTATCAACCCTTTTAAAACAGGAACATCACTATTTTTGACTTATCAGTACATCTTTTACTGAAACTTTTCTCAAATAGAGCTGCCCAAAAGAAACTGAACTGATTTTTATTCAAAACTGTGTTCTGTGACCTTTCAGGTATCATACCATCATGAAAATTTTCAAAGCACCCTATGCGCCTTTAAATATTTCGGAAACGATGTTAACAAATTTTTGGGATTTTTCGAAGATGTTATGAGTTCCATTCAGCAGAAAAGGGTACAGAATTAGATACAGCAAAAGTTCGAACTGGAAATATTCTTCATTTAAAAAAATCTTCCGCTTATGTTAAGTATCGAAAAGCTTAAGTTTCCTTAGTCGCGCTGCAAAATGCTGCGAAAAACTTTTCATTTTTTTTTATTGTTGAAGCAGTTCTATTTTTTGATGAGAACCATAAATTTTATTTAAAGAACTCTAGAAATTAATGTGATATCATTATATATAGAGCGCACTTAGCGTCCTTTTCCTTTTATTTTTTGTCCCACTCGGCGACTGGCAAAATTCATTGTCTCCATTTAGAAAATCCGCAGAAAAGCTTCAACATTTGATAGATTAGGGCTGATAAGAGGATTTAAAGACTTTCCACCCTCAAGGAAATGGAAAAATGAATTGAATTTTGTCGGTTTAGCTAAAAATAATGCAGGGATCTGCGGATTGGGAAAATGCTTTCAGAATAATTTTTTTCTCCTTGAAATGCAAATTCTACTGCTGAAGGATTTTATGAATGTTCTTGGATTTTTAAATTTTGTTTTCATATATTCCGGTCTTTTTTTCCTCAGAAGGGCCAATAAAAAAACATTTCGGCTAAAAATTTTTCAAACGAATCGAATCGAATTTATTATTTTTTTGAAAAAAATTTTTGTATGAAGATTTAAAGTTGATAAGAGAAAAAAAGTAATGGAGAAAAAAATTCCTAGCAATTTTTTTCGTTTTTTTGGCTTTTTACAAAAGTTCGTTAAAAAATTTCGAACGGACTTTTTCCAATTTTAAAAATGCTGCATTTTTTTTCTAACTTCAAATAACAGACCCTTTCGGGATAATTTTTCTTTTTTTCTTCTCGAAATCGGAAACACGAAGGGCCTATAAACAAAAGTTGTGTCTAAAAAAGGCGCAAACACGGCTATTTTTGGATGAAGAATAGGCCAATTCATCTTTTCGCGTCACTGACTTTTGCAGTTAAATCTCGATTTTGACGTTTTGCCTCTTCTTGACTATATAGTTGTCGCGAAATTTGCACCATTCTAAAGTCTCTGGTCTCGAAATTACTTTGAAGCTATAAATAAACACGAATATGGATAAGAGAGTGATGGATAAGGCTGGTGAAAACAGTGGATTATGCTCGAAAATGCTCGATTCTACCCACAAATCCCGGAGATTTTGTGGGAACACGAACGTCAGATCAGAAACGGAAGCATTGAGGAGGAAGGAATGAAAAAAAAAATGGAGAAAAAAAAAGTTACCTTTTATGTATTTTTGAACAATATATTTGAAATCTCTCCATTACGGCGTCTACTGACGGCTCATCGTCGTATAAATCGAAATCGTATTTACCTGAAAAATCATCTTTCTTTATTTTTGATTTTTTTCAGCGCAAGAATAGTTTCTATGCTTCAACCTTAAGTTTTTCGAGATTTGGGAAGCCTTCATTTTATATTTTAGTGATCCTTTTAGGGGTTTTTCAGGTCTTTCTGCTTAGTGTATGAAAAAGAAGAGCTTTCAAAGTGTTCATGAATTTTTTCTTCTTCATTTTTGTGACCGATCGGGGTTCTTAAAACCTCAAAGCCTTCTAGATATCACTATAACTTTTCCAGCCACTTGTACGAAATTTAAAACAACAATCTGTACAGAAGACCCTTTTTAAATTTGTGAAAATTTTTTACGAAAACTTGAAAATGGGTCCAAAAACTTTTCTGACTACAACAAACTTCGATACCCTTAACATTGAAAAAAAAATATATATAAATAAAACTTACTCTTAACACAGAATGAAAAATGAACGAAGGAAAACAATAGAAGGAATATCCAAACGCCGCTGGCTATCCTTAACCGTAGCAACATATTCGATTCTAAACTGAAAAACAAAATATGAAATATCATTCAAACGAACTAGAATGAAGGAAACAAAATATAGACGACTCGAGAAAAGGTCACATAGTTATTGGAGAATTCGTGTGGCCCCCCACCCCACGCTTGAGAAATTTGAAAAATCGCAGAAAGAAGCAACTGAGCGCGAAATTCAGAATCTCGGCTTCCCACGGCGTGAATTATACCACTGAACCAGGATGTTTGTGAGAGGGCCCAAGGAGGAAGTGGTGGCAGAGAGGTCAGAGGGAATGACGAGGCTATTTTCCAGGATGCGAACGTGCTCTATTGATAACTAGAAGTTTGAAAGTACAAAAATTCCTCTGTGGTTAGCTCAAAACTTCTTCTGAGAAACTGGTAAAGGGGTGAGGAAATAGGCCATTTTGAAAATTAGAACGGGCTTCATTAGTGAAGATGGATCAGATAATATAAAAGCTGTTTTTTGCTTGCGAAGTTTGCTCTACTGATAAAGGCATTTGATATGATGGTTGCTCGTAGTTCAGCTATGGGAGAACGAGATTAGGAGGTGAGGAATATTCGAGGCAGTTTTCACGATTTAAGTACGCTCCATTGATAACTACGCATGAGATAGTACTAAAAAGGTTATTTTCGAATAAATATTGGGTACTTCGCTAATAAGGAAGTGGTCAGGATAATTTGAAACAGGCTCGATTGAAAATTCAAAGTAAAAAACCTGTGATTCATTCTCTTGCTCTAAACTTAACCCAAAATTAAAAAGTAGGAAGTGAGAGAGAAGTTAGTGAAACCGTGATAATTTTTAAAAGGGTAGCGAAGCTTTTTTCGAACATAAAGATGGCTCCAAACGTCTCAAATGAGGTCTTTTTGAAGTTCAGCCGAAAAGGTCGGGCGAAAACTTTCAATTTATTTTTTTAAAAATTTTAAACGAGCTTCATTGATAACCTTCATTGAAACCTTGCTTCTTTCATTCCTATATAAATTTGGCCTAATATTACCAAGAAATGAAAGCAGGATGTTCTTACAAAGCATGCTTTTTACTGATAAATGTAAACCAAATGGTGCGATTTTTTTTTTTCGAATTTCCTATTGCTAGATGAAGTCTTTTGTTGTCAAATTGTCACGTAGCGAAGTCTATATTTGGCCCAAACTTCCTGGACTTATCGTAGCATCCAACAGGAAATTGAGGGTGAATTGTCTGCAAAAGAACGTACGTCAATTTCCAGTGGAGATCGGAAAAAGATTTTGCACGTTCTATAAATCTGACAGAGGAAATAAGCTTTTTTTTTCTCCAGAAACTATCACTATTATATTTACACAACCTTTGAAAATACGAGCAATTACGTAGGCTCATCTCCTTTTGTGACGTTTCCCATTGACCCTCTGATAAACATGCAGAAAATGTGAACAAATATGATGGATCGGCCTGATGAGAACTTAATCCAAAGGAGATTAGAAAGAAATCAAGTTTTTCTTTCTTTCTATTTTTGTTCTCAAATCAGGAAAAAGAGAACAAAAGAACTGCATATGCAGTCTTTCATGAAAAGGGAACCTAATAGACCTTATTAAGGTGACTTGATGGAAAGAAATGGATGATGATATTTCATAGAACGACCTGGGTGCTCTTATTTAATGAATAGCAAAGTGATCCGAATTCGTCATGAAAGTTTCTGAAGTGGAAAAAATGTAGGTTGCATTTTTTTTTTTCCAACTTGAAGGAGGACAATTAGAACTTTAAAAATAGAAACAATGGCGCAGAATGGAAAGATCACAGTGTCCCAAATTTTTTGCCTGAATTACAGGGGGCTTATGAAATAGATAAGATTACCAGATAGGGGGGTTTACGTTGTTTCCGAATCTGGAGAACGAGGTCTGGTAAAAATTTATAAGGACTACTTTTCAGATGAAATCACTGTTTGGTCGGTAGGTAAAAGTTTCTAACCAAGCTGGTGAGCCGATGTAGGATTTTTTGGAAGCTTCACAAATGGTGGTAGAAATAGAATGGTTCCATTTCTTCAACTTGAAGTACTTGTAAATTTTGTCACTGATCTCCGTGGCAGATTTGGATACAGCTTGAGAAACTATATCTGCCGATCTCAGTACCATTCAAAAGTCTTGCACCAAGCTTTTGAATTTCTTATTGCTCAAATGACAAGGATCACTAGTTTGAAAAGCCGTAGTTTCAAGTTGTCCGTGGAGCGCAAAAGATTTGAATGAAAGTGCAAAAGTTGGCGAAAATACGAAGATTTGGCAAGGCTCACATTTCGTCAGAGTCCAGGATGTCAAATGACGTCACAGGAGTTGCGGAATTTGGCTCGGCCCTCTCCATTTTCAGCTGCTTTCCTATGAAACAATGAAACTCTGAGAAACCTCATATTACTCATCATATCGAGGGACTACCCTCTATTGCTCATGTTTGAGGAGCGGAAGAGTTTTCGCAATACTGCTTGAAGAAATGTGTAGAAAATAAAACCCAGTGGAAGAAAAAGCAGTTTTTTCTCCATGGTTGCAGTTTCGAGTCTCTATTTATCGATGGAGCGCGTTTTAATCGCAAGAACCGCCTCTTTTCGAAAAAAAAAAGTTATTTCTCGAAAAAAATATTCTTTGGTGGCGTTATGATGTTAAAAGGCCCGAATCCTTCTGGCTTAATTTCAAAAAAATTTCAAGAAAAATCTCCGATTAGGCAGATTTTTTTAAAAATCTTTCAAGTTAAATATTTTTTTATCAATCTCTAAATTTTCAATATTTTTTTCACAGAACGGCAGGAATGAGAAGAAAGTGATAGCTGAGAAATTTTACGTATGATTCTTATTCGAATTGATAAGTTATTTCATAAGTATTGGGAAAAAAAGCGAAAAAAAGTTAAAGATGACCTCCAAACTTTTTTTGCTACTACAAATTGCATCATTTCCTGAAATTTATTCATAAATTTTTTGAGTGTTGAGTTCGAAGGTGAAGGATATCTTCAGTATGATGCAACGAAAAAAATGTCTTTGAAAAAAAGATGTTTAAAAACAAAAAAATTTTGATAAAGAAAAAAATTTGTTAGATGGGGTCAGTCATTCTCGATTGATACTTGTTGCAAAAAAGCTCAGGTTACCGTAAGACTACTTTCCTGTTTTAGAAGCTTTTCTCAAAGATTTTATGGTGTTACGAGTTTTGTTACGTATCGATTTGTAAGGGTTCTATAATTGCGGAAAAATAGAAGCAAATGAAAGAAAGTGAAATGATTGATTTAACTTGATGAACTTTGCACTTTTCATCCAGCTCGAAATGAAACAGTCTGACCTGTCTGCACTCTCTCTTCTCTCATCGGCGAGAGGAACATGGAAATAGCAAATAAAAACAAGAACGCAGAGAAATCTGATCAGAGCATACCAAATTGGAGGATTTTAGGTTACAAATAAGTTTCTGAAGATTGGCTAGAAGGAATTACACGAACCAGATCTTTGTGCAATCACAGGAAAAAAAGACGAAGCAGATCAATTCAAAGAACTGAGAACACGGAAACAATGAAAGAAATGAATGGGAAGGGCTTTCCTTTGGAAAAACGCGGGGGTTCTGTGGGCGCATTCGAAATCCGGAGATAGCCCCGCCTCCAGCGTCTTTTTCGACGTTTGTTATTTCTTCTATTATTCAAAATTTTGGGACAGCTGGGAAAAAAATGATACTCCTATGTATTGTTTCTAGTTCAACTGACCTTGCTGGTGACATCATTGGTTTTTGGTTTTAGTAAAGGAAATGAAGTTGGTGGGGAAAAACAGTGAATAGATGCAAATTGAGCCTTTCGTGATATTTTTCATCTGTGGAGAGAACGCCCAGGAATCTCCGTATAGCTTAAAATGAAATGATAATAACGGAAAATTATTAGTCATAAAAAGCATCTCAAAACTTTGGGAGATTAAATAATCCATGAAAAGCAAAGTTTTCCTCAATATTTGAATTTCTTCATCGCAATTAAAAAAAAGATTTTAAGAGGTCACCAAAACAAATTTTTGAACTTGGATGTCATTTAGCTAGTTATGTCAATAAAAAAGTTATAAGCTTTTTAAATATTTTCCTGTAAAAATATAGGTTGAAAATGCGGAGTTTATGTTATGTTCAAGTTTTTTTTTATGAGCTTACTATAGTCCGTCCGTCGCTACTTGACAGTTCTCGAGTGTCTGCGTCTCTCTGTTCCCTCACTGGAAAGGTCAGAGAAACATGGAATAAGCGCGTCAACAAGGGAGGGTCGCAGAGAAGTCCCGCCCTTTCAAGACTTCTCTGCGCCCTCCTCGTCTCTCGACGACCCTCTCTTGTTGACGCGCTGTTTCCATGTTTCTCTGACCTTGCCAGTGAGGGAACAGAGAGACGCAGAAACTCGAAAACTGTCAAGTCGCGGCGAACGAACTATACAAGGTGTTTATAATCTTTCAAAAAGTTCTCATTTTAACGAGCTTCGATCATCATAAGGACTTTAAACGAAAGCTCGATCTTTGTGAAACTCAGCTTTTCGCATATATGTTAACATGATATACATTCAAGAAACCTTCAGAATATTATGGAAGGAAAATCACCTGTCTTTTTTATTATTAGCCATTTCATTTCCAACCCGCTTCATCATTAAAAATTCTGATTGAGGTGGGAAGTTCATTCTCAGTTTTTCAGAAATTTCTTCTACCTGTGGCCTGAAAGTTTCAGTTTTCTGGCATACATGACCTTAAGATTAAAAATGAGACCACCAGACGGGTAAAAAATTTTTCCAAAGGCGCGGAAAATATTTCTCTTTGAGAAAAATGAACGATAATTAATGAAATATGAGGACTTTTGTGAGAACATTAAATTATTATTTTTGAATTTTTCAAGTTGAATCAAAAATTTCTAACAAGTTAAGGTAGCCAACACACAGCGGCAATTTTCGGATGAGCAATAACTTTTGTAATTTCAATCAATCAATCAATATTTAGGTTGTTTTAGTCAGATGGTATCGACTGGGCGGTGAAAAAATTGCTCTTTTGAGCGGCACTAAGACCGCCTTTGGCGAAAAGAAGTCAAAACGTGTAGTCGAATGATTGGAAAGCATGGTCTTACGGTCCTTCGCCTCGTTCTTCCACAAGTAGATCCCTCAGTTTCGCTTGTACGAGCACGGCGGTGATGGTGGGGCTCGGGCACGGACACCGTGTACACTCTAGGGTAGCCTCGGCCGATTGAGAGAGCTACTACTTCGAGTGAAGAAAATACACAATACACTTTACAAGTTAAAAAAATATTTCACTTCTAACTTCCATCAAAAAAATATAAATATGGAATTTTTTTTAAACTCTTGATCATCTTTTTTTCACAGACTCTGAAAAATCGATCTTTCAGTCATTGATTTTTCAATTTTTATAGAAAACTCAAACACAGTTCAAAATCTTGAGACAAAAAGCGTCCAGACAACACCTGCAAAACGTTCCACGACATCAGTTCTAATATCAGGAATTTGTTAACACTCGGAAAATTACTTTCGAATCGAGAATGCGGAACAACAATGAAAGGAGTCAGCTCACTTTACGTCAGTGACGTAAATTTCTGACTTTTGGCTGAAAACTTATGAATTTCACGGCCAATCGCTCTTTCGCAGTCACCGACACCTTCATAAATTCTTTGGTCGAAGCTTGACTTTTTGAAGATTTTTGGAAAATTAGCTGAAGATTAAAAAAAGTTGTCCAAAGATGATTCTGTAGAAAAAAGACATGAAGTGTAAGCAGAACGCATTCGTGCTCTACAGACAATATCTGAGGTGATTTAAAAGTTATTATCTTCTTAGGAACGCCAGAAGGGTCCCTGGAGGGGCAACCTCAGGGGTTCTCGAAGGTTCTCCTTATTGGGACCGCCTCACTTAAAATCCTACAGGCACTACCCAAATTTTAGCGATTAAGGGAGTTTAAGTTTTCCTCTATAAAGACTGTTACCTACTCGAATCCCTCTGCCGCGTTCCTAAGCTGAGAAAATCTATTTTGGAGAAGAGAAATGGAAACTTATTCCATAATCTATTAGGTTTCCAAGTTGAGGTTATATTTAGATTAGAGCGTGTGATCAGAAAAAAAGATTTATTGGTTGGTATAATTTAGCCTGAAAGATTTTTCTGTAGAATTTTCGAAATTTAGATGCTACAGATATAACTTTATAATAGAGACAAATTTTGAACTTACTATTTCCCGGGAACGATGAGCAATAGTATAAATCTGAACGAAAAAAATCTTTGTAGAAACTAAATTTGATGATTTCAGCTTCGAACGAAACTCTAGTTCTATTTAAAGATGCACCCTACGGTAGACGTCGAGAGACCAAAATCTACTCTTTTTTGGATCAAATTACTAGCTAAAAAAGAGAAACATGCACAACAAAAGATGAAAACAGCGGTCCGAAAATTGAAATTGTTTGAAGTTTCGAAAAAATAATAGTCAAAATAATTTGCGCTCCACGGACACAGCTTGAAAAGTAACTCGGGACGGACGTGCTTCGGACTTTTCTGAGCATATCTAGGGACCACTTAAGAGTGCTGACGCTACTAAAGTGGTCACTAGCAGTTCGCTTTATCAATGTCCGAGAAGGCTTTTCGGTACTTGAAAAACTAATCGGTAGAATAATACCTATTCCCCGAAACGTGGAACACTCTGACCTGTCTGCGCTCTCTTTTCTCTCCCCAAAAAAGTCATAGAAATATTTAAATAGCTAGAAAAGGAAAGTTTCTGGCCGATAGTATTGGAAGTTTTTTTTTAGTCTTTGGGAAGCAGCAATTTGGAAACAAGCTTCAGTTCTATTTTAGCCAGTCTACGGTAGTCCAAAGTGTATTCTTCCCAAAAAAAAGTTGTCTCAAGTTACCAAAAGAAGTAGAAACGTACACAACAGACACGACAGTGAAAACAGCGACTCCCAAATTTTCCGAGACGATTTTAAAAGAAGGGCTATTTTCGACGTCATCAGTCAACACGTGTACACCACATCCGGTCGTGAATAGAAACGTCGGACACAAACTATGTTTAGGACGCATTCTTCTTCGTCTTCTGCTTTTTTCGAGTGTGAGGTCACATGAAGGTTTATCGCAGAAATCACTGTTTTTGAAAATAAAAAAAATTTGGGATCGCCATGAAAAGTTGAATGGGTTAGAAGAAGCTCCGGGGATGACTTATTCTATTCTTCTACGAATTTTTTATTATTTATCAAAAATTTGACCGTTTCTTTTTGGTTTGATTTTTTGTTTTTGTCGGATGGTAGAGTCGATTGGTTCTTAAGGTTCTTCCTTGAGAAGCTTTTTTAAAGTCTAATTGGAAAAACGACATGAATTCAAAAAAGAGACATTTTTTTAAAGAGTAGAAGAAAAAATAATAATCTCCAGTTCTTAGTTTTTTTGGAAATCGAATCATATCATAAAAAATTAGAAGCCAACATTGTCTAATAACGAAAAAAAAAAATCAATAACTCATGATTTATTCTCTATTTTACTGTTTACAATGGAATCCTTGTTGAAACGGCATTTTTTGTAAGAATCAAAAAATGATGGGCCCGAGAACGTATATCTATCAAAAAGTTTGGGCGATTTGATTTTTTTTTTTCAATATTCTGATTAGATCTTCAAGCCTTGCTGTTTATGAGAAGTTCACAATTGAAAATACGAATGATGAACGATAATGATGTCAGAAAATGAGAAATTTTTATTGAAAATAGTAATTTGTATAGCCAAATTTGAAGAAATATTGAAGGACTGTTTATATGGAAAACAAAAATGAGAGAAAATCACAGTTGAAACTCTATATAACCCCCTTGCGACACAATCTGCGTCAGAAAAAAAAATTGAATCAAATTTAAGCAATCAACAGAAACCCACACGTCAAAAAAGTGAGTAAGACCATTAGGAATCGCTCAGATCACTTGGTTCCCTTTTCCGTTTTTCCTAATGAATGACTTTTTGAAAATGAAACCCCTAAAAAAGTCCTCAAATTCATCTTTTTTTGAAACAAAAATTTGAGGCTATTTCAATGGACTTTTGATTTTTAATAATTATTGTAAATCCAATTGATCATGTTTTTAGGTGGGATAAGCTTTTAAAAAAACTGTAGATTTTTTTCTTAGTGAGCATTCTCCAAGTATTCATACATGATTTACCACAAATTTCCTCACAATAGTAAAAAAATTCAGGATCAAAAAAATATTCGTAAAAAGAAAAAAATGAAAATATTGTTCTTTCGAACTCCACACATCGGGTCTTTTTTTATTAGATTTGTGAGGGTGTATAATTTTATTTCTCTTTTTTTGCACCTTGAGGATGACGTTTTCATCTGGTTAGTCAAGGAAATATGTCGTCAGAATCAGAGAGAAGTTATCAAATTTTAATTTGCGCGGAGAGTTCAACGTTTTTACCGCAGGGCTCAGTTTCTTGAATAAGTTCTATTGAGAAATTTTTAGTGCTCATTTGAGAAAAAAAATAGTGACCTTTCGAAAAGTACAATAGGATTTACAGAGTGGCCTCTTTAGGGGCATGCTAGTGAATAATTTTATGAACTCTATGCGAAGAAGCATTTCTATGGGACAAACGGAATAAAAAAGCTTTTTTTGAAAATGAAATTGAAAGACCCTATAGGGTCCACTTAAGCTTTAGGGACGAAGGGGTCAGATCTTGAATCCTTATAGTGACCACCTTGATTTTACCCCTATAAAGAACACTTTTGCGGCCCCTGTAAAGACCACTCTAGAATTTTTACTAAGAAATCGAATCCTACAAAACCCACTGAGAAGTTTTTATGAGCCAAATACGGAATTTTCTAAAAAAGACTACCTATCCAAGAATATTTTTCTCTTCGAAAGACTTTGGATTTGCATAAGCCAAGTCGAAATTCTTGATCCCTATTTTTAAGGATAATGGACTGAATCTTTGAATAAATCAGCCAAGCTTATCGTCATGCGCTTTTAAAAGTTTGGAGAAGTTAAATCTCAGAGAAAATCCACAGTGCTCTTCAAAAAATGGCCATGCAATGACTAAGGCTAAAAAACCAGCAAAAATTGATTCTAAGAGGGATAAAACGTCACAAAAAACTTTTTTTCATACTTAGTTCAGCTAATTTTCCAATTCTGAAAAAAAGAAACGTTCGCGAAATAACATGGCTACGTCACACGGCGGCACGACATAATAGGTTAGCGAACCGTGAAATAGTACCGTGACGTGTTAATTAGTTGCATGTTTGACTTCATTTTTGCATCAATTGAAAAACGAAATTAAAAAAAACCGAAACCGAAAAAGATTACTAAAAAAAAAAAAAAATAACCTCAAGCCAAAGTTCCAGCAAAAATATAAAGAGTCAGCAGAATTTTCCAGAAAATGGTCCTCAAACGACTATTATCAACTAAGGATTTCTTTTTCTGGTACATCAAGGAGTTTTCTGGCCGATTTTTAGGCAGTTCCTAACCTCAAAGTAAAATTACCTTCCCTGTTAGCTAAACCTTATATTTGGCTATATCAAGAGATCTTACGACAACCTACGTATTTTAAAAAAAATTACGCTTTTTTGAACCTCCTGGCACCTTTTGGCACGCGAATAATTCCATCAGAACTTGATTTGAAATTAAATCACGTTTGCGAGAAAAAAAAGTGTAACCTTTATTAGATTTATTGCGTCGATTTGTAGAAGTCAAAAAGACGTTTTCGGAATTCGGAGAAAGGAGAATAAAAATAGCAAAAGTTGGTTCCTTATTCAAAGAGCGAAATGAAAAACCAATAATAACTCAGAAAGCCATTTTCACTTATTTTATATCCCCATCCGAAAGCTCATCCGTCATTTCCACTATTGAAATGAAGAGGTCAACAAAATTTTCGCCTCCATTTTCTCAATTTTTTTCGCGGATTAAATTTGACGTAGTGAAGAATTTTTGAATAAACAGCTCATTTTCCAGCTTAAGTATCTTTTTCAAGAAAAAAAATTCATTGGAAATAAAAAAAATGTCATTCTCTGGGCATTCGGTAGTAGACGCTCGGGGGGCACACCTGAAAAAAAATAATAATAAAAGATATTCGAATAAAAAAGAATCGCTGAGGAGATTGAAAAATGTTCGAAGGAACAAAATTTTGAGAGAAAAGTCTCAAAATATTTTTTATGGTAAAAAAATGGATCTAAATCTAAAAAAACTACATATAGAAAAAACTCATAAACACAATATTCGCAAAATGACCACTCTGGTAAAACTTGACAAAGAAGATAAAACAGACCCTAGGTTTGGACAGTTGTTCCGATGAATGTTCCGGCTTTTCGTCGGGTGTCGGTGGGGTGACCGCCGGCTTCGTCATCAGGCTTCTGGCGGCCGCGTGCTCGTCCTGTAGCTTGACGAACGTCGTTTTTTGTAGCATTTCACCAGAATGCTTCTAGAATTATTTTAGTGAAACCGCTGAATATATCAAGTCAGAGCCAACCTTCTTTGGTACTTTTCTCGATTCCTGACCACCTTCTAATGATGCATTTCGAGCTGGCAACTGTAATCGGGAAATTGCCGAGAATTCCTTAAACTCTATTCTGAAACCTCGATTACAGGAGGCGTCGGTCTCGCGTCTCGCGAGGTTGCCACTTGCTTCTTGTGAACCTTGGTCGAATCCCGACTCCTCTGCTCTTTCAAATCGCCGGAAGAACGAGGTTTGAGAGCCTCAACTGGTTGCATCTCATGTGATGAGACTGTAGCCGTCAATGGCTTTCTCTGGACCGTTCTTGCAGTCTTTCCACCCTTTTTTTTAACTTTCAACGATCGGTTCGGATTTTTCGGAGCCAACATGGTGCTGACTTTGTTCCTCAACTTTGAGGAATCCTGCAAAATTTATTTTCTCTCCAAGTTTTTTGTTGAGAGTACCGCGTTGCGCGATGGCCTCGACCGCTGTCTCGTATTCCTATTGGGAGCTGGATTCTCGTCGAGTGGGCTGACACCAACGGCAACGCTCATGTCTTTCTGCACAGCCAGCAACTCCTCCACCTTCCAGGTCTTTGGCGCCGGCTTCTTCTTGACCGTGGAACCCTCGTCTTCGTCATCGTCGCTCTTCTCTTCAAATTTAGGCGCGGGAGCCTGAAATCACGAAGAAAATTGCTATTCGTCTCGAAGTGGAACCTGTGCAGGGGGTGCGATACACGGCTGAACGACGGCTCCGTTTGCCATGGCTTTGGCCACGTACTTTGCAGTGTTCTCTTTGAATTCCTCAACGGCCTAAATTGCAAAAATGAGTAAGTTGTGGTGATCAACTGCATCATACGCGGATAAGATTTGAATCTGTGTAGTAACCAATCACTCGACCGTATTCAGCAATGCATTCCGCCATTGCAAGGTACTGTAGGTCGACCTGAACGGCGCTCGTACGGCAGTCTGCAATGGTTCAGTGTCCGTGAACTCATTCGGAAGCAGGGCCAAAAAACTCACTGCGGATAAGTCGGCAGGTCTCCACGAGGTCCAAAGGCTTGCCTGCGTTCAACGTTTGCAAGCCGGCTTCGATGGCCACCTAGAATATCAAACCTACCTAACGGATTCTCTCATCAAAAAAACCAATGTTCCGGTCCGACCGATACCGGCAGAGCAATGAACAACGACGGGCATTTCGGTGGCGCGGGTGTAGAACAACAGTCGCAGAACGGACATGCTCGACTGTGGAACCGACTTGTCGGGCCAAGAACGGCAATGAAGGTGCCAGACGACGAGGCGAGTCGTAGCTGTTTCTACGCGGAGCACGGTTTTCGTGATGTTGGCGTCAGTAGTGTCGACCGCCGTCGTTGTCACCGTTATCCCTGTTTTTAGAAATCCAGTTATAAGGTACGTATTGAAGGAAGAATCGGGTTTGAATTCGATGAGGATAAGTTACTGGAAAACTTCAAAACGAAGAAAAAAGTTTCGGCAAGCCAAGTCATATAAATTATGATTCCACCTCCAAAGTTAGCCGATTCTTCGAGCTTCAAAGGCCAGTATTGGAAACACTTCGGATGGTTGTTCTCAATCGTCTGAAATATGATTTTCAGCAAGTTTGATCGTACAGTTGTGAATATACCTCACAAAGCATGCAAATAATGGCGACCTTTTCTTGTATGACCATTCGCCAAAAGTCTAACATCGTGTTTTCTTTTGGACCCTTAAAAAAGTGGCTTGACGTGATATTGACTTCATAGTTGCATGAAAAAAGTGAATGCGAAATTTAGAGACACCAGAGACTATCTTTCTTTAGTGTCTCTTTATTTCTGATGCTCTCACGCTTCTGTTTATTTCTCAACTTCTCTCATTAACCTGCGCTAGAATAAAAGTCGAATGAAGGCCGTGGACGTAGTTGGCGTGTATGTAATCGCCGCTCTCGTGCCCGTCGGTAAGAACAACACGCGTATAGTCATTGCAAACCACGTCTGTGAAATGTGACCGTTTTTTGACTGAGATCATTTATAATAAATTCAAGTTTAAAGCAAATCATGTGTCTAAAATTAATCGAAACTACTCAGAAAATCGATTATCAATATCACAAAAATACACTTCATCCTTTTTACTCCCGATACAGTTTCCTTGTACGTCACCAAAGAAAAAAAATAAGATTACGTTTGCAAAATCTTGTCTAACCTTTATAGCGATTCTTTGGGTGGTTGGCGTCGAAGACTTCTCGCGAGAAACGCTGTGGAATGTAAACTTTAACCTTTTCTTGATATTCATCGACGAGAGCTTGTACGCCCATAGTTGTAATTTTCTTCAAAATTTCAAACAGTTCAAGTTCATTTTCAATCAAAAAATACCTTTACAAACTTTTCGTACACAATTTTTTGCGCGCTCGTTTTGACTGCATCGGGTTGGTGCTGTAAGCAAAACCATTTTTCAGGAAAAACAGAACCAAAAAGTATGACTATCCATGAAAGCAAAGAAGAAGAATGTTGTCTTAAATCGTATCTGAAATTAGCGGTCTTAGCGCAACAGGTTGTGTGCCTGTATACGGTCCAGAGGGTAACAAGTTCGATCCCCGCTGTGACCAAAATCAAGGGGTTTAAAAATGTTGGTAGTGGGAAACCGGGATTTCGAAATCCTCAACCGTCACACAAGGACGGAAGCGTAAGAAGAAGGATTCCATAAAAAATATAAACGTTTGTTTCCAAACCTACCGGAAGTATAACACCTTTCTGGAACACGAAATGAACCTTGGCTGAAAATACTTCTATAGAAAAGCTCGATTTTCATATAAAAACCTCTCCTTCCTGCGCAGCTTTTGTCATTTTCACGCCTACAATCTCGTTTTGAAGTTCCGTCTTTTGTGGGTTTATTTTTCGGCTGTGATTGAAAAATTGAGCGAATCAAACCAATTTCGGTACCTTCCGATACGACTTTGACTGATAGGTCATCGCTAGCAAGGCGAAAGTTATAGGAAATGAATGCGGAGATCAAAATCAAAGTCAAGACTTTATTCACGTTTTTCGAAATATTTTTTGTCGTGGTTTAGTTTTCGATGGTGTCATGAAAGGTCATGAGAGACAGTACACGGAAAAAGCAAATAAATTGATTAGATATTATGTGATAAATTGGAAAAAACATAGGATAAAAATTAATAAATGGAGGGAGTAAATATCATGAGTCGATAGTAATAACTTCTTTTCCGCTGCCCCCGATGAAAAGCACTCGCGGCAGGGCTTCCGTCAAAACGTCGAGATAAATCTGGAAACAAAAGGTTTTGGGTTTGAAAAAATGTAATTTTTTGACTAATCCAACCCAAACTTCATAGACAAAGTCGGAAAGGGTGGAAAAAGGCTCCATAGAAATGTTTTTTTTTGCTGCCTTTTTGCTCCATTTTCTCAGCCCTTATGCACCATTTTTGCTGGCTCTCCCTTTTTCCAACATTTACTGAGTCTTTAAAATTCCAGAAAGAACGGAAGGCTCGAAAAAAGGGCTCTTTTTGCTGCCCTTTTGCGCCCTTTTTTGAGCCGCTCTCTTTAAGTGGCCATTATCCACCATTCCAACTTTACCACAGTTGTTATAAAGTTTAAAAATCAATTAATTTCAATAAAAAGGAGTTAGGCATAATTATGCGCAAATTCGTTTTAAAGAAACCAATTTTTTTTTTGTTAGAAGAGAGTAAAATTGGTTAAAATCAAGATCTGAAAAACCAGTCAAATTCGAAAATTTTCCCATAGAGTCAGATAACGATTTTTTTGAAAAAAATTTCGACCTTTAGGTTATAAAAAAGCTTGGGTAACAAAGCGAAAACTGGATTTACGATATTTGATAAAAAATACTGTATTTTTTAAAAATTGGAAAATTCTAAAACTAACTTATTAAAAAAAAAGAACGATCTTCAATATTGGAACCTTTTTCATGCTCACTACTATTTACAATATTTAGCCAAATTTTAAAGATCTATCTTTTTTCCCAAATTTATTTTGAAGCTATGAGCAATCGAGTAAATAATTTTCAATCTAATTAGTTTTTCTCAATTTTTTACTCTGTGGAAGCTCTTTTTTCCCTGAGTTCTGCTAAGAGCCTTTGATAAGGAGCTTTCCGAGGCTTTTTTATTATTTTTCGACAGCTTATAAAGCGGGGTGAACTTTTAAAAATTCATTAAAAATCATCAAACCATATAAGTATTATTGAAGGCGACGCGATTCCTCGGCGGCGACGGCAAGTTGAGGAGAATCAACTGGGCGTCTTGAGAGTTTTCCCGGATCACGTGGTTCAAACGCACGGACGTGTTCATTTTGTGAAGCTGCAAGTCAGTTTTTTCTTTTTTGAAAAATTCGTAGGGTCGACTTTTTGAATAATCTTTAAAAAATTTCCAGAGCTACTTTTGAATTATCTTTTTTACTAGGACTTTTAGAAGCTAGAACGAGAGTTCAGTGTGTCCTGAAGAGACGCCAGAGAAGCGCGAGTAGCTAGTTTTCTCTGGCGTCTCTTCAAACGGCTGTTGATCTCTAGCGAATCGATTTTCCCCCAATTTTTGATCTTCAAACTGACATTCAACTTGATCCCATTGTCATTCTCCTCATTTGGCGTCCCACTCCGGTAGAGCTCATCGAATGGACTTCTGAATTTTTTCTCTTCCTTTGCAAAACGAAAGAAAAAGCGTATTACTCAGTGAAAGACGTTTCCTCATCGACGTTATTGGCGGCCGTAGGCGTAAAGCTTCTCGTTGAGTCGCCTGAAAACTTGGCAACGACGTCAAAAACGACTTGTTTTCGGCGCATTTTCCGCGTATTTCAAGATTAAAATGGACAAATGCGACGCGAATTTGAGGCGATTTCTCTCGTCCTTTTCGAGCTTTCAGAGGGTGTCGGATTTGGAGGATCATGTCGTCAGTGACAACTTTTTCCGAATTTTTTGGTTTTTATTGAGAATTGAGGGACCTACTTAGGAACTCCAGAGTGGTCCCTATAGCGGCAACCTTAGGGACTCTCGAAAGGTCCCTTCTATAGACCACTTTATCTACCCCTATAGGGGCCACTAAAGAAGGGGTCTCTATAGGGGAAATGCTGATCGATAATTTTTATGAACTCTTTGCGAAGGAACATTCTCATGCGAAAAACTGAACAGTTGAAAACAACTGAAAGACCCCTATAGGGACCACTTTAGCTTTAAGAACTAAGGGGTCAAACCCTAAACCCCTATAGGAACCACCTTGTTTTTACTCCTGGAGGGACCAATTTTTGGGCCACTATAGGGGCTGTTTTCTCCCTAACCCCTGTAGGGATCACTCTGAAATTCCTTAGTACACAAAAAATTTTTTTTAATGGTTTTAGACTAAAAAATGACCTTCTTAAAAGGTTAGTTCATTCTTTTCGAGGTCGATTTGAAATTTTTCGTAAATTTTTCTCTTCAAAGTACCTGGAAAAGTTGGTGAAAAACAGCTTTTTTTGAGCTTTTTTTCTCTAGTTTTTTGCTTTTCAAGCCCCAAATCGACAGTTCTCAAAAGTGGAACCTTTGAAAATCTTTCTCACTTTGCCGCAATTTGTTCCGAACGCTGCCGGACTTCTCCTCAGCCTCGTAGGCCTCATTGATGTAGCTCCGACTGCGCTTCAGCTCTTCCTTCTCTTTCTGTCTCTTCTCGATTTCCGCCGTCTTTTCGATAACTTCCTTCGAAACTTCTTGATCCAGCAGATCCACTATCTGAATTTTCATCTTTTATTATTTTTTTTCTTGTTTGCTCCTACAAAAATCTCAGCGTCGATCCGAAGCATGTAGATGTACTTTTGGAGTCCGGCCTTCATGTGATCACTTTTGGTAGAGTCCTGCTCGCTGATTGCGAATATTCGGAGCATGCAACCTCGCCAGACCTTGAAAAGAGAAATTTTAAAGATTATGAAAGGATTTGATTTGTTTGATATAAAATAGTGACAAAGAAAACACGGGAAAATACCTTGTGTTGGCGCAGAAGAAATGCGATCAGCATTAGAATCCCGCCGTCCTGAACGATCCACCAGATGTCAATGTACCTGAATTTGAGAGCCTCTACAAGTTCGAGGATGTAAACTCTACCCAATAAGACGCTCATTCGAGTCGGGAAACCCGGTGATGCCTTTAGTCGTGATGATGCAGTAGTCGTTGGCGGCGCCGTGGATCAGCTCCTCGGCGAAGAGAACGACCTCGTCGATGTTCTTGTCGTTGGGCCAGTTGAGCAGCACCGTGTTGGGTTTGAGACCGCCGATGCCGATGGCCTGGTAGAAGGAGGAGATGGTGCCGTTGATCTGGAAAATGGATCGGTATATCTTGGAAGACTTATGGTAAAGACGAAGTCCGAGATTTCAGTCTGAACAAAGCAAGTTTTTCAAGTTTTCTTAGGAACATCGCAACTGTGTGACATGTCTACGCCCTCTTTATCTTCACTTTAAGGTCAGGAAACGTCGACAGAGCTCGAAAACCTACCTGATGATTATTATAGAACATCGTCTTAGCAAAGCCCCGCAACCGGACCGCATTCATGTCTTTGAAAAGCTCATGTTTCACCTGAAAACACTTCTTCATGATGGAAAATTGATTCTTCTTTTTGCCAAACCTCACTAGCACGATTCTTGTCCTTGGTCGAGTCAACGCTGCCTTTCAGGAAGGCACAGGCGATGGCGAGACCTCGGCCGGCCTGAATTGAGAATTTCAGTTTTATTCGTAGTATAGTACACAGTAAAAGCACAAATTTTCGAAAATTTCAATTCTTAATTCTTTAATTTATTATCAGTTATACAGTCCTTTATCACTGCTGGTGCATTCCTCAAATTCATTAATATTTATTCAAAGTTTTGAGTCTTAGAATCTATTAGTTCTGAGTGTGACTGTTGTACGAGAAAGCGTCTTTTTGAGAATCAAAAAACATTTTGCCTAAAATTTAACGATGGAGCGCGTTGCACGGTTCATAGAAAGATTTTTGGCTAATTTTCTATAGATTTTTTACTGGAAGAATGAAATAGACCTTGAGCTGAGCCGCGAGGTTGAGCATCGAAACGGCCCTTCTGTCGATGATCTCCTTGGACCACTGGGTGCTGAGGCAGATCAGGACCTGTGGTCGCCAGTTTTTCGGATGCGGATCCTTGTCCTCGACTTTCAGGAGACTGTATTGGGCGGTGGTCAGCGCCAGTCCGCGCATTCCGTCGCCCCATTCCTTTTTGGCTCTGAAAAATATTGAAGCTGTATTTTGGGATTTTCTAGCCTCTGTAGGAGTTTAGGAACCTCAATATGATATTCTGGTAGATGAGCTGTACACTGAACTTTTTTTTATTTCATTGAATACAGAAATGAATATTTTTTTATTTCATTAGCTACATAAATAAATAGTAAATTAAGCGTCACTCTACTTTTGGGGGTTGCTAAGTCCCAGAGGTACATATTATTGAGACAGAAAGCAAGGGATGTAGTTTTTTTCAAACTCATTTTCAATCTGCAATATTTTCTTGGAGGTCCATGAAAAAGTTATAGCCACATGAACTGAAGGGGTTTAGTGAAGGAGAGGCTCACAAGTTAGCTTGATTGAAAACTTGGTCATAAGTTTTTTCTCAGACCTCGTTCCGACTTTTTATGATTAATTTCAGAATCAGCATCAATAACTACATATTGTAGATTCAGATTATCTACATAGGGTCCAATTTTCGGACTATCCTCACCCCTTCCACTCGACGTATTTGTAAATGATCGCCGTCGCAGCACACGCCACCAGGGCGAGTCGATAATCAGAAGCGAACATGATGAAGAAGCACAGAAAGGCTCCCATCAACGACAAGGACCTGAATTGTTTATTCAGTTCGAAGATCGAAAAAATTCTACCAATGGAAGTATTTGAAGCGAGGCCGCCAGTTGGGCGCTTTCAAGACCGAGTGCAGAAAAGCGATGAGGTTGACGAAGGCGTAGCACATCAGAAAGAAAAAGTCTAGGACTTCGGCGATTTTGTCGACGGCGCCGAGCAAGATCCCACACTCGGCGATGATGACGGTCAACACCAGGCTGAAGAGGAAGAGAAGTTCAGTATCAGAACTTGAAAAACAGTCTTTTTTTTCGAATTAATTTTATATACAACCTCTAATTACTCAGACTGAAAAAAGAAAATATGGTGAGCTCGATTTTGTAGCTCTAAGGATTATTTCAAGCCTCACCCTAAGAAAGGCTCATTGCTCTTCGTAACTCTGGCGAACGGAGCCAATATTGGGATGACGTCATCTTTGGCGATGGATTGAAGGAGTCGAGGAGCACCTGAAGATGAACGATCAACCTTTCCAACTAGAACGAGTCGAAACTTACTGCAAAGACACTGAAGAGCGGCTCCAAACGTCGACAAGAACGCGCCGACGGTGACGATCCATGGCGAAGGCCAAGACAGAGCAGCTACGACCATTGTGTTGTCGATGGACCGACCGAATCTGATTCAACGCTTTATCTCAGATCTCGTGGTTAGAGTTACTTGTCACGAAGTACGGAGCGATCGATAGAGCCGCCGAAGAGAAGCGCCAGGATGTAGTAGATGACCGACGTGGTGACGGTGGCGGAGATTGTCCCGACGGGGATCGACCTTTGCGGATCGGCCAAGTCTCCTGTAAATGATGCTTTTCTAACATTTTGATGACTTTAATACCGCTCATGTTAGTGCCGGTGAAGATTCCGGTTACGGCTGGGAAGTAGATGGCCATCAAGACGAAAAAGTCGGAAGGCTCGTCCTGGAAATTATGTTTTTTGGCGAGAAATTGAAAAGTTGTGGCTGCCTTCATAATCCAAAGAACAAAGAACAGAAAAAATTCAAACTCAGAAATTAAAACTTGAAAGGCCTGGAAAAAAGCAGTAAGGGCTTGAAAAGGAGGTTTTGGTAGTTCAAAAGCTACTCGAAGCTATCAAAATCTTCCGATCCTAGACTTAAAACAAGGAAAATGGTATAAAACATGCCTGAACAACTTCGGCTTGTTCCTTGCCTCGAACTCCCGGCAGCACTTCGTACTTGCCCATGAAAGCCGCGCCAAAATTGTCTAAAGTTCATTTTTATGAAGAAAAAACTCTCAAGCTCAGATTTTAAATCGGCTGCAAATTTGTAGCTCCAAAAAATCTTTCATTATTATTTTGGGATGGCAGATAGAGGTCGAACATCTGAAATTTGGATGTGTTTTTGATATACGCTTCGTGAAACGTAACGTATTTAGGTAGTTCTTTCTTGCCTTTTTTCTCGACTCTCTTTTGGTTTTTCAGAAAGGGATTCAGTGCATTTTGAAGACTTTTTTTCGTCCTTTACAAAGTGGTTTTCTTATACCATTTGCGACCTCTCTTTTTTCCCACCAAGAAAGAAAAGTTCAATAAAGGACGCAAAACGGAACCATTTTAGCGGCAATTTTGCACCCGTTTTTTGCACTTCCGACTTTGACAATATTTGAGTCGATACAAAAATCCAAGTCAAACACAAAAAAGTGAATTTTAACTGGAAAATCTTTAACTGAAAGGACCTATATATTCTGATTATCATTCAGATCTCCGTCCTTTTTTGGTAGCATTAATTTTTTCGCTTCTCAGTGGTCTCTCCTTATGATATCTCATGAATATTTTCCGCCTATGTTTCCGTTATTTTCCAATCGCCGAAGCTAAGCCGCGAAAAACTGGTCGCCACCCCAAAACACTATGAAAATCGGGCGGCGCTCGATAATTGATCCCGTTGATTTTTTTTCAAACCGCTGACCAAAATAACACATTTTTTGTCTGTGCCCCATATATGAATTGAAATAAAAACCATTGAGAGTAGCCAAATTGAAGCCGGGGAATCCCTTGATGCAGTTCATTTTCATCGAGGTGTACTCGGAGCAGAACTCGTCGTCGGAGCAGAAAATCTCCTCCAGCCTTGAAATAATTATTTGAGACTGATCTCAAAAATCATAATAAAACTGATTGGTTTTGTCGCAAACGTCGCAAATGTCGGTGTAGTTGCCATAGAGGGTCGTGTTGTGGTGTTCGTAGAGAACTGACGATTGGAGGAGTCGGTTGTCCATCGAACATACCCTGAGAATTAGATTACTGTTGGTTTCTTATACTTTGATACTTTGATGGTCCATCTTCGCTGATGTTCTCAGCGTGGACCACACGTTCTCCAGTACTACTGTTGGTTCAAATAGATAAAAGTGAAAAATTGAGAAAAAGATTAGTAGTATAGGAATGAGGGATTATAATACCGTTTTTCGACATTTCAGTCATTTCAACACATTTTTCATTCTCTGACTGCAGAGAATTACCTCATTTACAACACTTTTTTTCGTAAAAAAGCGTGAAATGAGTCAATTTTTGGAGAACTAAAAAGTGCTTATTTTTCAATAAATTTTATACATTTTCGATCAATTTTTTTGCTTGGATGTTGATTTTATTTTTCTATTTCTGATTTTCATGCTTAAATGCTCGAAAAATGTATCACTTCCTCACTTTTTTTAGAAAAATCAGTGGATGTCGATGGATGATCTTTTTTTCTTCAATTATGAAGTCTTGCTTTTTCAAAAACACCTCCTAATTTCTTTTTTTACTCAATCCTTCATTCATTCCATTAATTAATGCTTGATAACAAAGGTTGAAATAAAGTTGTACTAAAGATGTATAAATTATTGTAATCAAGGTATTCTTCTCCTTTACCATTAGGTGAATCAAGGAGTAAATTCATTAGTAAATTAGTCTTTCCACATCCACTCTTTTCCAATTATACATCCTCTTATTGATTGAGGAAGTAAAGGATTGTTCTTTCTTTCTGGATAATAATTTTTGATACTGTAGTCACTGAAATCACTCATTTTTAAATTTATACCTAAGTATTTAAAAATGTTTGAAAAATATAAGATATCTTAAAATATAAGATATAAAATAAATTATTTAAATAAATTGAATCATTAATTAAGAATGACAAGTCTCTTCTTAAATATATATCGAACAAATGAAAAAGACATTTCAATTTCCACAAGATTTAAAAAATTAGTGGTATTAGTGTTGTGAAGATTGATGGAATTTTTGGATTGTTCTAATGATAAGCCTTTTGTCAGATCTAAAGATCTAGGAATCTCCGATTTTCGTTTATCTATCATGCAATCTTATTTGTGATACTTTTCATTGATGAACGACAAAAGTAATATCATTTTGACAAGTTTCCTTTAGATTCACCTAATGGAGGAGTAAAATATGAACCAATAAACTTAATTTATCATCGAAGTGTTAATAATTGTAATACTTTAACACTAAAACTAGTGGATGATAAAAATAACCTTATTGACTTTAACAAATGTGATCTTCATATAGAATTATATGTAAAAAAACGTAAAAAAGGAAATAATTTAAATTAAATTCTTTTGAATCCTGATCCTTCACTAGGTCTTGCAGATCCTTTCTTTAGAGCTCTAAGAAATGCTGCATTATTTTTGTTCAATCCTTCAGATTTATTAGTATTCAATTTTTTTCAAATTTATTTGGAGTATTCAATTTTTCAAATTTATTTGGAGTATTCAATTTTTTTCATTTGTAGTATTCATTGATTTTTGAGTAATACTTCCTCCTTCACTAAGTGAATGTCTTGCAGATCCTTCCTTGACTTTTACTTTTTCATTGATTTCTATTTTTCTTCATGTTTAATATCTTGAATCAATTCTATTTTATCTTTCTCTTTTTGGACTTATGATAACATATTTTGAAGAATCACCAGAATTGAAGAATCTCATTTCGTTTTGTAGAGTTGACTTTAAGGAAGCTTGCTTACGCAGAATATAATTTATTAAAGAATAATAATAATTAAAATAATTTAAAGATAGAAAAAAATTTAGTCTACAACAAGAGATCTTCTATGTTCATTTCTGAAATCTTGCAGTTCAACATCTTCATGATTTTTTTGTTCTCACAAAAATTGGACTCCTATTTCTCAGATTTCTATTTTTCTTGAATCAAAGAATGTTTTTGGAGAAAAGGACCATCCAAATAGATCTACCTATAAATATGTAAAAGAGAGTAACACCAATAGTTACATAAATCCTCCAAATTCTAATGTAATACTTCTCAAAGATGCTAGAAACTTCATCTAATATTTCATGAGGAATCATACCATCTTGACTATTTGAGTGTAATTGAATGCTAGTATCAGCTTTTTCTCGCATCTCATTAATTAATTCTTCCTCTATATTCGTTTTTGTATCAAGGAGAATATGTTCATGAAAGATTACTTTATCATCTAAGAAATTTAGATCGAACTCTTCAAAGTTTTTGAAATTAGTAACATTATCAGCCATAGGATGTAGTGCTAGGCTACTAGAAATTATTCCCCCACTTGGATCATTCTTGTAATACCAAATCTTGTCTGAATTCTTTTAATCTAATGGGTATTTGTCCTTGAGTAAGAGCTAAACTTGTCTTGAATCCATCAAAATGAGTTAAGTCTATGAATTCAATTTCTTCATCTTCTAAAGATTTACAGAACGTTACCTGAACTACTTCTTCAGAAACCATTTTCACCCTTATCGCAGAATGATTTAGTTGTTTTTTTGAATATATGTTCTAGGATTTTCTCTTATTAGTGTTTCAAGAAGAGAAGTATGTTCATTAAAGATATCACACATTACTTCAGCTGTATGTCTTAGTAGATTATTTGATTTGTTCTCAAGATATTGAAACTCTCCAGCTGCTTGAAAATCTGAGTAAACTTGTCTTCTTGTTCTACCAATCCTCTGATTTCCAAAGGTCTCGGTATTTTTAGATTTTCTATTTTCTAATTCTTCGAGAGCATATTTAGCAAATTTAGTAACGTATTCATCATAGGTTGGAAAAGTATCACATGCATCTCTAGTTTTTACGAAATCAGAGATTTCTAGATCTTTGGTTTTTAAATAGTCTTCAAAACTTGGAAGCAGTAAACAATCGTTTTTAATCTTTGAGTATTCTTCATAAGTGGGTAATGGAAAAGGTTCTTCTAAACTTTGATTCGTAGATCTTTTGACCCTTTTGGTAGTATCAATCCTCTGGATTTCAGAATCTTTGATTTTATTCGAATTCACAGAAGTAGTAGTAGTATTAGGACCAGTATTCAATAATCGTTGTCTTTCCAATTTTTCCTTCTTTCTTTTCTCGAATTCAAGATATTGCTTCATTTTTTCTTCTCTTCGCTTCTCAAATTCTTTACGATCAGCTTCGTATTTATCTCTTGTTTCTTTGTCTTTTTGATTTTGAATTTCTTGTTGTCGTTTATAATATTCTTCTCTTTCTTTTTGATACTTCTGAGGAGGATTCATCAATCCTTCGGATCTAGGAATCTCTGATTTTATACTCATTTCTTGGAGGCTTGGTAGTCCAGCAGTAGTAAGAGCTTGTGGGGTAGGAAGTTTTTGAATATTTTGAATTTCCTTGACTGCAAAACCTTCTTCACTAATTAAGAGATCAATATTACAATCTCTGATAATTTTATTTCCTTTAAGGTCTAAAGCAATTTGATTTTGGCTATTAATCCACAATCCATTATTCATGGTTCCATCTAATTTCCCAATTGAAATGTATTGACAATTTTGATCTTTATTAACATCCCAAATCATAATTTCATTCATCTTCCCAGGTTGACAAGAACCATCTTGATATTTACACTCCGACATATCAGCTAACACATTAGATGGTCTACTTTTGGTTAAAGTGAGAATAGACCTTAGTCTCAATAATTACACAATTTTCTTTGTAATATCTTTTACTTGTAAAGAAACTAGTAAATCGATTTGGATAATCTTCATTCACTTTATTATTTGTACTATATATTCCTTCTTTACCTTTCCCTAAACTTCCATATTCACATTTCTTATTTGCAATCCATTCTCTACATTCTGCAACACTAATAGAACGATGATTCAATTCCTTTTCTACTAAGTGCTCATATCCTGAAAAATCTGTATACATTGATACTTCACTTACTAATTTCTTACACAATTTAGCTTCACTTGAGTATTCAATAATGTTCGGTTTATATACTTCATACCTTACTACTTTTGATTGACTATTTAATTGTCTATGATAATTACATTTGTGTAGTTTCGGAAGTTTGAAATATTGAACTGGTGCATTAGAAGTACAAATGATAGCAGCTAAAATATCATGATGAGTAAATATAAAGAAAAAGTAGAATTGCAATAGATTCATTGTATTTAACTTAGAAAAAATTTATTCTAATTAAATTGAAAAGTCTAAAATGACCGAAGCTGTTGATAGAATCCTGATTGTTGATAGTCCAATTATTCAAGATACTTCAATTCAAAAAGAAAAATTTGATTAGCATATTTCCTTCATCAGGATCTAGTTTAAATCAACATGGAGAAATAAATTTTATAATTGAAACCTGTGATCAATATCTATTACTTCATAAATCTTATATATATTTAGAAGCTTCATTGACTAAACTTGATGGTACGCAACTCGCGGATACTGATGAAGTCTCACTTACCAATAATGCTCCAATGTTTCTATTTGATAGAGCTACTTACTCAATGGATGGTATGCAAGTTGAAAATGTCATTGATCCTGGAAGAGCTACACTATTAAAAGGTTTACTTACTTATTCTTCCACAATGAATAAACAAAATACATTTGGATGGATACTTGAAACAAAAGATATCCTTCAATACAAAATAAATAAATACACAAAAAATAGAAAAGGTAATCTAACATTCTGCATTCCTCTTAGTCATATTTTTGGTTTTGCTGAATGTTACAATCGAATAATTTATGGAAGAAAGCATACTTTAGGACTCTATAGATCTCCAGAAAACAAGAATTCTTGTGTTTCTTCAGATCCTACTAAATTTACATCTAAAATGACTATTAATAAACTTCAATGGATAATTCCTAAAAATTATGCCAAGTCTTGAGATGCAAAACAAACTTCTAAATATATTTGAAAGTAATAAACTCATTCAAATGCCTTTTATTTCTAGACAATTTGAGAGTTATAATATTCCTAATGGTAATAGAGAATTTACTTGGAAACTTGGAACTAAATATGATAAGATAAAATACATTGTCATAGCATTTCAGACTGCTAGAGATAACAATTATCTAAATGCTGCAAAGTTCGATAATTGTGGATTAGAAGAAATTTATGTTGAACTAAATTCAGAAAGATATCCATATGAATGCTTGAAATTCGATTTTGATAAATTCAATGCAGTTCAACAATACAATTTTGCTAAGGAATTTAGAAATAGTTATTATGAATCCATAAAAGATTATATTTTCATGGAAGAAGATGTCTATTATTATTACTATCCACTTCTAGTATTTGATGTATCAAAACAAAATGATAGAATTATTGCATCTCGACCTGATGTTACAATAAAAAGCTTCCTTTTAATAAAAAAACATTGCTCAAAGTACTAAATGTTACTGTCTGATTCTTTCAGAAAATATTGTTGAAGTCAAGAATAATAGAGTTAAGGTTGTTAGCATTTGATGGAATCAAACTAGGTTATTGCAAATAACTGTGCATCTAAGATGCTCTTGATTTTCATAGAAAATTGCGAATATTTAATTTTTTTAAGTCTCCTTCGTTTATCCAAGAATTAAATTTATCTGGATATCCATACCACTTGACAAATAACTCTTTTTACTTTGTTTCTAGTCCTATGTTTCAATACTTTCTCGATTTTGAACTCCTCTTTGACATTATTATAAAGTGTAAGTTCCTCAGAGTAAAAACTTTCCTTTTAATTTCCTCATCTGCGAAATCTTTTTATTGAATACATAATTGGATCACCTATTAGAACTTCAGAAATCTTAAATTGCTCTGTACTCCAATTTGGTAGATATCCTTTATCAAAAAAATAGCTTTATATTTTTGTAATTCTGACAGTATCACCTATTTTGAATTTAGCTTTGCTCAAAAACCCCTGGGAATTTCGCTTTGTGTAAAAGCCTTTGAATCTGTTTGAAATTCTTCCTTTTCAATTTCTTTAGGAAAAAGATTTGAGTAAACAATACTTTGATTTTCTATTTTAGAAGCCTGTATTGGAGTCATTTTTATTGAAGTGTGATAATGATTATTATATCCTAACACAAGATCATCAAGAATATCAACCCACTTATGATTACCTTGATGAGTAAACATCTTCCACATCTTTTCTTTTAAGGTTCTATTAAATCTTTCGATAATAGAAGCTTTCTTATCTGAATAAGTTGAGAAGTGATTAATTTCTAATTTTTTGAAGAGACTTTTTAAATTGGAATTGTAATACTCTTTACCATTATCAGTTTGCATCTTTTTGGGTTTTCTTTTACTTTTTGTGAAAACTAAAGAAAGAGCATCTGCAGTTTCTTTGCCTGTTTTACTCTTAAGAGGAACAACCCATGCAAACTTACTAAAACAATCAATTATAGTTAGAAGATATCTATAACCTTTATTTTCTTCTTCGTAGGGAATCATTTCTACGAGATCTGACTGCCACTGATCATCTATTCCACTGACATAAACTCTTTGACTCTTGAAGTTCTTACGAGCTGGCTTATGAAGAGTGTAAACATCTTGTTCATTCAGGAACTCTTTAACCTTTTTCTGTGACACCTTTGCTACTCTTGATAGTTCATTGATACCGCAGAAACCTGTTTTAGGAGAATAATAAGCTTTTTCTAAAAGATCTCTTTCACCTTCGGAACTTGTGGGTTGTCTAAAAATTTTAGATTTTTCACTAATTTTAACCTCCTTGATATCTCCTAATCCAGAACCTCCTGTGATTGTTGGAATTAGCTTACACTTCATTGTATTACAATCTTGGCATAACCCTTTTTATCATAGAACGTTTCGAGCTTGTTTCAACATTAAATATGTCAGTAGTATCAGTAAATTTTTTTACATTTGAAACAGTATACTAATTCCATAATTTAGAAGTTAAAATTTTTTGGCTACAAATATCTTATTTGATTTTGTGAAATGGGGGACGTTCAGTGAAAATGGATGTCTTCACTAGAAAGTGAATTCACTTCCTTTTAAGTATGTGTACAATCATACTGAATCCAGAACTGCTTACATCATTTATTCAATGGTAAGCAAATAAGATGAAGAGTCAAGTAGTAGAGGCAACGGCCGAGGGCGGGGTACTGTCGTGCTCCGGCATGTCATCGTCCGACTCCGGTGCAGCGGTGAGGCGATTGTTCAGAGCCTGTGAGACCGCTCTTTATATAGTGGTTTTATCTCCCACGTTATCTTTTATTCTATATACACAACACTCCTTCCTTCTTAGAGAAGTTCATATTCTTATTATTTAATTACCTTAATTTGGTCGCTGAGGCGGTTCATGGTCTCTTGAAGACGATGTAGACGAACGAAAACAGGGATAAAAGGTATCTCTTCCTGTTTCCGTCCGTCAGTCCTCTTGTGGCGCTTGACCGATGGACCGTCCTCGCTGACTAGCTTCTTCTTCTTCGGGATTCGGGACGTCGACGCCATATTCGCGGCTGCGGTTTTCGTGGCTTGTTGTACCCTTTACGATATTAGACGGCTTTTATACCTTCTTTTATCCACGTTATCAACTCGTGCTGATTTATCTGTTTTCCCGCTTCCGTGATGACCCCTGATTATTTTGCATTTCTTATTTTCTGTTTGTCTGGGTCAGTCGCCACTCCCTTTTATGAACTGGAGGTGTGTTATTTCTGTCCGGTATGTTCTCCTTCCCTTTTATTAGGCCAAAACTTTTCGTTTTTACTTGTCTTTACTTTGCCTCTATCTGTTTCCCTTCCGGTTTCCGGAAACTGATAATCCGATATTTAACAAAAATAACAATATATCGGATGCTTCCGTCCACCGTTTTCGCTACTATTCGCCTATAGTCTACCGTTGGTTTACAGTATTCTATGTGAATCCTTTGCCACGGTGACTCCGGTATGTTCCACATTAATGGATTTCCTGGTTTCTTCTCTTCCAGTTTCAGCACCTGGTGTATAACTTTAGCTTCCCGTTCTATTCTTTCAACACTTTCGGGAACCCATATATATATTCTAGCAAGACCTTTCATTCTCACTTCTCTGCATGTGTACTGTGTAATTCCATTATTATCCTTTCTCAAGGTATGTGGACTAACAACTTTCATTCTTTCCATTATACGACCTTCGTGCAAGGTTATGAATCATTACTCTCCAGTAAGCTTTCAGCGCTACTCCTTTACTCTCCAGTGAGGTTTTAGCGCTTCTGCCGGCCACTTCTTTGGCCACGGCTTCTTCTATCTTGCACGTAAGGTGTACTCTTCTGCGTGCACTCAATAATGACCTTCGTATCTTTGTATATACGACTTTCGTGCAAGGTTAACGAACCTTTCATCAAGGTTTTGGCTCGAATCCTGAACTCTTCAGTGAGGATCAGCCCTTTTTCTTCCGGACCCCTCTCTGGCCACGGTTTTCTACCTTGCACGTAAAGTCTGACTTTTGCAGCGCAGAATCTTTAGCTATCTTCCTGGCTAACTCTTTAGCCGTTACAGGCGGTCCTGTCATAGCTTCATCATGTAGAGCGAGTATTTCGTCCTCTACCTTGCTGAACTATCTTTCAGCCTCTTGCTGAACATCTTCAGCCTTCTTTGCTGACTATCTTCCAGCCTTCTTGCTGCAGACGCTCTCTCGTCTGGGTTGGGCAACCTTGATAATCGTGTCAGCCTTACCGGAACTCTCCGCGTTTCGGTAGTACATAGCTCTAATTAGCTTTCATGCCCTTCGTTTTCAGCTTCATAGCTGTTTCCACAGGCAACCTTCCTTTTGGACCGCATCTACAGGAGCCTTATGCTGGTCGACAGGAGGAAATTCCTTCTTCACAAATACTGGTCGATTTTTCATGCCATGGATAATGCCCAACACTTATTTCACAATTTGCGCAATATTTTCTCGGATCCGGTGAGAGTTCAACATGCGTACGTACGACTTCACTGTACCATCACGGTACTCGTGGAATCTCACTGCACCTAGCCCATCCATCAACGCGTCCGTCGCGAGCACAATCTGCTCTTCTGGGTCATAGCGTGCCAGCGTTCCACTTCCAACCAGTATTTCTACACTTTATCCATGGCCATCTGCTCCTTATTCCTCAAACCCCTTCCGCGTCATTCTAGCGCAAAACGATTCAACGGTGCGCTTTCCGAGTGACAGGTTTGGTATAAATTCTCATAATTACTCATTATGCTTAGGAAACTATCGTTCCTTCAATCTTTTGGCGGTGACACTTTATCTATGGCTTTAACCTCTTTATTGCGGACTTCTTACGCCTTCGGCGTTTTACTGTAAGTCCCAGGTACTCTATTTCAGGTTTGAGAAATTCCTATTTCTCTTTCTTATCCCGAAACCATAGTCTTTGCTTCTCTTCAGCACTCTCGCTAACGCTTTCAGTGCTCTTCGTTGGACGGCGCGGTTATAGTGAGATCAACCGGATAGACTATAACTCTAGGTATCCCCTGCAGCATGACTTCCATTCTTTCTGGACTCTTGCAGGAGCCTAGGCTACGCCAAAAAGAAAACTTTTCTGTAATTCCAACCGTAGATACGCATCTTTTAGATCGATCTTTGAGAAACTCTGTCCACCCTTTATGCCTGATTTAACCTTTCCGGTTTCGGAAACGGTACTGGTTCACGTCCAGCCAGGGATTTGTGGTCTGTTACAATCTCACAGACTCTAACCTTACCCTCTGGTTTCGGAACCCCCACAGTTGAGCCCATTCTGCATATTCGACAGGTACTAAAAATTCCTTTTTTATACCCTCATGTCGATATTTGCCTCAACTTGTGGTCTCAAAGCAAATGTGATTTGGCTGCTTTACAAACTTTCAGCATCGCTCCCTGTTTCACATGTAATTTGCTTTGACTTTTGTGCACGTGGCCGTCTACAGGGCCGTCTTCGAAATCTGGATGTTTTCGAATTCTCTTGGTTATCAGTTAACATTGCCTCAACCTCTTGAACAGGTTCATTTTCAGGCATTTTAACATTTAGTGACATCGATTTCTAATACGCCCATTAAAGTCTCTGCTCCTGAGAGAAACGGCCGTACTCTATAACACATTCCGTGTTGCGTGCACCTTTTTTGTTTTTTTTTTTTCTTGAACTCTATCTTCGAACTGAAACTTTCTTTTGAATCCAATTCGAGAGTTCCCGTAAGCCTTTTCGGTATACGCGCCGGGGTGCATACTTGATGGTGAGTTTTGGTCTTCTCAGAAATTCTCACTGTGAGAAACCAATAATACTCTTGGAATAGCCAGTGTCCAGTTCGAAATTCACGTTTGTAAGGTGTGAGTTTTGGTCATCTCAGAAGTTCCCACTGTGAGATACCAATTATACTCATGGACGCACCTGTGTCTCGTTCAGCTTCCACGTCTGTACCTTATACTGTTTGTAGGTACTATGCAAGATGGAGAAAATCTACTTAACCACCGGTTCCATTTCCGCTTGATCCACGGAAATATCCACTCCACTGTCGGATTCTCAATCGTTAGTGTCCTAGCGTGGAAAAAGGAATTCTTTTATGGTTATTTTCTTTGCCTTCTTGCACATGAATTACTCTGAGCTGATTTCTCGAATTTCCGTTTCTTTGGAATTCTCTGGATCAGATGACCTTCTTTCCACGTAAACTATATCTCTGCTTACCGGTTGACCAACCGTAAAGATATATACTGTGGCATTATTTCTTGTCATCTTTTGGCTTCTTTCCATTTTCGGCGGTTGATACAGCCACCTCCTCCAGCACTTCCGGTCTCATAGGCTTAACTTTGTTTGATACTGCGCCCGACCTCTTTCGGATGACCTTGTAACTATCATATCTATTATTTTTGTTACTTTGTCCAATCCGAGCGGTTCGCGACTTTCCTGATTCTTGATTCTGTATAGACTTCCTCTGCTGATTTCCTTTCTCTTTGCGGACGATTTATAATAGTTTAACTCTTACGGCCAATTTTAATTTCTTGGTCCTCGTTTCTGAGCAATACTATTAAATCGTCTATAGGTTTATCAGCCAGAGGTTCTATCTCAGCGCTTACTGTAACGCCTGTTTCGCATATTATTATGCGCAATTTCTCCGCGTTCACAGTAGTTTTCTAGTTCGAATTCTGATCGCCACTTTTAAGTATGTGTACAATCATACTGAATCCAGAACTGCTTACATCATTTATTCAATGGTAAGCAAATAAGATGAAGAGTCAAGTAGTAGAGGCAACGGCCGAGGGCGGGGTACTGTCGTGCTCCGGCATGTCATCGTCCGACTCCGGTGCAGCGGTGAGGCGATTGTTTAGAGCCTGTGAGACCGCTCTTTATATAGTGGTTTTATCTCCCACGTTATCTTTTATTCTATATACACAACACTTCCACCTAGCCATGAACCCCAAACATGGCTACCTCTTCCGAGGTATTAACTTTTTCACTTGGCTTCAATCAAACAAGATATTTGTTTTTTCAAAATAAAAACAAAGAAGATGAAATAACAAAGAATTAACAACAACAATCAAATGATTATTCACTTTCTCCCCCATCCGGAAAAAAGATTCTTCAAGTCGTTACATAAACTGTTTTTCTCAGAATTTCGAATGCTCATTCAACATTTCCTGCTGAAATATATCTTATTCATTTAAATTCTTTGTTGTTATTCTGGAGACGTTCATTACTCACCTTTAGTAGTTCGTTGAATCTTTCTTCTCATTAAACATAATAAAAACCTCTTGTTATTGAACACATCTCTCACTGATCGAAGAGATTCATCAATTTCGTTAAATTGATGTTGTAGTAAAACCTGCAAATAAAGAATAATCTAGTGTATCATACAAAAAAAAGACTTACCAGCTCTTTCTGTTCACTTTTACACTTTCTATGAAGAAGTAGAGATTTCTTGACACGAAAAGCATTCCCATCTTAGAAGAAAATATTGAACTTTGCTTGAAAATCATCTTGAAAATGAAATAACAATACAAAAACTGAAGAAATTCTGCGACGTAAATCTTTCACAAATGATACACCTCATTCTTTTATACTTGTTTTGCCAGTACCTTCGAGAAGGTTAGGGTGTGACCAAATTCGTCGAGTTCTCTCTTTCTCCTCCCCTTCTTTCCTTCACTAGGCATTTCAAGAAGCTTGCTTTCGCTGAATGTCTTTCAGATCCTTTGGTGTGACGTATAAAGGTCAGCAGTGTTCCCTTTCTCTTTGTGTGACCTTCTTTTCTCTTCATCACTCTGACCAAGCACAATCACACATTTGCCCCAGTTGAACTAGACACACGCGACGCAACACGCAAACGCGTTGGGCTAGAGTGGAAGGCAGAGACGCAGTGGAAAGCGAGAGACAGCCAGCATCGCATTCTTCCATTAACCTTTGTGAATAGAAAAAGTTTTCTTTTGCTTCTGTGTTCGTAGTAATTTCGTGATTTCCCCCGTGAATATCATTGTTATTTTTTCTTTCAACTTATTCCTACTCACTGTCTCTATCGATTGTTACATTTAAAAGAGTGGACGCCAGTTTGTATGTCATCTATATACAGCACCAATTATTCTTTCCTCTCAATGTTGCTTTCAAAATTTTTGACTTTTAGATCGGGAGTTTGGACGGTTAAACTATCGTCACTCGTCAAGTATGGATAGCCATGACAAGGTATACATTGTCTTACTTACTTTTATCCGCTTATCCATTTAAATTTCAGAGCGGATCTTCTTCGAGTGGAGCAGACAGTTCATTCGGCGTGTTGGCCATGCCTTATGACGAGTTCGACATCATGCTCACGGATATTAACGAAGCGGAGATGGAAAAGGTTTTTTGAGGCTTTTTTATTTTTATTGTAAAACTTTCAAAAAGTTGTTTTAGATCGGAATTGCGGAGGAAGTCAAACACTTGAGCCCAGGGACGTTCTCGGATCCCGCTTTTCCTGTGCAAGGAATCTTGCATGGTCCGAACTCCAGGCTCATGATCCCTTTGACCTTCCAACGGTACCGGAAACCCGATTCCCCCATCATCAACGTGTGGTGTCTCATTGACACGGGAAGTCCGTTCACGTGTCTGAGCGTTAAGACACTGGAGGCATTCTTTGGAGCTGGAAACGTCGTCGGCGAGATGTACTATCCATTTGCGATCCAGGTTTGTTTGTTATACTATTGTTATTTGAAAGTAATATTGTATGAAATTCAGGACCAGTCGACTCGAATCGAGTGTCAAGTGAGCAGAATTGGTACGCATTTTGAACATGTCAACATTATGGGAATCGATTCGTTGCGCAAGTTGAAGCTTAATTTGGATATCGATTGGGATAAGGATAGTTTTAAACTAATTAAAAAGTAAATGATTTGATTTAGTGCAATTTTGTGTTACACATATTTGTTCAATTATGTGGCCTGAGAACCTCGCTAATCCACTGTTTTGATGAATAGTTTTCATTATGAGTTTCCCTTTATCACTTCTTTCCATCGTTTCTATTAGTATTTTATTCCCATAATTGTATACAGGTATATTGTGTATAAAATTGAACACTTATTTATAATACCACTTTCTTTCAAAAAAATCGACATCCATCAACATCCATCAATTTTTCTAAAAAAAGTGAGGAAGTGATACATTTTCGAGCATTTAAGCATGAAAATGAGAAATAGAAAAATAAAAATCAACATCCAAGCAAAAAAATTGATCGAAAAATGTATAAAATTTATTGAAAAATAAGCACTTTTTTTAGTTCTCCAAAAAAATTGACTCATTTCACGCTTTTTACGAAAAAAAGTGTTGTAAATGAGGTAATTCTCTGCAGTCAGAGAATGAAAAATGTGTTGAAATGACTGAAATGTCGAAAAACGGTATTATAATCCCTCATTCCTATACTACTAAGATTGTTTCTACAATTGTAGGCGAACAACAGAGCAACAAGAACAATTAATCAATTTTTAGTTTTTGTGGATTTTAGTCCAAAATCCCTATGCCATGAATAACCAGTGAGATTCATGGAGGAATCAAGGAAAACTTCTCAGAAAATTGAGATGAAATTTTTGTATTTCGGGAATGTTTTCTCCTTCAAAGCAATGACGCTTTTTGTCATTATTTGCTTATTGTGTGCACTTTAAAGCCTTATAAATCAAAAAAAGATTCTTTTGCTAGAAATTTTTTTCTTTTTTTCTGCAATCAGGAGGTCCTAAAGTTCACTTAAAAAAACGTTCTCGTAAGTTTTTTTCGAGCAAATTTAATTTCCCTATTTTTTCCTTTCTTCTTCTTTTTTTCTGAGATAAACGGAATAAATATGATCCTACAAGCTTCTTGGAACGCGAAAATCAATAAACGCCCTGTTTTCCATGGATATTTTTATATTCAACCTAACGGTCGTCATTTTCTCAAAAAGTCTTATGGTACTTGAAAGTTGCCGCGTGTCTGCGTCTCCCTGTTCCCTAACCGGCCAGGTCACAGAGATTTGGAAACAGCAGGTCAAAAAGAGAGGGTCGTCGAGAGACGAGGAGGGCGCAGAGAACTCTCGCCCTTCAAAGTCGTAAAAAACGGACTATACCTATCTTTACCCTCTATTCTCTCCGCCACGCTCTCATTTTTACGTGCTATTTTCAGTTTAACGGTTAGAGGAAAGAGAGTGCAGACATGTCAGACTAAAATTGTTCACTCACATTTGTCCACCGCCGTAGATATGCTTCTCGATGCCGCCCGCTATACAAGCCAAAACTGCCAGAATGACGCAGAGCAATGAGACTGGAGCCAGAAGCTGAACGAATTTCACTCCCATCGCCACGATCAACGCCTGTATGATCAAGAAGATCGTTCCGTAGAGCCGAAGATTGTTGTATAACGATCCAAATGCTGGAAAATAATTTTCAAATAGGAAAAAGGGATTTTCCACACCATCTGTGTCGTGCAGCGCCTCTCGGCCGCCGATCGCCATTTCTGGGTAGATGTACATCTGGAAGCGCAAAAAATACGGATCACCTTGTTAATGAGACTCACCAGAACGACTTCAACGCCACCGACAATGTACATGGAGGCGGCGACGGTGTTGGCCAGGTAGAAAAGTATTCCGACGGCGGAACCGAACTCGACTCCGAGGTTTCGACTGGAAGACATAATTTTCAAAACGGAAAACAACGAGAAACCCTTATTCTGGCTTTGAATTTCAGGGCTAACCTCAGAAATGTTTCGCAATTTTCAGAGCTGAGGATTTTCAGAGTGGTTCCTATAGGGGTTAGGGGGGTGAACAACCTTTACAGGGGCGAAAAAGGTCCCGAAAGGGGTAAAATTAAGGTAGTCCCTACGGGGCCAAAATTTAGGTGGTCTCCATGGGGGTTTAGGGTTTCGCATGTCCCCTATAGGCACCACTTTTGCAAGCTTTAGCGGTCCTATAAAGGTTGATGAAGTGGTCGCTAGAAGGGTCCCTAAGATTGCCCCTATAGGGACCACTCTGTAGTCCGTAAGGCTAAAAAATCAAATTAAGCGCAACATTGACTTGAATGAATTCTTATTTTTGAGCTTCTAATTTAATGCTGATTAGCTTTGAATACGCTAAACTGAAAATGGCCCTTTTTATCATCAGAGCGCACTTGCTTCCTTTTTTTTCTAGTTTTTTTCCCCAATTTTCAAGATTCTGTCCTTGTTTTACCAGAACTCATACCTTGTGAAGATTTATTTTTCATAGTTTCGTGTAATTTTTAAAATTTTCGAGGTAATTTTCTTTCAAAAAGCATATTTCAAGAATAGAAACAGTGAAAAAGAGGAATAAAAATGAAAAATTGGGCGAAAAAATCCAGAATAAAGTGCGCCCCACGGACACTAACTTGCAAGGTTTTGTATGCATATTCCACCCATAGGATTCAATTCCAAATTTCCTGACTTTAATATTCGAATATACCTGATGATGAAGTAGGCTCCGCCGCTTTCCACAACTCCGTTGGTTGCCACGGCTGATAAGGAGATCGAAGTGAGGAGAGTCTGAATAGGAAAGGATAAGTCTGACTACCTCACCAAAGATCAAAAAGAAGTGGTAGACTCACAGAGGCACAGCAAATGAATAGAAGGAGCATCGTCCAGCCGACACCGGCCATGCCGACGACCCAGAATAATCGAATGAACATGGTAACGCCGAGAATGTGTTGAATCGTTGGGAGGTAGACACCGAGCATCGTTCCAAGATTCGCCTGGATTGATTTGGGGGTTATAGTCGATTCACAACATCTTCTGGGTTTCAGAAGGCGCAAAAATCTGGATCAATCTTACACAGAACTAAGGCTTTTGCTTAATGCCTATAACAGTTCCAGCAAGATTTTTTGAATCAGTTGAAAAATTTGGAGTCAGAAAAGCCAATAAAGAATTTTTATCAATTGAGACCAAGTGTTAGAAAATCAGTGTTTTTTTTGAATTTCGATTTTTATTCCCGCTGTTCTGATGCTGACAGATTCTGCGCAGGATCTTCAAAATCAGTTGGACGAGTTTTTTTTTCGATTCATAGTTTTCTAAATGCTCTGTTCCTTCAAGAAATGCTGCCAAGTGACGATTTCATAGTCTCTAAGTTTTTTCTATCTTCACTCATTTTAATGAAGCTGATCCCAAGCTTAAAACTTTCCTCACCTTTTTCTGTTCACTAGTTGCCCTCTCGACAGGACCCGGCGTCGTGTAGGCGGAAATAAAAGAAGCCGCAGCTCCAGTCCCTTCATCCTCTTTGAACAGGGCCAAATGGCCTAGAGTCGCCGTGAACTTGCGCGTCCGATGTTCCGGACCGTCCTCGACGATCCCGTCCATTCCGGACCCTGAAGAAAAAAACCCTTCTTTCAACGACTATTTTTTTCCTTTTGAATGAAATAAATTTTATTATTATTATTATTATTAATTAATGAATATCATGGTAAAGTAGTTTGGAAGCCTCGAAAAGATTATTTTTCAAACTTTTGAAGCTTTTTTTTTAATTGTTGCAAATCCAGTGATGTTTTCAACACAGTGTCGATCGAAAAAAAATGAAGAAATTTACTTGCGATCTCATGTTGATTTAAATGTTCAAAAAAGCTATTTAGGAACTCCTGAGTGATCCGTATATGGGCAACCTTAGGGGCTTTTTCAGGGTCCCTTCTAGGGACCGATTTGCCAACCCCTATGAGAATACTAAAGTTTGCAATGGTGGTCTTCTTTTTTGAGTTAGTGGCCATTATAGGAGACATGCTGGTAGATAATTTTGGAGAACTCTATGCGAATAAGCAAAAACTGAATAAATAAGCGGTTTTTTTAAAAATTAGATTCAAAAATCCCTATAGGGTCCACTTGTGCATAAGAGACTAAGAGGTCAGAGCCTAAACTTCTTTAGGGACCACATTTTTGGCTCCTTACTCTTATGGGGATCACTCCGAAATTCCTAATTTTGAAAATTAAACATAAAGTTCTGATTATTTCTGGATGTGGCTTGAAATCCTTCTTTTTGTACAAAAGTTCAAGGTTAAATGGATCGGAGATTTCATACTCTACTCGCCGCTTGGCGCAGCGATTATCTACCGCTTTAATAGTTGGATTGTCCGCTGAGGTCAAAATTAGTTTTTCGGAAAAAAAAAAAATTTCAATCACCTCTTGCTGTTCATTATCTTATCTGAGACTGTGATGTCCTTAATTTAGTAGAAAAATTAGTGCAAAACTAACGAAAAAAATCCTTGAAAAAAAGTAGAAAAAGTAATTTTTTTCCCAGACCAAATAAACTACAAAGAACGAGCAGTTCAAGTTACCCATTCTGAAAAATTAATAGTGGCTCTCGATTTTTACAACTGTCATGAATCTATATCACTAACATGAGCAATGTTCAGCCACAACCTGGTGAGAAAGTTCAAAAAAGTTCTTCTGGACTTTCTCACGTAATTTCAATAGCATATTGGTTACTGTAAAGCTTTTCCAGCTCATTGTTTGGCTCATCGCTCCAGGAACTTTTTTTTTAGATATTCGCGACAAACTGAAAGTGAAAAAAGGGTGTTCAGTTGATTCGAATAACGAAAAAGAAAGAAAAACGAACGCTTTTTCATAGCCTGCAACGCCTCGGTGTTGATCTGAGTCACGGAGCTGAACCGACGTCTGAAAAAAAAAAGAAAAATAAGGATATCAGAGCAATAAAAATAAAAAAACGATCGAATCGAACAGAGAGCCGATCGGGGGCTCAACTCATGTGTAAACGAGAAATTGATAATTGGGTGCGCCACGATCGTCCCTTCCCAATAAAAAAAAAGAAGGGAGAAGATTTGAAAATCGATAGGGACGATCCGATGGATTTTTCGATCAAATTTTGGAAAAAAAAACCAACCCTGCTGGATCCATGACTCGCTTGCGGAGATCCTGAAATCAACAATTTTTAATTTTGAAAATATCGGAACGAAGCTAGAAGCACTTCTGTATTCAACTGCACCATGCTGGAATCAAACACTTCAAATATGTAATAAAAAAAGTCATTTTTTTGGTTTACTTTACCTTCAAGTACCTGTAAGACTTTTTCTTGTCAATATTCCCTATAGGAGCTAGAGGGGGCAACTTTTTAAGGGGTCGAAAAGGTGGTCCCTATAGAAGTAAAAAAATAAAGTGGTCGCTATAAAGGTTTAGGGTCTCACCCCTTAGCCCGTAAATTTCAAGTGGACCCTGTAGGGGTGTCTCAATTTCACTGATTCATTCAGTTTTTTCTCATGAAAATGCTTCTTCGCTGAAACCTCATATCAATTATCGATCGGAATTTCCCTATAGGTGCCACTAACTGACTCTTCAAGGGCCCCTGTAGGGACCACTCTGAACTTTCTGAGTAGTTTTACTTTTTTAAATGTTGATCATTTTGAAAGACGCTTCAAAAAACGGCCAACGGAATATTCACGCAACAAATCTTCAAACATGAATTTGACCCTCAAAACATAACATTTATAACTTTGATTGAATCATCTATTTTCAAATAAACAGAAATTTATCTACACTCTTCACTGTCCTATATATATCAACCCTTCAACTTCACCTCCAAAATTTCAATTTATTAGTACGTTTTTTAAACTTAAGGGAGTCTGTCGTAGATAAAATGGAGAGAAAATCAATGAATAGGAAAAAACAAGCACCTGAGTATGTTTTTATCGAATCAAACAAGTCATAAAACTGTTTGCTTTTTTTCAGAAATTTATCTGTACCCTTCATATTGATAGTTGAGTATATGCATTTCATTGACTTTTTCAATGAGAAATTTTCGAATTTGTCATGGGAATAAGATAGAATTTTTTTCTTATTTCCGTGTATTTTCTTCACTCGAAGTGGTAGCTCTCTCAGTCGGCCGAGGCTACCCTAGAGTGTACACGGGGTCCGTGCCCGAGCCCCACCATCACCGCCGTGCCCGTACAAGCGAAACTGAGGGATCTCTTTGTGGAAGAACGAGGCGAAGGACCGTAAGACCATGCTTTCAATTCAATCGACTACACGTTTTGACTTCTTTTCGCCAAAGGCGGTGTTAGTGCCGCTCAAAAGAGCAATTTTTTCACCGCCTAGTCGATACCCTCTGACTAAAACAACCAATAAATATTGTATTGTATTGTATTGTAAGTTAGGTAAGATTGAAAATAGTTAATGGATTTAGATGAATTTCAAACTTCCTAGTTTAATTTTTGTGGTTGCACGAAATATGACGATTTCTTGGTTCAAATTCATTGTGATTCTAAAAATGGAGAAGTTTCCATTCATGTAATAATGAGAACAGCTCATCAATTTTGAAGCTGCGAGCTTTAAAAAAATGATTCGAAAAAGGGTGCAAAAAGTCATCAAAAAGGCCGCAGAAAGGCATCAAAAAGGCAGAAAAAAGGCGGCAAAAAGGCAGCAAACAGGCAGCATAGAGAGCTCTTTTATCAAGCCTTCCATTTTTCTGGGAATTTAAAGACTCAAAAAATGGTGCATGATAGATGATGAAATGGCGCAAAAAGGTAACAAAAAAGAAACATTTTTATGGACCCTTTTTCCACCCTTTCCGACTTTGCCTATGAAATAGATTGAAAATGAAAAATCGGAAATTTAAAAAGAAGTTAGTCAGATAGATTGTGAGAACAGAATGGTTTCGTCTAGAGTTCAAAAGTTGTTCATCAAATAAATTTCTTCACAGAGAATCACTTTTTTTGTGTCCGACAATCGACTCTATACAGAAATATTAATGCAGTTTTCGAATAAAAAGTCTTGTTTTTGATTTCAAAGTGCTGGATAGAATTCACTGAAACTTTCAAATGAAGAAATTTTAAAAATGAAAGGGACTAAGAATAATAGTTTAAAATTTTAATTTCTAGAAAAGGACGTTTTATTAAAAAAATTTGACAAAACTTTCAAAGATTCCTTATGAATAGCATACTGAATGGAAAATTTAGATTAAAGAACTTTTCAGTGAAATTCGGTTTTATTTTTTTGGAACTGTTCAAATCAAACTTCTCGCAATCCAAAAATTCAAAAAAATTCAAAAATTCTATTTTTGTAGAACTCTTTCTGCTTTTTCTATAACTAATATCGATTTCTTGCCGAAAGAGGTGTTTTCACTGTGAAAATTTTAAAAAAACATTATTTCTTGAAACGGCCGGCGGCATGCGTTTTGGCGCCAATTTGAAAATTATCGCATTAGTGAAACTATTCGAAGTAATTCTCTAACATGAGGCGCCTAAAGATCGCCACAACTTTTTCTCTGACCCACACTCTTTCGTCGTTATCCAGCTGCGAGGAAACGACGAAACAGGGCAGGGTTGGACGATCTTTAGACGCCCGATTTCATTATTTTCAATTATCTTATACAAATTACCAAAGCACAGTCTTGAAAACTGGAAAATGATTGATTTTTTGAGAGAAAACCTGAGCTGAGTTTGAAAATCAAACGAATTTCGAGAGAGCCTCATAAACGCATCGTGAACGTTTTGCACATGAGCTGTCACAGCCGGCGGTTCCAAACCGAGAAAATGAGTGACAAAACTTTGAGAAACTTCCGCAAATAATTATGGAACAACATCAAAAAATTCAGACATTTTTCTAGAAGGAGGCTTAATGATCAAGTCGAATTTCAAGCTATAGTCTGTTCAGATTTTGAATGTCAAGTCGTCGCTCAAACTTCGCCCCTAATGGTGCCATAAACCAATCAGAGAGCGAGCCATCCACAGAGTGTTTTTGAATGACGTCATTGCACTTGACATTAAAAATCTGAACAAACTATATTTTCGGAGACTTACCATAAATGCCAATATCAATTAGAAGTTGTGAATAAGTGAATATTGTTATAGCCGATGCTAAACGGGGGGATCGAAAAACGCTTCTCACCTGTATACCCATGGCGTCGGCGCTGGGTAGTTGATCGTTCTGCGCCGAGTTTTGCGTGGCCTCAGCCGATTACTCTGCCAAATATATCCAACCGGCCGGCGCGGTCGCTCGGTTTTTCCCTGTACCTTTTCTACCTGTTGGAAGTTTGTGTGGTCTGTGCCATGGGTAATCATCGCGCCAGCCAGCCCTCTTGAATGTTATATATGTACGAGCAGACTTTTTTCCTCTTCGTTTGGATATCCGAATTTGGCACGGTCACGAGGGATCCCATAATTGTTCGGTGTGGAGGGACTTGCGAATGTTTTTGTTATTTCGCAACGTGAAAATGATCGGAGTTTGAAAGAAAAGAGCTGGAACAGGAGATGAAATAACATCAAAAAAAATCCATCGATTCATGTGAGAACGGTAAATGATTATATACTAACCGCATTCAGCTCACGATGCAGTTCATTTTACTTTGCGATAGGGATTTTCCAGAAAATTGGCTAGAACACTCTTTGATGTACCAGATGAAGATCCTGAAAGTCTCAACATGCCCAACTTCCTCGTTTTTGGAAAGAGACGCTTCCGAGAAAAATAGGCTATCTCGAGACTTTCTGCCCTTATTTCTCGAAAACTCAGTAGTTGTGCACGTTGAGGTCTTCAGGATCTTCATCTGGTAAATAAAGAAGGGTTCTGACCTGTTTTTAGGAGAGTCCGAACGCAAAGTAAAATGACCTTCTGTGTGAATGGCTTATTGATTTCATGTTTACCTCAAGTTTTGTGGATCTTGGTAATCTTTTATATAACTTACTAGAAGTTTATCTTAGATTTTTGAAAGCGCATGGGCTCCAAAGGGCGGCGCCCCTTAGCGCAACAGGTTGTGTGCCTATCTACGGTCAACAGGGTCACAAGTTCGGTACTCGCCTCGACCCAACCAAAGGGTTTAAGAAATGTTGGTAGTGGAAACCACGACGGGAAACCACGACTTTAAAACCCCCAGGCGTCCCACACACGGACTCGTTACAATTTTTTTTTTTCCTCTAGATTATTAATACCCCGAGGACTTTTGAATGGAAAGAAGTGGGAAAATTGAATATGATAAAATATTTTATTCCCGTCGGCAACTGGTTCGACTGCAGAAAAATTCGTCGTCTCGACTGGCCAAGCCAAAGTCCTGACCTCAACATCATCAAAAAAGAATGGGAGAATGAAGAACTTGACGATGAATTGATGCAAATATGAAGTTTTACTAGCCATTTTTGAAAGCGATCTTCCGAAAATGTCTCCTAATTTCTCTCTATGATCTTGTCCGAAAACTAAACTACACTTTCATTCTTTTGACACTTTTTTTAAATAAACTTATTTATAATCGTTCCGAAATCAGAGCTTTCAACGATCCTCCGGCCAAAGATCTTTAACAACGAAAAAAATCTGAAGAAGACGTTCCTTTTGACAATGCCTTGGAGAGGCGGAACGTCATCATCTTTTGAGCGGTCTCCTCGATTTGAAGAGGTGGAGGTCTTGGGGAGGAAAAATCCCCCCAAAACTTGCTGCCTTTCGGCTTTGGACCTGGCTCGCCGCCAACTTTTCCTGCTTCCAACAACGGGTCTTGTGTCGTCCCTTCAAAATATGCATTTTTTTTTCTTTTGGCTAAATTAGTGGAGTTCTTTTGCACAATTTTTCAATGTCTCATGATGCCCAAGTAATTTTCTCTTTAGCAGATCTGATTCGCATCAAAAATTAAGAATTTTTCCTATTCATAGGCAGAGTTGGAAGGACTTGGAAGGACTCTTGGAAGGACTCTTCACAGGCCCTTTGATCGTCCGTTTTATATGCAAAAGGTTTCCATAATTTGTTCCTAAACGGACGGCAAGGGTTTGCTTTTTATAGCCGTTTTCCGTCCTTTCGACGGCTTTTATCCACCCTTTTTGGGCCCTTTTTAGAAAAAAAAAACCGAGACTTTCACCACCCCTTTTGCACCCTTTTTGCCGCCTCTCCCTTCTTTTTATCATTTTTTGAGTCTTTTTAGCTCTCCAAGAAATAAAGGCTCAATAAAGGCCGCATAACGGAACCCTTTCAGCGACCGTTTTGCAGTCATTCCCGTTCTGCACCCGTTTTCCGCACTTTGGCAATTTTTTTTAAATTTTGCTGAGGGTAATAAGGTTTTTTTTTATTTCCAAACTTATAAAAAATGGCGAGGGAGCGCATATAATCGAGTAGCTCTTTTTCTATACAGCGAAGTTGTTGATAGCTTCTCTCACCCTCAGAAAAAGTTAGTTTTGTGATTTCAAAAGGCGGTAATTTTTTTCATAGGCCTTGAAAGAAACTTTCAAGTCCAGATTTGAAGTGAGCTGCAAATTTCTAGCTTCAAAAAATCTCATTGGGAATATTTTAAAAAAACTGTTTATTGCATCTTCAATGTAAGAGTACATGTGCAATCGACTTTCATTGATTTCAACTGTGTTTAAACGGCGGCAGGAGCTGCTTAGGCAGAGAAAATGTGAATTTGGCTCGTAGATCAGGTACAAGAGAGGTTGTAGGAAGAAGTACGGTGCCGGCTTTCCAAAGGCCGATGGCAGAGATTGAGCCTTTTTCGCTGCATGCAGCTCGAGAATATTCTTACGTTATTATTATCTTGAGAAAGCGAAAGTGTATCATGAAAGGGCAGAAATATCTGACAGTTTGATACGTTTTTGATATACTCTCCATGAAACGTAACGTATTCAGGAAGTCCTTTCTTGCTTTTTTTTTCTCGCAAGTTTTTTTTTTGGTTTTTAGGAAAGAGAATCAGTAAATTTTGAAGATTTCAGGATCTTCATCTGGTACATCAAGGTGTGTACTAACCAATTTTCAAAAAATCCCAAGAAAAATGACCTTCCTTGTGTGGCAAACTTTCAGCGCTACCACCTTTCCAAAACACCCACAAGGAAGGTCATTTAACTTTGCGGTTGGGATTTTCCTGAGACTTGGCCACGTTATTCCTTGTGATACCAAAAGCTGGAAGTCTCAATCTGCAAAAACTCCTAGTTTTTGAGAAAGAACACCTCGAAGTCGAAAAAGACTCTCAAAATCTGTTTGGACCCTTGTTTCTCGAAAACCCGGGAGTTAAGCAGTCTGAAACTTCCAGGATACTTTTCTGGTCCATCGAAGAGTTTTTGGGCCAATTTTCAAAAAAGGCCTGAGGAAAATGACCTTCCTTCTATGGCAAATTCAGCCCCATTCCAATCATTCCTCTCCACAGCCGAACTACAGATTGTCCCGGGCCACCCTCCCAACGAAAGAATCCGAAAGCCGTGACCTTTTAAAGAATCGTGACGTAGGCACCGCTTTTTGCCACAGTCACTGAAGCGCGAGACCGACCTCATCTCCCACCGCATTACAACCGAAGATATCGGGACGACGACGTCGCTTCAACCTCTCCCCCAGCGAAAACAACAACCGCTTCAAATCAGTCACGACGGTTTTCTCGCATCACCTTCTGATGTACATGCGTGCTATTTTCTTTCCTTTTCGCTGTTTCTTATCGAGGGTGGTTTTGTATAGTTCTTCCTTCATGGGCAAGGTCGGAGAAGGTCGAAAAAGGCTCCATAGAAAAGGTTCCTTTTTGACACCTTTTTGCGCCATTTCATCGGCCTTTATGCACCATTTTTGCTCCCTCTCCCTTTTGCCACCATTTATTGATCCCAGAAAAAATGGAAGGCTTGTTGAAGGGACTCTCTTTGCTGCCTTTTTGGTGCCTTTTTGCTGCCGTTCTGCGGTCTTTCTGAGGCCTTTTTTGAGCCTCTCTTTCCCCCTTTTTACGACCATTCTCCAACATCATGACTTTTTGTTTGCCCCTTTGAAACTTGATGAGTTGGAGATTTGGGCTCATAGATTTTTTTTTTGAGATTACTTGAGAGGAGAAGAGGATCTTAGCCTTTATCCAGAGCTGGATACTAGGATGCTGATTTTTTTTAATTCGAAAAATTCAGATTTTACAGTTCCTCACATTCTTTCCCGAAATTTCGGTTGGTCTGACTTTTCAATCAAAAAAAAGTCTCAAGTTTGGTTTTCTGGTATGTTTCGAAACGAAATGAAACAGTACTTTTCGAATTTTGAGCCATGAAATTACAAAAGTATAACCGAAAGAGATTTTTCTAATTTTTCTGAAAGCCAAACTCCGGTTGTAAGTCTTTTTAGAAATCTCTTTCTTTTTTTCTTCTTATAAACTTAGTAAGTTCTGTTGAACTTGGCTCATTTTTAAAATTTTGCTGTTTCTCGCTTGTATTTCTCCGTTATTTTGGCTCCTTGTGAATGTTCCTTTTTGATGATATTTTGAAAAATAGAAACCTTTTTTTGATTATAAGTCTTCATCATTTCGAAACCCGAATTTGAAAATCCACAAAAAAAAAATGTGATCAGCACTTGGAAGGTACAAATCACATTCATTTTTCTTTTACAATTCAAAAAAGTTTTCAAAAAGAGGATCTTGATTGAAATTCATGAATACCGCTTTATCTATCGCTTCTCATCTTAGCGGACCTTCTTCGCCTTTTTTGTCCCCCTCTTGAATTGAATAAAAAGTGGCGTCGTCCGTCATTATCATATTCATTCGATTCATAGGCGCCGTCGTCGTCGTGTTTGACGACGTCTTCTTCTCCGTCCAATGAGCCGTCCCGCTCCTTCTTCCTTTCATCACTTTTTTCGTTTGCCAAGTCGCCGTCCCTCCGTTTTTTGCTGCGTGCAAACCACCTTGTTGTACTTGAAAACGTGGTCGCCAGCCGGTCTCTCCCTTTCCTCACACTATGACTTTGATACAATAATTTTTTAGTTAGAAAGAAGGGATTTTACGCTTTGTGAGGAGATGTAAAAAGTTTCGAGTTCGATTTTCTCGATTTTTGGCTTGGGTTAATGAAGGCTTGTCGTAAGAGAGGAGTTTTTCAACTTTTCAGAAAATATTGATTTTTCCTTCACTCAGTCTGGCCAGTCTGCACTCTCTTTTCCCTCGCGGACCTCTTTATGGTAACATGGTAAAGCTTTTTTTTGAAGGTTCACCTCTACTTTATTTGCTTTCTGACCGCTCTTGAGTGATCCCTTTGGGGGCCGAAAGAGCGGTCCCTATAGGGGCAATTCAACTTCGTTTAAAAAAGCTTATTTATTCGATTTTTACATTGATTATCGATCAGCATGTCCCCTATATAGGCCACTAACGAAACCCTTATAGGGACCACTTTTGCAAGCTTTAGTGACCCCTATAGGCTATAGGGGTTGGCAAAGTGCTCCCTAGGGGGGTTCTTTAAAGGCCGCAAACCTTGCCCCTATAGTGACCACTTTTGCAAGCTTTTGTTTCCCCTATAGGGTTCGGTAAAGTTGTTCCTAGCGGGGACTTTCTAACGGTCCCTAAGGTTGCCCCTATATGGACCACTCTGTAGTTCCTATCGTCATAGACAATTCTGATTCACGCTAGATTTAAAAACGGCTTTCTCGATTTTTACTATTGTTCTTGTTCTGAAAATCAAGAAATAGCTGGAAACAAAGAAAAAAGAGTTGTTTCGCCCAGTAGCCGATCCATCATCCTCAAAACTGTTCCAAGCCACACCCAGCTTACAACCGCGCGCGGGGGCATCGATAACGATACGGAGAAGAAAGAACGACGTAAGTTGAAGGTGTGAAGATCACAGTCAAGGGAAGAGAACAACGGCATTCTCCGGTCGTTCTTAATAGCCATGCACATTAATCAGCGTCAATCACCGAGCGTCTTTCTTTCACGTGGAACAATCTTAAGACTACCAGAGGGGTCCCTATAGGGTTTAAGGGGTGAAAACAACCTTTTAAGAGCTGGAAAGTGGTCACTATAGGGGTAAAATTAAGATGTTCCCAATAGGGGTTCAGGGTCTGATCCCTTAGCCCCTAAAGCTCAAGTGAACTCTATAGAGGTCTCTCAATTTCATTCAAAAAACGTTTATTTATTTAGTTTTCCCCATGCGTCTTCGCTTAAAGTTCACAACGATTAGCGTGTCCCCTATAAGGGCCACTAACTAAAACCCCTATAAGAATCACTTTTGCAAGCTTTATTGGCCCCTATGGGGTTGATAAAGTGGTCCCTCCAAGGCCCCTAAGGTTTCCCCTATAGGGACCACTCTGATGTTCCTAAGGTTCCGAAGTTCTGCTGGTTTAGTGGCAAACAGTCTCGCGTTGCGAGTTCGAGACGCGAGTTCAATCCCTAGACAGTTTTTTTTTCTCGAAATTTCTTATATATTCCCTTGAATGAAAACCGAACTCTGCGGCTTTTTTACACGATCGAATGCGCCCAATGATAATTGGTCGTTTCTACAAGCATCTCTCAGCCAGGTTCAAAATTACTATTGCAAAAATGCTCTTTTTGGAAAAAATCTACATAATTGTCAATAGCGCGCATTTGACAAAGAAAAAATGGCTGAGACGCATTGAAATTATCCAATTTACGGAGAAAAAACAAGCCAGTTAACCTTATAACCTTCAAGAGATAGACGAGTCCTGTTGGGTGAGGAGTAATGGAATTGCCGAAAGTAAAGACCATATCCAACGTAATTGGCTTTGGCTTCACCTCCAGCGCGAAATTAGAGAGTTCCGAGAAGATTTCGGGTCAGTGGAACCACGGCGATTACATCACCAAGAAGCGTTTCGGTCTGTCGCCATTTGTTGGTGGCGCGGGGGGCGCCGACTCGAGGCTTCTTCCCTATTGCTTACCATCCGCCCGTCACCTACAAGCTTTCCCTTTTTTTTCGCGTCTCTTTGCGTCATCGCTCTCTCCTTTTTTGGCCGCGAGATATTCCGACGACGTCATACATTTCCAATCATTTTTGATTGATTCGTCATCGGCTTTGTCGCTTTCTTTGATTCTCTTGAACTATTTCAAGACTCGGCTTTTCGTTTCAAACTTAAGACTTTTCCAAGGGGGCAGTAAAAAACGATTTAAAGCAGTACTTTGTAGAGCTTTTCATTGCGAATCAACGTGCCGAACTTCCTAGTTTTGAAGAAAAAATAATTCAAAGTGAGCAAAGTTTGAGTTCCCGCAAAAAGGGCGTTTTGCAGTAAAGTTGCTCTATGGACAACACGCCATTTTTCGGATTTTCGCTTTTTTCTTCGTTTTTTTTTAAATTTCTATTGTTCCTGTATTCACCAAAGTTCTTTTCGTCATGAGAACTTACAATTTATGGAAAATTTTCAAGTTTTGATGAGGCTACCTTGGTGAAAAATGATGATTTTACACAGAATTCGATTGGAATTGCGATATTTTTTTTATTATCGATGCGTGTTTTTTTGTTTGACTAAATTATTTTTCAGGAAAGAAACCCTTAATTTGAAGCAGATAGCCGGTTATTTCTCCCAAAATGCGAGTCTAATGAGACGTCCGCAACATCGCGTGCACGGCTACTGTAAACAGTTGTCCGTACACCGATCCAGAGCATTTTTCAAAATTAAAAGGCGGGAAAGTAAAATCGAGTTTTTCTTCAAAAGTAGCTACATCTGTAATTTTTTTGAGTACACCATTCGATTCGCAATTAAGAACTATACAAGATACTGCTTGAAACTGAAACCCCGTTTTTTACTGCCCCTAAGCCTTGAAGGCTTTTTGAACAGGAGAAGTAGGAAAATTTTCATAATCTGAAACTAACAGAGTTTTTTCTGATCTAAAGTTGGACCTTCTAATCCCAGTAAAACCCTCCAGTCTTTTTTACGGATAGTAAACGCAGCTCTAAGTGATGCTGATATCATGAGAATTTCACAGTTGTCTCAATATTTTATCTTTTTTTTCAGGGAAATTCCACGGAAGTCACGTTAAAATCACGGGTTTCTCATTCTCGTTACGGATCTTCAAACATCGAAACGTGATAATTTGTCAAAACTTGTTCGAATTTTTTTTGCCTGCGTCAAGTTTGATATTGATACTCCCTAGGGAGATCGTTAATGGAAGTGAAAATTACATCATTTTCTCTTTCCATTAGTTTTGATTGGTATAAGGCTTGAGGTAATTACAAACTCAAGCAGAATAATAGGGATTTTCTGGTTTGTGGAAAAATTGTTTTCTCTGAACTTTTTGATCATTGAGATCGGCGCCACAGAGAAGAAGCTTGAAAAAGGATCTTTTCGATTCTATCAAGTTTTGGTTTAAAATAGATTCACTAGAGTCTCTTTTTTATACTTCTCATCGATTTTTTGAAATACGTGATCAAGATCTGAAATAATTCAGCATTTTTCAATCTTCTCTTTTTGCTTAAAATTGGCCAGAAAAACTTTCATAGGCAAAGTCAGAAGGACCTCTTCCGTTATGGATGCAAAGTTTTCCATTAATTGTTCCTAAACGGATTTCTTTTTACTGCCTTTTTCCGTCCTTTCATCGGCCTTTATCCGCCCTTTTTGGACCCTTTTGGAAAACACTAATTTTTTTAAATTGAGAATAATCTTTACCAGGGACTGTGTATGAACCAAAATGTGCTACAGTGATACAATCGGCCAAACTTTCGACATTCTTTTTGCACTCTTTTTACGGCCTCTCTCTTCGTTCATCCTTTTTTAGCCCACCAAGAAAGAAAGGCTCAATAAAGGCCGCAAAACGAAACCCTTTTAGCGGCCATTTTGCAGTCACTCCCTTTTTGCACCCGTTTTCCGCACTTCCGACTTTTGCAGTGGTTTTTAAATTTTCTGAGGCTCATGAAGTTTTTTTTTATTCCCATACTTGAAAAGTGGACGAGGGAGCACTTGTTAGGAGTTTTTCTTACCATCAAAAAAAGTTAATTTGGTCAAAATGCGGTAACTTTTTCTATAGGCATCGGAAGAAGTTTAAAGCCCAGATTGGGATTAAACTGCAAATTTGTAGCTTCCAAAATCTTTTATTATGATCATCGTGGTGGAGCGAAAGGAGGATGAACATCTCAAAATTTGATATTTTCTTGATATACTCTCCGTGAAACGTAACGTAGTCAAGTAGTTCTTTCTTGCTTTTTTTCTCGAATATTTTTTTTTTGGTTTTTTCAAAAGTTTTGAAGATTTTCCTGCTGTTTGTTCTTTCTTCACATTATGGTACGAATTTCGGGAATTTTTCGTAGCTCATTTCTTGTTTTATTTAGAGAAAGCGTTCCATGTGAAACTTCATAAAATGCTGGAACATGAAAATAGAAACTTTAAACCAGTTGCTGTCTCAAGAATTTTGTCACCTTATGGAACTAATTTTAATGGTCAAACTTCAAGTGGTCTGGAAACTCATAAATTGAAGTACCTGCAAAAAAAAGGCTGTGAACAACCGTTTTGGTTCATTCTTTCTAGTTTTTGAGTTCCCAGAAGGGAGGTCTTTTTGCTTTGCGGTATTTTCTGAAAATTTGTCACAATATTCCTTGAAATCGTTTTGAAAGTCTTAATCTGCACAACTTCCTAGAAATACGGTCTTGAAGCCCCAAAAATGGCTCTTTGATTGATTTTAATGTTTTTTTTCGGCCTTGAGCCCTCATTTCTCAAAAAATAGAAAGTCGTGCAGCTTGAGGCTTTTAGAATCCTTTTTAGGTGCTCTAACATGGAAGGTCATTTAAAAAAAATAGTCTCTGATGATGTGAAGTCTGCCACAACTTCAGAAATTTTCCATAACTTTTACCCATTAAAAAAAGCGATATTAGAAAGAAAATGGCTATCGAACTCAATTGGATAGGTTTTACTCATGAAATTGTAATATATTCCTTAGAATTCTTGAAAAAATAACGGCAAAAAAAAAGTTAGCGGCAAAAGGATTCGAACCTGCATCACAGGCTCCGCAGGCTAACACGCTAGCCACTGCACCACGCTCCTAGCTGCCGTGCAGTGGTTGGTGGCGCGGCCAGATTCCTTCCAAACGGCGTCACATGGTTAAGTATAAAAAATTTGAAAAATCATGTCTCCTAAACGAAAAATTTGCGCAGATAGCGACTTGGGTGATCGATTCCCAGTCCATCCAAGATTGCTTGAGCAAATTTATAAAAAAGATTTTTAGTGAATTCCAAACCGTTAAGTAGAATGACCTACCTTGTCAGAAAACTGCTAATTTTCGGCCTGGAAGCCTTTCTAGAGGCCAAACCAGCGCAAAAAACCGGTGGATAATGGCTTTAGAGATCTCATCGAGAGAAAATAGTCTCGAGCCACTTACTCGGTTCGAACAAGAGAGAATCCGAAGGGACTTGATCAGTCCAGCTTTTTCCTCCGGTTTGCCTCCATTTTTCGGCCCGAACACCCTAATGACTCGTTCCTCTCATCGGCCCTCTTCGTATGACGCTTCTCTCCCCTTTTTTCCTAGTTGTTCATTGTTTTTCGTCCAAGTTTTCTTGGGTCGGCCTTGAAATTGGCAAGTTCAAGTCGACGTTTCTGTTACTTTTTCGAGGAGAAAGTTTCGTGGTTCAGAAGCTTATTGATCAGTGAGACAACATTTTTTCGATTTTTTGTAGTTTCCAGGGATCTTAGAAGTTTGAAGCTGGCCGTTCAGCCGGTTTTAGAAGCTTTCATTTTATTTTGAAAAGGTGAACGAAGTTTTTTGGTTTTATTTTGGTTTAGAGATGTACCTGAAGCTTTTCTCGTCTCTTTTTAACATAGAGCAATCCTGAGTGGTCCCTATAGGGTTTAGTGGACGAAAAAAACCCCTTAGGAGCGGAAAAGGGGTCCCTACAGGGATTTAGTTTCTGACTTAGCATAGAAATTCTTCTGCTCAGGGAGTTAATAAAAAATTATCGACCAGCATGCACCCTATAGGGACCACTCTGAAGTTCCTGAGTAAAAGATAGTCTGACTGCGAGTTAGGATCATCAGTTATTTCCGTCATATTTGCCCTGATAGACAATTTTCTCCCAGCTATAACGAGATATGTATTCAATTTTCATCCGAAGAAACAGTAGGCAACTGGACTTCTCGTTTTCCTCGACAATCAGTCACTGTAATGGCCTCGTTCTGCATGTTTTTGTTCGTTTCTTGCCTCCTCCGTATGATTATGTGTCTTGTCGTCGCTCCATCTGTACTTGCGCTATTTATCTTGGTTTCTTGGAGTTTTATAAGCAAAGTCTAAAAGGTGGAAAAAGGCTCGTGCTTCCTTTTTGCTGCCTTTTTGCTGCCTTTTTTCTGCCTTTTTGCTGCCTTTCTGCGGCCTTTTGTGAGCCTCTCCCTTTCAGCGGCCATTATCCACCATTCCGACTTTACCCGAGTTTTATTTGGAGGCTTTTCCAAAGGTGATGGACAAGTTTAGTAGTTTGTAGATCAGTGTTAGGTGTGGACTTCTTTATTCATTTTTCCAGGTGCTAAATCCCGATGCTTCGATCTTTTTCTCAATAATCCAGCCACCCAGCTTCAATTTTTGCTATCCATGGAAAATTTATTAAACAGCTAGGAACCCAGGCCTGGTATAAAAATGATAAAAATCGTTGTAGTCAAAACTAAATTTGAAATCGGTTTTGTGCGCTTCATAGATAATTTCATAACTGGAAAGTTGATTTTGAGGGTTAAAACTTGGAGAATAACATATTCGACTATTTTTATGCAACAAAAGTAAATACTAGGTCGCAAAAAAACCCTTTAATTGACTTTTTGCACTCTTGGGTTAACTTTGAACATTGTTGAAAAAAATTTTTTTATTTTTCAAAATTGATCATCAGGTCACCGAAAATATTTTTTTACTGACCTTGTGCGCTCCATGGCTAATTTTTCTTGTGCGCTCCATGGCTAATTTTACTGTCCGATTTCTTTTTCGAGTTTAATAAAAAACTTGACCACTAAAAAAATATGTATATCGTTTCTGTGCTCCAACAACGGCTTTCAATTAAAAAAACAAAAAAACTTGAAAAAAAGTTTTTTTAGTTCAAAAAAATAAAAAAATTTCATTTCATCGAGATGATGAAAAATCTTCTCAAAAAAAAACTTTTTTTCACGTTCGTCAAGGTGAAACTTCGTGTCAAACTTTTTTTTTCGAAGTTCCCTTCAGAATTTTTGAAGGAATTCAATGTGGTATCGAGAAAATTGGTCCTTTTCTTCGTGGATTCTAGGTTCAACCTGTTTTCAAGGCGACTTTCGTACGAAACAATCTATCATTTCCTCCCACAAAGTCCACAAATAACGGTATTCTCGTGATCCCTCGGAAAATTGTCTCCTTTGCAACGTCTTCTCCCAAACAACCATCCAACTTGACAGGCCTTCTAGAAACGACACAATAGTTTAGGTGCCGTGTTCGTTGTTCTTTCTTCCTTCTCTCTCTGGTGTGCGTCGGGGCGGAGCGTCGTCGTCGGTTTCTCGCCTCCGGCCGGCCACAGTGTGACGCCGGAAATGAAATGCAAGAAGGTCTTCGAGGAGCTTCTTCGCCGGCTTTTCCTCTGGCTCGGCACCTTTATCGGCCGATCGCCCTTGGCTGTCGTCTTGGCCAGTCTTGCCGTCACGGCGGTTCTTAGGTAATTTTTTTTGAACATGTTTTAAGCAAGCCCTAGTGTCTATAGAAGTGTATAGTTTGATCAGATTTTGAGTCAAGCTCCGCCCCTTGGCACGATGAACCAATCACAAAGCGCTCTCGAATGACGTCATTAGATTTAAAATCCAAAAACTAAAGACAGACTATATTATATTTTGGTCGACTACACCAGCCTCTCTCCGCTTAGTTAGAGACCAAAGAAAGCAAAGAGAGCGTTAGAGATATTTTGCTTCAGCCATTCCTTTTGCGGTCGAAGCTGATCTATCAAAAGTTTTCTATTTTTTCGATGTCAAGAAAAATCCGAAGGGAAAGATCAATAGGGGTCTGAAGAGACGTCAGAGAAACGAGAAATCCTTTTTTTCTCTGGCGTCTCGTTTCTACAGCATTGTTGTCTTTTCGATTTGAGTTTTGATCTCTTCTTCATTGTAAGGATCCAGTTTTTTACAATCTTCATTAAAAAAGACATTTTTTACCTTTTTAGGTTGTGAGAAATAATTAGAGTAACTATCAGCGTAGATGAGAGATCTAGGGCGAGAGAGTCCAGAGAGATAAGAAAAGTTTTTTTCTTTGACTTCTCTTCATCGTCACTGATCTCTCGCTTCCGATTTCTTTGCCCAATTTGTAACTTTTTTTTAAATTTTCGAACAGGTTTTTAAATTTTCTCGTCCCTTTTTTTTGATTTCTCGAAAACCTAACGTTCTTTATTTTAACTGGAAGCGAAGTTGATCTTTCGAAATCGAAAGCGTAGAAAATTCGAGGCGAGATCAAGAAACTGGAACTTTATTGGTCAACATTTTACACACTCCAATTGACAACGAAGAGGGTCAAAAAGAATTGTAAAAAAAATTTTCTCGGTGTTGCATTTTATGGTTGGATAATTGTAGAGGAGGTCAAACTATAAACAAAAAATACAGAAAAAGGACATTTTTTCTCCATTTGCAGTGTCGGCCTTTTATGGTTCGAGGAAGTGAACAATGTCCGGACGGAATATTCTCCGATGAATTCGCCGAGTAGGCAAGAGTACGAGGTCGCCAAAGCCTTCTTGAATCAAGTGGGTCGAAACAAAATTGACAAGGTTGAAAATATCAAGTCATTTCCGGCAGTTATGTGTGTGTTGATTGAGAAAAAAACTTCAAAAGGAAATTTTCAATTTTTGGGATTACCAAGACCTTGATTTTCGCTTGAAATTCAAGATGATAGAGGTTGAACATGAAGAAAAAGAAAGGAATTAAAAAAATGAAGCGAGAGATCAACGGCGATCTGAAGAGACGAAAGAGAAGTTAGATCACTCTTTTTCTCTGGAGCCTCTTCAGGATTCCGCTGCTCTCTCGCTACTTAGTTTTCTTTTTCAGTTTTTAAGCCTATTTTGATTCATTTCTTAAAGAAGGTGGAATGAAATATCGTGGAAATAGAGATGAGAACAGTTGGATTACCGTGAAACTCTAAAATCCTCCTTGAAGCTGTATGACTTGTCTGCGCTCTCTTTTCCATCAGGCAGTTTTAAAAAAGAGAGTTCAGACAAGACACATTTTCTTATCTCTGAAATGGAGCGCCAAAAGTGCGCCACAACTCTTTCTCTGACACACACCATTTCGTCCCTTTCTCGCAGCTAGATAACGACAAAATAGTGTGTGCCAGAGAAAGAGTCGCTCCATGTCAGAGAAGTTATGACAATTGAATGAGTCATTATTATCATAATTATAATAAAATATTATCTTTTTGAAGAACGGCACTTTGGATCCGTCGTACGTGATGGTCCTATCACGGGACAATGGCTCGCTTCTGCGTCAGGAATACCGAGAAAGGCTCATCGAGTTCGTCAAGACGTTGCAGAACAACGTCACCGTCGAGTTCGACGGCCGCGTCTGGGACTTTCGCGACCTCTGCGAGCCCTATTGCGAGCTCAACACCGCTTTTTTGGCTTTTCTCAAAGTTCGTAATGGTTTTTATTTTTGAAGTGTGAAGAAGTTGAAAAAAGAGAATTTTATCAATTTTTCTTTGAATAATTGAAGTTCTTGAACTTTTCGTGTGGTACTTTTATAAATAAAAACGGAAGAAAACAACTTTTAAAGGCTCGAAAAATCGAATTTTTTGATAATGGATTCAAATTTGAAAAATTGCTGAGAACTGGAGGGACGCATTTTTCCAGGGATTCTGAGCCTTTTTAGTGATCACTCAAGGGGTATGAGTGTTCATTTAGAAACCACGAATTTTTTCAGTCTAAATTGGTTTTTTTTAGTACTTCGTTGTATTTCGTGCTCCTATTCCACTACTTTTTTTTTTGAACTGTGAAAAATCGAATCGAAAGTTTTTTCACACTCTCGAAAATTCAAATTCACTAAATAATAAAGAAAAATAGTTCATTTTGTTTGAAATTCCCTATTTTAAAGTCAAAATGTGACATAAAACGGGATTCCTTTTCTGGATAAGGTTGATTTTTGACAGATTTGAGTCATTCAAAATTTTTTTTAGCTCTACGACAAGACCAACCCGACCTCGTACACCTACCCACGCGTCGACATTTTCGGAACCCAAGCTTTCATTGGTATTTCATTTTTTATATTTTAAATAGAACTTTCCAAAAAATCCTTTTTACATCATTTTTTTCCGACCTCCGTTCCATCAAATGCCCTTTGTCATTGTTCAAACTTCAGATTTTCTCACATTTGTTGCTTCGCGGCTCATTGCACAGCCAAGCATCGGCTGCTGACGTGTTTCTCTGCCTGTTCTTTAAAGAAAGGGAACATCTGAGGACATTTTCGGGTTGAACTTTCGGAGGCCTTGGAAGAGAATTGCGAAAAAAAGATCTTTGAAAATGAGAATTTTTTGAATTTTCGAGTATGTATTTTTGCGTCGAGATGACGTTCAACTTGCACCGTGGGCATTTTATTTTACGACAGTTTTTATACGTTACGTTTTTTTATTTTCCTATACTTTCCGTTTTTGTTCTATTACTAAT